CGTTTCGAATCCTGCCATAACCGTTTTTCATTATGAACTTTGTAAAATTAAAAGGATAAAGTAAATTAAATAACCATAGCCGTTCAGCGGAAGATCTTGTAGTGTAGTGGCGAAAACATTGGACTCCCAAGTGGTAAATCGATGGTTCGAATCCTACCATAATCGTTTTTCATGATGAAGTTCGTAAAAAGGATAAAGTAAATTAAATACCCATAACCATTCAGCTCAAAATCTTGTAGTCTAGTGGTCAAGATGTTAGTCTCATGTGTCGACAGTCGAAGGTTCGAATCTCGTTTTAGATGAAAATTTTCGTTATTAATAAAATATTGTAAGGTGATGGTGAATAAGTTGGTGTAGGCTTCCAACAATCACCAGTTAGCCTTGTGGTAAAGTCGTGGATTATCAAGTACAAGATAGGGGTATCAAGAACAGTGTGGGACGTTGCTCATAGCACAAAAAAGAAAAATAAAGAAAAAAACAGTAGGTATGTTGTTCTAGGGAGGTTTGTGCTCGGTTAATCTTTGCATGTCAAAGTTAATCTTTAGGGAAATTTAGGAAAACCAGGGGATAGGTAGGGTGAATGAGGGGTACATGAGTACAAAAAGACTTAGTAATTGGGCGCCACGGCTCCCGGGGGCAGGAGGGAGGGTATAGGTGAGAAAACACTATATAAAATGTTTAAGTCTTTTTGTACTCATTTAAACCTCTTTACCCCTATTTATCCTCCTATTTACTCCTATCTATCCCTACTTTTACCTATCCTCACATACCCCCAACTATCCCCTAACACAATTAAATGTTTGAAGAAAGCTTGCTTTGAAAGTCAGGAAAGCCGGGGGAAAGAGAACCCCCCTCAGTCTACTCCTCGCCCAAGGCGAGGGCATATTCGCCCTCTCGCTCTACTCCTCTCACACTCACAAATTCTCACTTTATTATACCTTGTTCTTTTTCGGTTTATCCAGGGCTTGAACCAACTACTGTATACTTGGCAGATCATCGTCTTCACCACTACACCACCAGTTCTTGTGGTGCAAGCTTAGACTTTTTTATTTTACTTAATCCTTTTTGGAAGGATCTTTGATGAAATAGAAGAAAAAAACATTCCCATCTTGGGCTCGAACCTTCGCCCTAACACTCCGAGAGCACTGCCTTTGCCAGTAGACCGCACGATCTTGCGATAAAAGGCTGTACTTTTTTATATTGCTGAATACCTCATAGGTAGGATCTCAAATGAAATAACAATTTAAAGGAGTTCTTTTTAATGTTCATGATTTATTTTCTTGTCTAAAATTGTATCTTATGCGTAGCTTGTAACCTAATAGTAGCCATTTGTGTTCTCGCTAAAATATCACATACATGCAGGTATGAAGTGCCTTAAAGCACTATTGTTTTCATAAGTTAGTTGTTATATGCGGCCCAAGTGAAGCTAATGGTTACGGTGCGATTCGGTTTGGTATTTTTAATGAACTGAAGTCAAAGTAAAGTACAAGAATTAACAATGCATTTAAAAATAGGCTTAAAAGAATAAAGTACAAGAATTAAGAATGTATTTCAATGTGTATAACACGTCGTATAATCATGAGGCAACAAGCATGCACCTCGCAAAAAAAGCAACAAGCATGCACCTCGTAAAAGTTCTTAAGCTGCGAAGAAACGATTAAGTCAAATAGACAACAATAGCTTATCGACAAACGATGTGGTCGTCAAACAGTTGTTAAGCCGTTGGTCTCTTTACTCCAAAGGTTTAAATATTAGATTAGTACATTTTATATTCGACGAACCGGCTACGAACAGTCTTGAAATAAATATTCAATATCTGTTTAACTGGATATTTGCTTATTTGCAATTTCAGATGTAATGGCTAATGCTTGTTGCCTCATGACTATAGGAGTTATATACATTTAGTCGAATTCATATACAGGGGAAACTCATAAAGACGGGAAACTCATCGAAGACGGGAAACTCGTCTGGAAGAGAAACTCGTCTTAAATTCGCATTCAGACGGATCAGTGAATCAGACGAGTTTGAGAAATATCAGCATGGTTAAGAACGGAACAAGGCTACGGAAAATAAACACAATTATTATCGCAATGATTACGCATTACCCGAACCATGCATCACCACACGTATAAATTTTTCAGATCCCAATTCACATTCAGACGGGTTTTAATTCTACGGCTATCAACTTTTCAGTCTCAGTAACATGAGTATTCGGCTTTTCTTAATTCTTGTACCGTTTACTTGGAATCTGCTTCATTAAAAATACCAAACCGAATCGCACCGTAACCATTAGCTTCACTTGGGCCGCATATAACAACTAACTTATGAAAACTATAGTGCTTTAAGGCACTTCATACCTGCATGTATGTGATATTTTAGCGAGAACACAAATGGCTACTATTAGGTTACAAGCTACGCATAAGATACAATTTTAGACAAGAAAATAAATCATGAACATTAAAAAGAACTCCTTTAAATTGTTATTTCATTTGAGATCCTACCCATGAGGTATTCAGCAATATAAAAAAGTACAGCCTTTCATCGCAAGATCGTGCGGTCTACTGGTAAAGGCAGTGCTCTCGGAGTGTTAGGGCGAAGGTTCGAGCCCAAGATGGGAATGTTTTTTTCTTCTATTTCATCAAAGATCCTTCCAAAAAGGATTAAGTAAAATAAAAAAGTCTAGGCTTGCACCACAAGAACTGGTGTAGTGGTGAAGACGATGATCTGCCAAGTATACAGTCGTTGGTTCAAGCCCTGGATAAACCGAAAAAGAACAAGGTATAATAAAGTGAGAATTTGTGAGTGTGAGAGGAGTAGAGCGAGAGGGCGAATATGCCCTCGCCTTGGGCGAGGAGTAGACTGAGGGGGGTTCTCTTTCCCCCGGCTTTCCTGACTTTCAAAGCAAGCTTTCTTCAAACATTTAATTGTGTTAGGGGATAGTTGGGGGTATGTGAGGATAGGTAAAAGTAGGGATAGATAGGAGTAAATAGGAGGATAAATAGGGGTAAAGAGGTTTAAATGAGTACAAAAAGACTTAAACATTTTATATAGTGTTTTCTCACCTATACCCTCCCTCCTGCCCCCGGGAGCCGTGGCGCCCAATTACTAAGTCTTTTTGTACTCATGTACCCCTCATTCACCCTACCTATCCCCTGGTTTTCCTAAATTTCCCTAAAGATTAACTTTGATATGCAAAGATTAACCGAGCACAAACCTCCCCAGAACAACATACCTACTGTTTTTTTCTTTTTTTTTTCTTTTTTCTTTTTCGCGCCATGAGCAACGTCCCACACTGTTCTTGATACCTCTATCTTGTACTTGATAATCCACGACTTTACCACAAGGCTAACTGGTGATTGTTGGAAGCCTACACCAACTTATTCATCATGACCTTACAATATTTTATTAATAACGAAAATTTTCATATAAAACGAGATTCGAACCTTGGACTGTCGACACATGAGACTGACATCTTGACCACTAGACTACAAGATCTTGTGTTGAACGGCTATGGTTATATTATTTACTTCATCCTTTTCACGAAGTTCATAATGAAAAACGGTTATGGTAGGATTCGAAACACCGATTTACCACTTGGGAGACCATTGTCTTCGCACTAGACCACAAGATCTTGCGCTGGACGGCTATGGTTATTTAATTTACCCTATCCTTTTCACGAAGTTCATAATGAAAAATGGTTATGGTAGGATTCGATCCATCGTTTACCACTTTGGAGACAATTTCCTTCATCACTAGACTACAAGATCTTGTGCTGAACGGACATGGTTTTTTTCATTTTACCTTTTCACGAAGTTCATTATGAAAAATGGTTATGATAGGATTCGAAGCATCAATTTACCACTTGCGAGACCATTGTCTTCAGCACTAGACTACGAGATCTTTTCCTGAACGGACATGGTTTTTTGTTTACTTACGCTTTTGAAGACATAATGGAAAACTGACATGCTTGGACTCGATCCCACAGTTTGAAGCATGGGAGAGCATTGCCTTCACCGCTAGAACGGCAGTACTTCAGGCGAATTACTACTCTATTTTATTTTACTCACCCTTTTTTCGAAGGATTTTATATAAAATTATATAGGTTTACTTTGATGATGATGATTAATTTCCTTGTTTAAAACGCACAAAATTGAATCTTATTCGTAGCTTTAATAACCTAATACTATCAATATCAGGTATGGTCCATTGAGCAAAGGAGGAGCATTACTACGTCATAAGCTAGTTATATGCGGCGCAAGTGAAGCTAATGGTTACGGTGCGATTTTTTTAAGAAGTGATAGTTGACAGTTGAGTGGAGACGTATAGCGACACTGCGTGTGGTTATCAACACGTTGGTTGTGCACAACAAAATTTGAAAGTAGAACTTAAATAATCATTTTGTCGAAACCCAGGTGTATTTGTTATACATGCAAAGCTTTTGGCTAGTTAACCCGGGGCCAATTTTAACTTGGTTACCTAACAATAATATATTGGACCAATTTTTTTTTTAAATTACTAAAAAACTTAAACAACCAATTTTTTGGTTGGTTTTACCAAATAGAATTGACAAAAAAGATAGGAATCCGTGACAACATGTTTTTATATAAAAACATATTGAAAAGATTGTATGAACATGTTAAGAACAAGGTGGCTCATGTGATAGAATATTTCTATTTGTGTCCAGAGACAATGACCGATATTAATACAACCCAGGCCTAGACGACAGTCTGGCACGGTTCTTCTTCAGTTGTGGGTAATACCCAGTGAGGTCAATACGTCAATGCCTACCGGATGACTGAATTTACACTTTTCATTCCGGAAAATAGCACGAAATAGTCTCGGCCCACAAATGAAATATGATAGCTTGCAGCTATAAAAATAACCACACTGGTGCACTCATTTTCTTTGATAAAAAAAAATAGAATGGGAATAAATACTAACAGTAATAGAAGACATATCTTAAACTAAAACTAATAAAAGAAATAAAAGCTTATGGTTTAAAATGAATTTATTTCGGTAAGAGTAAAAGTTTACACGACGCGTATCTAAAATCCTAGTAGCTACATTCACACGCAATGCTATACATTTCAACACATTTACCTGTCTAAATATTGTTCACGTTAGCAGCGTGTCGCTTTTCGCGTTCATAATTATACTATGCATGCATTTGGCTATTACAAAGTACTTAAAATTACTGCATGAAAAGCTTCGTTTTATCTCTTATGGGAAATTTTTTGACTCATTTAGATTGGCGTGGTCCGTGTGGACGCGTATAGTAATATAAATTATAGAGGGGTTTATTGCTGTACTATAAGTATAAAATTTCTTATGCATGTGAACTGGTTTCAAGCTGAACGACGAGTATAAAATTTATCATGTGCATGCATGTACATCGGCGGATGGTAAGGAATTGATACTCTCGAAGGAAATAGAAATAAAAATTCTCCTTATTAGTAGAACGTCATAAGCATAGTTATAGGCATACTCAGTTAATTAAGTTTACAACGTTTTCGAATGAATGGTTACGTTCTCAGCCATCTTGGATACGCGTATCTATCGTCAACTATTTGATATTTGTTCACAAGTATCCCAAAGGAAATGAATGAGAATTTGTAAAAAAATTTTAACAACTTTTTGTAAAAGTATTATTAAAATCTTGCACGTGTGACAGAAAAATTTAACTGCAATATTTTCCTTTAAAAACGTCTTCAGCCTTTTTTGTACGGCAGTGCGGTGTAGCTTGAAATTGTTCTATATATAACAAATAAATGTTGCTGAGGGAGATCGTTACTTTTGTTTTAATTTGACATGGATTGTTTCGAAGTCATATAGGCTAAGATAGCAGAAAATTGAAAGCTCGAAGCATTCGATAGCAATATTGTATAGTAAGGACGCTAATATCTACACGAGTTAACTATATAAAACGAGACGCAAATCCACGCGCAAAATTTCTCCTTATCCAATAAAACAGCCCTTGTAAAGTTTTCTGCATAACGTAGTCAGTCACGTGGCGATAATAAAATTGAAATCACGTGATAGTGTCATAAGTGATATGCCGAATGCTCGCATCAACATTGCTAACTAACCAACAGGAATGTGAAATGTATAGATCCTAGTTTTTCAATCGGTTAAATTGCAGCAAACAATTCTAATAGTTGGACATCTTCAAAAAGACTATTAAATGTGAGTGTCATAACAGGCACAACTACTACTTTTGGCCACAAGCCACAACTATCTCGCACTGTCATTGCATGGATCATTCTTCATCATTTACTACGAACCTAATTGAACTATATTTCAATAAATAACTATGTTAGAGACCATCTACTGAATTCCATTTCCAAAACTATAACTTTTCCTGATGCTAAACCAACAGCCAAACATCTATATAAATAAAACAAAAAAGGCATTGTTAGCGGTATAGTGAATTCAATAAATCGTGTGTAAAGTAGTAATTCGCGACACACTGGAAAGGTAATAAAATTTTAGAAACTAATGCGGTTAAAATGATTTGCAATGCACGTATTTGATGGTCATGGCAATTTAAAATAAATCCAACCATTTAAATAATTTGAACGAACGACACCCAAAGAAAAGGTAGTATCTTTTTTTTTATACTTACTTGCAATCTTCTGACAAAGACATTGTACGTATACTGCTCCCATATGGTGGAAATGAATGCACCTTTTGCATGTCCCTGGTGCGCCAGACTGAAACTGTCTTACTAAATCCACCAGTCAAAAAGAAATTACCATCTCGTGAGAAGCACGACACCTAAAGATAGGGATTGCACGCATGTGTAAGAAAGATGAGAGGGAAGTTTCTTCGTACATGAAAGAAGATGGTTGTTAACATCAAGATGGTTATTTTACAAATATTCTAAGGTTTAACGTTACGCCACAGATTCCAATGGTGGTATAACAGGCTTGGCAATCGGAATGTGGTAATTTTTCACTCCATGTATGCGCAGGTATTGTGATTAGTTAAAAAAAAAAATGTGCGCAAGTTCGTATCAATGACTCGTGTGTAGAAGATGACTCTTAATTTATTGCACTAATTTTAACCTCATCGTTGTGATGTCGTCAGGTGTGGGGTTGCATGGTCTTTTAAAAGATTTACTTCCAAATTATATTATATTCATGACGGAATTTCAAAAAATAACCATCTGTAACAAGATGTGATAAAAACGAAGCAACTTACTAGAACCTGATCTTCCAGCGCTGAGCTTGCAAGATGTTTTCCATTCACCGAAAACAATGCTAAAACACCTTTTTTGTCTGCATATGTGGCAAGAATATATCCTTCACCCGATATTGTGACGGCAATGGGATGGCTGCAGCTTGACGGCTCCACCAAAGTACACAAAAGTTCACCCATTAGCGTGTGCAGTAAGAACGAACCATCTAAAAGGGTAAATTACCAATGAATGCACGGGTAGATGAGCCACAAGCACAATGCTGACATTACTGTTGCCAACGACAAAATATAACACGCAATTGCAGTCTTAAATTTTATACATCACTCATCATTTCGTTAAACGCTACAAATACGTGACATGGAAGCCTATTTGGTAACAAAATTGTTAAAATGGCGAGGCGAACCTCAAATCCTATTCCAAAAATGCCAAAAAAAATCGCTAGACGAATACTGTCTGTAAGAAGAAATGAAGCCATGCACTAGCTACGATATCAATGATAGATATGTCATACCTTGTGAACCACTGACAACCAATCCTAAAGACGAGCTCACTGCGACACAAAGTACAGCAGTCTCATGACCGGTGAGAATGGCACGCGGGGAGGCTGAATCGCCTAGAAATTGAGTTACAAAACTGAGTTGGACGTTAATGTTATATGCCATGCAGGGGCCGGTTGTTTGAATGCTGCTTAGCTTAAACAGTGGATAAGCTGAAGTTTAGAAATACTGTCATACATCTTGTGAATCGTACGTACATCTTATGCTATATGTACTTCCATATTATGAAAATTAAACTTTTTACATCGAAATATTTCAGCTCACTTGTTTAATAAATAGATCATTTTAAACAATCATCCTGCATGGATATGGAAATGTGTTTAGTTGAACGAGAGCACAAGTGTATTTCTAATCGGAGGGGCAAGATTAATTTCTATAAAATGGAAGATCAAATTCACCTAGAAAATTATTGTCAATTCGAATCGTCTCTAATCTTAAATCGTGCAAGACAAACCTGGTCTGCCATTAGCGGATATCCGCTGCTGTTTATCGTTCCAATGCCACACGAGCAGGGTCGCATCACGTGAGCCAGAAACAATAATTGCATCGTTAGCATTCTGGCCAATGGCATCGATGGCATACGACAAACTAGTAACGACGTCCCAATGACCAAACACGCACTGATGAAGCTTACCTAAGAGGCACAGTAACCTGTCATATTTCGACAATTACTGCCAAATGTTTTGATGGCAATTTGTTCATAACAGCCTGGCCAATATTATAATGTTTCGTCTATATTATAATGTTTTGTGGGCAGGCTATGTTTCGTCCCACTACAGCAATAAATTGGTAACATGAGTACACCAACTTCATCATAAAAGTCGACAAAAGTCGATCTTTACGCTCATGAATAATAATAAATTTTTGGATGCAAAAAAGAGCATTACATTGGCTAGATACCAGTCAGCTAAGAATAAATTATATTGATATTAGAAAAATAAATGACAATTAAGTATTATTCAGTCATATGTATAAGTATCGTTTTAATCATATTTCTAACTTATGCCCAATACATTAAAGCTGCTTTGGAAAATCCAAATGCCAAGTGATAATATATTATATATAAACACGATTGACACATTGAGTAAATGACATATTGCATCTTGTTACGTGTGTTTACTCACACAACGGGAAAAATATGTTTAATGAATCACAAAAACATAATTCATGTAAGGATACAGATATAGGGGGAACTTGTAGGGCGATAGGCCAATCGGATTGGCAATAGACAGAAAAAAAAGAATAAAATAAATAACATATTAGTATAGAGTACCCCTCCCATGCATAAGTAATGGTTGCTGGAGAGAGTTGCCGCACCTTGCCTGTGTAAGCTATAGCAAAAAATATACTTACCGGTATCTGTAGAGAAAATCTTGAAGCTCTTATCCCAGTATCCACAGGCGATTATAAAACGATTATCAGCGGTGACAGAGAAACAAGATGAAGTGGGGGTAACCGATTGGTCCAATGGTTCGCCGAGAAGACGGCTAGGATGGACAGTTTTGGAACCTAAAATAAAAAATTCAATAATTGTCAAACTTTCTTATAAAAACAATACCATCAGTCTGGCAAGTGCAATCGTCGAATATTCTTCTTTCATTCCAAAACCATTTTCACTTTTTACACAAAAAGAGACTTTTGAATATATCAGTTACAACTACGCGCAATTCTAGATTTGGTACGGATGAATTTTGGACCTACAGGTAATATATTTTGGTGGTTTAAAATTTCACCCGAACCATTTTTTTGGTACCGTACCAAAAATTGGGAGTAGTGTAAATGAAGCTTTAAGCCCAAGTATTTATGGTACTCAATGGCTGTGAAATAGGACTTTGTGGTACTTTATGGCACTTTATGGCTGTCGCCTCATAAAACATATGTCTCAAGCTCATTGCATAATTGTCGAATATAACTTTAAACTCTAAATTCGGAATTTCCTCATGTTCAAAGTCAAACTTACCAATCAAAGGATCCGGTTCAATTTGGATATTTTGTAAAGGCGTTTCTCCTGGAGGACCTGAAATGCAAATGTAAAAATCACCCGTATATCAAGAGAATATGCATAGGGTAGCTGATGCCTACGTCGAATATTGGTTGAGTGGACTTAAATTCAAACAATACATAGACAGGAAAACAAGGTTTTATTATCTTATATTATCTATTGTTCAAAATACTTAAGACACGACCAAAATTCGACGTCTATGTCCCCTTTATAGACGAGGAGAAAATAAAAAATCAAAACTCGCAAACTTTGAACTTTCTGTCTAAAATTGAAACACAAACCTGATAGGCTTATCCATCTATTGAAAGAGAAGCACTGGTTACAGCTTATTGCCACTAGCCCAGGAAATTGCGGCACCGATATGTTTAGAGCAATTTGGGTTACCGGAATACTTGGTGTGATACTAAATTCCAGGTACGCACCTACGAACGAAGTAAGAACACATTTATCGAAAGATATTAATAATTCTATACTGAGATCATGAGTCATAATGCTATAGCTATCGTTTTCTATAAGTAGAAGTATTTGGGCTTTTGGGGTGCTTCATGATATACCGGATCTTTACCCTTGTCAGCCTGTTGCTAGTTGAAAGCCGTATTACTCTAACGAAAATGTTTGCATACAAGAGGAACTTGCTTAGCTAACAGCGACAATTTTACGTTAAAATGCTGCTAATAAGGACTCAAGATTCAGCCAGGAAAGTAGAGGAAACAACTAAGGAACACAATTTTTTGTGGTAAATAAATGTTGTGGATAATTAAGTATTTCAAGAGTAGTTTCTTACATTTACTGTAGTCGAATCCTTCTGGTATCTGTGAGAAGAGGAAAAACTTTTAAAATTGAATGTATTAAACGATGAAACATCAATAAACAGTAAGATTACAAAAAACAAGAATCGAAAAATGTGTCGACTAATTATATACAAGCTATTTCCCCAAATTTTTTCTGAATAACTTTTTTGATTTTTGAAGAGACTGGTTGGGTGATGTGTTGCGCCAGGTGGAACAAGTGATAAGTTAACAATCAATTATATGAACGAGAAATGGAACCATAACGAGTTGTATAACGACTTATTTAGAACTATGTGTATAATCAAAGGCAAACCTTGCGGTACAGGCGAGGCTGGTGTGGTTCAGTAAGGAGTTGAGCTGGTGTCTGGCCAAAGCTTTTAATCTGTTGTTCCACAGCCTGGAATATAACATAAAGTCGAATTTAGTAGATAGGCATGTCTGTTACACGTCATGGTACAGACAGTGGGTCGTATATTAAGTATACGAACTTCAAAGTGGAAACAAACTGAACACGTGTTCTATTGCGACCTATACACGGAAGATAGCCAGTCAATCACCTCTCTCATGACATGGTCCTGTATAGAGTTTAGATCCACTCTTCCCTCGTATGTTAGGTAAAAGAACACATTAACAGCACGCTCGGCCTCGACTCCTGCAGACAAAAAGCGAACTGTCAATGAAGGTGACTAAATACACCAAAATACATGACCAAATACATTTCACTGGTGTTTACTAATTACCATCTACTGCCCATGTTGGAATACACGTCAAATCTTGCGAAGATATACCACCTACTCATCACCTACCTCTTTGTTTAAAACCAAAAATAAGATCAATCCATTTATGAAGATTGGACGAGACAATGTCAGACTCCAGTGCCTACAACAACAACAACAAATAATGCCTCGTCTTTTCTTTACGGAAGTAAAATTTAGGTAAAATCTTATGAACGCCTGGGTGAAGGCAGTAACAGTGTTTCGCAGGGTATTTCAAACACGCGAACGCCATCTATTCATCTTTGATTCAACGGAAGGGGGTGCAAAACAACGGCGCTATTGTTAGTTTAGGAAACTGGACTGCATATACCACCCCGAATATCCCTAAGTGAAGTGGACACTATAGGGATCGATGTACAGCAATCACAGTGGTTATGCTACTAACTGGTGGAATGTGCTACTTACAGCTCGATGTTTAGCAATAAAATCTTCGGGAGAATTCGCCCATGGAGGTAACTGAACGTCATCGATAACTCTTCCGTCATCGTCGACTCCAAATTGAAACTAAAAAGTGAACAATAAATTATGCAATTTGCATCATGTATCTTTTAGTAAATAGATGGTTTTCTATGTTGCAATAACTAAAATAAATAAGGTAATATAATACAGAAACGAGTTCTCAACAACGTTTACATGGAATAAAAAAGCATGCAATTGTACTTGATTGGGAATAAACGTAGCTCGCAGTTCTCTGCCACATACCCTGTTAGAATTAACGAACATCTCAGGCAAATAATACAGCTCTGGAATTAGCTCCTAGAAAAAGAAGGAAAAATCCAGAAATACATTGAGACGTGCGAATCCGAAGGAAACATATACAAAGAAAACGGTTTTCACCACTAGTTATTGAAAATTGTATTGTGTGTGAAATTCTGTTAAATTAGTCGAAAGCTTAAATTTCAGTAATACTAAAGGTTTAAAATAGTGGTCAAGTATTTGAATAAAATATTGTTTTATATGCAACCGGTCCATATTTTCTTGCCAAATTTCTTGAATATACTAACGCGTAAATGACAGTTGAGCATGATACTTTAAAGTTTGACTCACCTTCACGTCTGATGTATCACGTTGACAGTTTTGCCAAGCATAAGCCAAAGAGGAGAAAGTGCGTCCTGGGTGATCGAACATGCCACCTTGCATGTTCAAAAACTGACTCGCAAATGGCTCCTAAAAAATATGTTCTGTGAGATGGAACGTTTAAACGCCATCCTTGTTCATTTACCTTGTGCATATATCTTCTTAAATTGTACATGTAACTTTTTAATTAGGGTTTTTGCATTTTACTAATTAACTAACTTCTTCACGGAACAAAAATAGAGTTACTGGACAATATGAGATGCTAAAAACCCAAATTCTCCAACAACCTCTTCGCAACAATGTAGCTTTGACATAGCATTTCTATTTACCCAGAAGTCGCTAGAAGTTGTGCATATCAGAATTAATAATACTTACAAGCCTTATCAACCAAGCCAAGGTAAAACCACAAGTTGAGTAGTGCGTGCCGTAATGGAAAGGCGGGATGTCTTCACTTTTGTCCCAGGAATTGAAGCGATCCAAAAATTGTCCGAGTCTTTCTGGATTTAAAGCGCCAATTGGCTGGAAGAAAGAAACAAACATAAACACAAGTAGACACACAACATTTTATATTTGAACAATTCTGCATTTGCAGAACACATACAAATAAGATCGTACTTTATTAGATGCATTCCAGACTTAATGTCCCTATGAAGTTACATATTTTGAGGGTATTTGCACTGCTGCACGAATTTCCTGTTGATGATTTTAAAAATAAACCATTCATCTGACCAGTATACAAGGTAAAGTAGTAAGGAAATTATTTTCAGCCATTATTTGTCACTTTTTCGTTGAACTCACTCATTCTTTAGAGCGAATCTATACACAAAGACCGAGCAGGCGATGAAGAAAATTCTTGTATTTAATTTTGAGGAGAAGAGGAAGTCAATATCTACTAATTCATTCTCGAATAACTCGTAGAATTTGAGGCATATACGGTTGCACAGCTAGTGTAACCAGATTCTTCCATTTATAGTGATGTACTATTTGTAACATGCCTAAACGAATCGAAAAGACAACGAAATACAAATTTCAAAACATTACCTTTGACAAATCGCGATAGTTGTTTGGATCATGGAGGTCTAATTTTTCAGACGTAAAGTTTTTTAACACCCACGGAAAGACTGGATACTGGTTCAAATCATTGTATGTGCGTCCTATAAGTCAACAGTTACACAGTGAGTCGTTGTATTTTCAAAACAGAAACGCTTTTTAGAGATAAACAAAAAATCTTTTCTTAAGAGTTATCCTGCCAGTACCCGCTATCTTGTTAATGAACATAAGGTATTGGAAATTAGAAATCTCTCCTTGTTGCCATCTTTGAGTCATATTTGATTTCTGAAACAGTTGTTTCGGACTGGCCAAAGACGTCGCTCTAGAAAATAAAACCGGAACAGACGTTTTTTTCAAATTCCAAATACACTTCTCATTGGTCGAGAGTAACTATACGTATTTGCTATTAGATAACGAAAAGAAATATTAAACATGCCTATTGTTTTACGGGCAGCGGCTTTGTTCATTCATTTTTACACAAAGGTTGCAATATACTGGGGAGCAAAATTCAGAATATAAAACTACTATGACGTCAATTAAACTTGTGTTTGGGCATGCGTAGTCCGGCGGATTGAGGGATAGCAAATGTGCAAAGAGCATGGTGCAAAAATTCGGTAAAAATATTGTACTTGCATATCACTCAAATTAGTCTGGCTTTTTGTGACACAAACACCACGTTGACAAAAATGTAAATTAATTAGATATGGGGCCAAAGGGAAAATGCAGGAAAAATGCACGGAATCTCTAACATTTTCGTATATAAGCGGATATATCAAGAAGAGTAGAAGGTTTTGACGTAGCTCTATTTCATTAAAACGGAAGTAAAGGAGTCACATGCAAAATGCCCATTACAAAAATGTATTGTTATTAAGGTACCATTGCACAAATTGCGTAAGAAATGAGGCAATGTCGCTAATAGGTCAACTTGGCGCTCCTGTTTCACGGACGTAACTTCGTAAGAGAATATAAAATGAACTTTACCATCATTCTCTGATTTATAATTTTGTTTCAATTTTTGTGCGCAAGCCAATTTTAAAGTGATCCACAAGAAAACTCCCCCTGGAAACATTGCTCGACAGTTTTTTTAATATCAAGGCACAGCATGGAATATTTCAAAATGTTTTTCTGGAATAGAAGCGATTCTTCCTCGATTCTTCAAAAGCAAGATTATAATCATTTTGTTGAGCGATTGATTTTCTTCAATTGAATAGTTGAATGTCGAATTTTGGGAAAATCTTTATTTTATACGTACTATGCCTTCATTTTCTTGTGAACGTCGCAAATTTGCTCTAAACAACTATCTATACCTTGTTTGCAATAACCCATAATGAGGTCCAACCCCCACGACAGGCAAAGCCCGAACCACCTTTCGCACGGTTTGATGATCATCGAAGACAAACATCACTGAGTCTAAGAGAAAGCAGAATAAGATAAAGACAAAGGGGCGTTGGTATACAACTCTTCCACATGTCGGGTAGTTAAATCATAATTACTACAAAATAAACAATGCTAATAGGCCAATCCTGTCGTCAACGATCGTTTTACAAAACGAGCCTAAAAAAAACTTGGCCGCACGCCAATGCATTCAGACTCATCCCTCTGGTATATTTCGATGGGAAATTCCAATGAAGCATGGTCGTAACTTGAGTTTTTGAAGACTTAAGTTCACCGTTCACCCACATAGCTTCCAGTGCGTCCAGTACAACAGTGAGTTGAGGGGACTAAAAAACGTAGGCGTGAAAGTACTTACTCCGCGACGTAAGAAATATTTCCACACCACAATTTTGAAGTAAATAGCGTCTTGAAAAAACAGCTTTGATGTCCTCAAAAGACCACTTCCCATGCAAAAAGTCAGCATACACGGTTACCTGAAAGAAGGTATTTCAATCATCAATTCCTTGAATCTTCAAAAAACATACTTTTAAGTTTTAAGACGTGATTTCAAAGGCAATTTTTGATCGAAAGTGGAATTGTGCGTACGCGTGATGAAGAAATAGTATGGGGTTCCGCGTGGAAAAGATTCGCATCGCCCGTGACTAGGGTTCCTTCTACTCATTGAGAAAATTCAATAGAATCACTCATTGTGCAACTACCCGCGTTTTAGGTAGATATAGCTAAATTGTTGCGATTCGTCTGTGGAATCAGTTTCATTTTTTGAAAACGACTGAACATACTGTTGTACGAAATTGAAAATATTCGAGATCAGGACGGTTCCGGTTAGAAAATCTGAACAAGGTGGTCCATTATTCAAATTATTCAATTATCTTGGAAGATGATATGGAAAATGGAATTTTGGGCTAAATGTCCTGGTGGTATTGAAAATAAGGAAGGCGTGTGGTACATTATGAATAGAACACAGATGCTGACCCAGCAATCGATAAAGAGCAACTCTACTTTACATTTAGGTTTAACACTTATTTATCGCGACCGAAGGAAACATTATGTTTTGTGGACGACAGGGGGTCGGACGGGCGAATTTCGTCATTCGCACGTGATTCGCTCTCGACCAATAAAAAGAAACTAACAGCAAACTTTGACAAGTGATATATAATAATAAAAGGCATTCCAAAACCACCAACAACCATAGCGATCAAAGAAATAAAAATTATTTGGTGGATGCTTCTATCCGGCTTTCGTAGGACCGGCCCACAATGAACATTCCCGAATGCCTCAAAATAAAATATAAAAAATCAATTTGATTATAAAGGAATTATTAGAATAAAGGGGAATAATTCAATAACTTCCTTCAATTTAGGCAAATTGATTAATTGAAGTTTTTCGTAACGCTTCTTGGCACGGCTGTATTACGGCCGTTAAACGGAAGATGAGACAACAGGCGGTAAGAAAAAAATTTCACCAAAAAAGCCCAATGAGATGTGTAATTGAACCCGACATTTTGGGGGCGATTAAGGGACTTGCAGATTACCAAACCTTATAACTGAACCATATTTTTCTGTAATTCAACTTCATTGTAATTCAACTACTTTTCAGACTTGATCAGAGGTCTTTCGACATGTATAGAAACTCAAAAGCAAAACGTTTCTATTAAAATAGACACTGCATGCGTTTCAAGTTTTAATGCACGTGCATGTAGTTTATATAGCGATAAAGGATTTCATCATCAACGATCACTCGCTTATGTTAACGTGTGAAATAGTTTAATATATTTCTGATGCGGCAGACTTTTCGTAAACAGAAATTCAAAACAATATTTCACAGTTCGACCTAATGAAATCTTACAATGCGAAAGAATACATAGCAAAGAATGAATTATATTAACCGCATAGCGGTAGGTCAGATTTGGCTTTAACGTACAATTTCATTCCAATATATTTCAAGATGTGTTATAAGCGCCGTCAATAACGAATATAATTTGAAAGATGTCATTATTCATGATGTTCGACACGTTCGTCGTCGAAGTGTTTATTGACATAGGCAAAATTAACATTTGGCTTCGAATTGTTGCGTAAAACTTAAAAAGAAGAACAAAAACAGCACATTTTCAAGTTTATTACAGTTAATCCGATTTTCGTCTAATTCATGTTTTCAATGTCCTCAATCATGTCCACTGGAAATGGACTACATACAATATATATAGAAAAAACATCAAACACCAATATCTGTCCGGTAGTTCGGTATCAAAATGCTTCTTTATGACACTTCAGGCCATACGATAAAACGGTCGATTTTCAATTGAATCCATTGCTGTTAAAAATGATTTTATTTGGATAAACGGAATTTTTTAAATTAAAATTTGTTTGAAATCGACCACAATTGAAAACATTAACTACGAATATCTGTTCCGTAGTTCGGAATCAAAATATTTCTTTAAGAAATTTAAGGCTGTATACGATAAAACGGTCGATTGTCAATTGAATCTAATGCTGCTACATATGCCTTTATTCGAAAAAACAGAAATAATTCCTATTAATATCTGTTGGAAATAGACCACACGCCAAATAGCAATGTCTGTCCCGGTAGTTCGGTATTAAAATACTTCTTAACGATACTTAAGGCCGTACAATGAAAGGATCGATTCTTGGTTGGTTGAAACCTATACTGTTTGTTGCAAAAGATGCTAACATATGATATATAGACAGATTGCTTTTCAATCACAATCGGTAAGAAACTGACGCACCACAGAGAACGTGCATAAAACCCATAGTTCAATAGTTCGGTATCAAAATACTTGGACAGACAGAATCTTTTTAGGTCTCCTTTAAAATCATGATTATTTTCCAGATTTGGTCAGGCACCTTGAGTAGCGGGGCATTAATTTCCGGCCGTGTGCATAGGACCGCCAAAATTATACTCGAAAGCTGCCAAGCAACTCTCTAAAATAATATTCTCTCCACTGACAATTCGAATACAGGACGGCTATGATCTTAAACTTTATCTAAAATTAATCGAAAATTTGCTTTGGGAAATTGGGTATAGGAAGAACAGGAGAGAAGAGCAGGAGAGAACCTCATTAAAAACGTGGAATATTTTTATTCTTCAACGCAGGAAACAAAATTGTCAAGCCTTATTTTTCCCTCTTGATATATTAGAAGCACATCGAAAATGTGACAACACTGCCAAAAAGTGTTAATATATATGGATATCATGCATGCTCATACAAAGGGGAACACTCAACGTGCACAACATGCAGGTGACGAACTAAATTTGTTTCTCTTCATGAGATTATACTGTCTGCTTTGATTTACCAAATGGAGCAACTTCAAAGCGGTTGCTATCCGCACAAAATTAGTGCATTGAATAAGCGCCTGAATGATCAAAACGATCTTGACTTAATCCTAAGAAAGCAAATTGTTATTACAATATTCTCCCTAATCCTTTTCAATTGCCTGTAACAGGAAGCTCCTAATTAAAGAGATATCCATAACATCCATTGCTAAAGTGTACAGGTTACCGACCTAGCATATACAAAGGGAATTTCGTGATAAATTGCCGGCCCTGCAGATGTCTGTGCTAGGTTTCAGGCTATTTTAATACCGACCAAAACATCGTACAGACTGTGAAGCTTGTATTGCTTTTTAATTTGGCTGCAAGCTGCGAGTAATTTCCATCAAAACATAGAATGTGCAGTTTGAAACATAGTGACCTATCATAATCCCCTGCACGTCCCTCCCCACAGGAGGCGGCGACGTCTATACACGAAGAACAATTATATATAGCATTATATCATTTAATCACAAGGGAACGGCTGAGCAGTTGCAAATAAAAGGCTGCGCGACTACACGGGGCGAAAATGAAACCGATAACTATATGCCTTATATAACCGTAAGATAGTTAGCGAAAATGTGCCTATTTTTTCCAGTTCCTGGGCTTGATTTTATATACCCTCACTATATAAGAAGATTCGTGTCCTATAATCACTCCTAATTTTTCATTCTGAATTGGTAAAACGTCCAATAAGTCGTGCTGTATATATCCATATACATGCACAGTGACAAATCATTTTAAGAGATACTGCATGTGTATATACGGAACGGACGTATTGCGCGAATATATGAATATATCGTCACATTTCTTTTATAAACACATGCACACATTTAAATTCGAAATTATTTACAAGCAGAAGTTGGGCCGACGCATGATTTCAATCAAACTGAAGAACATTTCATTTCGGTACTTCTGCGCTACCGTTTGCCGGAAACATAAGATATGTCCACCCTATATGGAAAAATTTAGTCATGAAGCATTAATGAACTGTTCCAATATATCAACAGGCGTAAAAATATTTTGAAAGGGGAAATTTAAAAAAACGCGTATTCAAATGCGAGTCCAAAACGCGCATTGAAACCATCGGAAGACGCTGTGCCGTCCAACCGCTCCGTGCATACGTGGCAGACAAACAGAAAACTAGAACTTTCAGTGTATTTCACCTTCGATCAACAATCGCACAAGGGCTACGCTATACATTCAGATGTACACAAAACCGTTAGAACAAAAGCAGTTTATCTTTCGAAAAACTTAATCAATTTGCACTTGCTGAAGTCGCCCTCTTGACTTCAATATATGGACACGAAATGAAACCGCGCTGTCGGTGTTTGTTTTATCAAATAGGTAATGCAAACGAAGAGCAACGATCGGCATTTACCAAAGAAAAGAATGGCTATGTTTTCATTAAAATTGAAAACGTGTTTCTATCGGCTCATTAATGAAACTCTAGGTGGCCATACCACTTCTGCACTATGGATCGATCTATTATATGGCTGGCCAATAGTACATGCAGGTCTAATCTCCGATATCTCCACAAAACGATCGTTCGTTAAAAACGTATACACTGGCCCTGCGAGAGTAACAAATACTGCATCTACACGTATATAAATATATATAGAAGGCACACAGAAATATCACAGACTGTCTGTCACACACGAATAATTTAATGGGATTAACGTTTGCTTTTCTTATCGATTATGTGTTGTTTAAAGGCAAAGAATCATTTCGGACTGCAATACAGCAGCGCGTTATTAAAGATAAACCTTTTTTATTGAAACATATATATATATATGCATGCATGCATCATAGGATAGTGTTCTTCTTATTTTCATATAGCCTACATTTCTAGTATATTATTATATATATCTTTTTTAAATATACACATTTATATATTTATACACATTCTTTTATATTTCATAATATTTCCGTAGAATTGGGATTCGTTGTTATTGCGCGAGTAAGCCTCCATGCTTGATGCGCGGCATTGTTCAGGACCTCGCGCGATTTACCGACGAACAAATCGACGCCTTTCAGAAAGAAATGCGGGCAGCGACGGCACTGTAGACACGACACCAACTGCAGCAAGATGCCGTTGATGCGCTCGCCGAGCGATGTCTCGTCCCATTCGTCTTCGCGCGGGTGTTTCTCACACTCGTACAAAAGCAATGTTTTCATAAGTAAAGGTTGAATAGGTTTTCCCGGAAGATCCAAGTGTCTCTCGAACAAAGTCTTTAGTATGGCCAAACATTGTTTACGGCAACTTCCTCGCAAGAGCACGTCTTCACCTTCAGAAAAATCTAAAACCCACGCGTCACCTTCGGCCGCCTGCGTCTCGTAACCTGGGAACATGTCGCCAGCGAGAAGGTTGAAGCCCCGACGTTTCACCACTTCGATCTCGGACTGCGATGGCCAGAGCTGGTCATTCGTTGGCCAAACACAAACGTTTCGCGGCCATATCGCGCCACATTTGAACGCAGGAATAAGACTGAGTGTATACTTGTCTCTGATCACGAGCACGGTAGACGACACTCCGCGTTGGACTCGAACCTGTTCCCTGGCGGAACATCTCAAAACGGCTTCGGCCACAAGCGAATGGAACCTAGCTCTCATCTTCCTCGCCGACAGATAACCAGACGCCGTGATAAATTCGGTCCAAAGCGACATCGAACGCTTTCGCTCGTCGCTGAGCTTGAGCATCGCACAACCTGGCGGGCAGTTATCGTCGATGAAGTTAAACACCCCCATCTGATTCAAGAACAGATGCAGTTCAAAGCGGGTCGAGGTGATGACGCGAAGCCCAGAGTAGCGGCCATTTTCCTTCTTGAAGGAAGATATAAATCTGGGTTCGAGACTTTCTACAGAGGAAAGAACATCGTTGATGATGGCAACAATGCTTTCTAAAGTTCGGCCAATCTCGTGTCTTCGATTACGGACCCTCTCTTGCACGTATTGCAGAATGAACTTGTTCAGTTCCACGAAGAACGCCATGTCAGGCGATGTGGTCTCGCAGCAAAGGCTCGACGATCGGCGTAGCGGCCGCGTTGAAGACTTTAGACAATCCGTATTGACTTCGAGATGTAGTAGTTCGCATGAGCGCGTTCAGTACCCAATTAAACTTGTCACACGTTATTAATCTTTGTCTCCGACAAAGCCACACGAAGACGCACCAATCAGAGTAAACTCGTCGTTCTCTTCGAGGCAAGCAAAGAATTGACAGAACACCAGCTTATCTAAGTATTTTAGTCACGCGGACAAGCGCGTTCAAAGAATCACTATGGCAAACCACATGAACCAGCAAAAAAACTTGTGCCCGTCAACGCCACGTTAGCAACCACTCCACGTCAACGACGAAGCGGGAAATAGACCAAGCGACGAGCAGACATTTCGGGTAATGAGCGGTTGTTTTAAGAACATGAATTTTATCGTTGTTTGCACTAGTGTTTGGTTAACACATCGAGATGAGTAAACAAAGACCGCCCACCGACTTAGTGCAAAAGCTGTGAAATTGATCACGCGGCTGCAATGAAACATTCACTCCGAGCATGCCGGCAATGTCTTTGCTACACTCCAATATATGCGACGTATACTTGACTTCCCCAAGAAACAAGTCATCCGGCAAAGGGCTGCGCGAACACGCAAGCAAGATCTAGCGAATCTCGCTACGACCAACAACGCTTCCGCGCGGCGTATTTCGTAACATTCAAAATCAATACGACGGGACAGCAAGTGTGACATTGCCGTGAGAAGCTCGAACTGTACGAAATTTAGCGCTAATTACTTAATGATCAATTTCAGTGACCTAATCTCACACCTTTTCACGGCGAGGCGGAGTAATATTATCACGAAGCATTATGTATTAATAGGTGTGCGAAAAGATTGTAATAAATAACGTGTTCGCCCGGCAAGTTCGTTTGTTATGCCTTTGAAGCTCGGACCTACTTAAGATCTTATCGCTATTATAAACAGGTAACTGTACAACGATTGCTAATTCCCTTTCACCGAGGAATCTCGATTGAAATTACCGCGCGTTTGCAGCTCTGTGGTTTTATTCAAATCGGAAGCGTACAGAAAGGTCTGTTTACACAACAACTCTGAGCAAGGCGGCAGGGGTTCGAAGTCTGGAGAGACGGACGGTGAACATGACGAGCAATTTCGCGACTCTACATGACCGAAATTCCTCAGTGACGAAGTGAGCGACACTATAATACGCGGAACACGCAAACCTGGGCGAATTTCGCTCGAAATAGGACGTCCCCGACCGAAGCAGACAGGCTACTTCGATATTCTTTGATCTTAAAGTCTCGAAAAATATTTACATCAATAATCAGGATTACTTTTGATTTCGGCGCTCTTTAAAGCTGGCGCTATATTAGAATTTGAATGAGATGACTTATTGATTCCGCCAAACGCTCTCCCCAAACAGAGCTAAGCAATCACACAGCAATTATTCCCATCACTATTACCATATTAATAACTGTATATTGAGTGTTTAATTCGGTAATTTGAAGTTTGTACTTCAATGCTTGACAATATGCAACATCATTTTAAACATTTGAAAGCGAATCACCACTTAGGAATAGTAAAAGAGAACTTAAACAGTTTTATTTAGCGAAACACGTTAGGCCTTGTCCCAAATTGGTCGAGCTGTCGCGAAGGGCTCCTGTTTAACGATATGAAATCGTCGAAATCTATATTTCCTCTTTCGTGTGTGTTCGCATATATACAGCCTATTTCGAAAAGTCTTCCTTCTAAAACCTCAAACGCTGAGCGAGAAAAGGATTATGGGTAACTTTAGAGGAAATTTGATAATCATGATGCGTAAGCTTATGATAAACACTCATCTAATGCAGAATTACTCCTAAGCTGAATACTCCAATTTGCTGTGCAAAAAATTGGTTTAATTGTGATCAGCATCGAAATAGCAACGATCTGGGCACTACTTCGTATTTCAAACATGGAATATTTGTAAATCCTATCGACTAGCATTGTACTTTTCAAACCAAAGATGAATATTAAAACTCCATTTACTATATCGATTACATACACAGGATAAGACGAGGTTATACGTTACACGAGGCTATTTACGACATAGTTGCACAGGCAATATGTATAAAATTGAAAGAGAGCGAATCAAGAATACACAGTCAGTTAAACTTCCGACTGCAAAATATATTTGTTAATGCCAAGACACAAACGTACTGAGCGCAAAGGTTTCTCTTTCGCTCTATATAGCAGACTATGAACATGCCTTCTGCTTTCAATGACTGTTATGTTGTAATGAAAAGAAATTTTGCTAATTTTGCTCATAATAAGAGCTTATCACGCTTGCTATATAATTCAAAACAATAAAGACGGTCATAAGTAGAATATAATCCTGGTTTTAAGGTAGTGTAAACTATAGAGAAGATACTCTTTTAACCGACACGAGATACGTTTTCGTCGACAACGAATATACTTGAACTATGTCTATATTCTGAAAATTGAACATAATAAATAGTGCATAATAAATAGTGTCTTCAACAGTTACAATTATGCATGGTCTCATTGGTCTGTACAGTATTATAGGTAAAATGTGTACGAAATTGTTTTCGCTATACAGAGTTTAAGGCACATATTGGACCAGTTTGTAAAAAGCTTTTTAACTTGTAACTGTAGTTAATGACAGAGTTTACTGATAATACACGAAGTGTTGCAAAGAGTTTGATGCAACCGCCCAAAAGTGTATAATGACATGATTATGAAACTATGTATAGCTTGTGCAATTCAAAGGGAGCGAACGTCGAGAAAAACAAACACATATATATAGGTCTATACGGCAGCTTGTTATTATGGACTGAGACGCAAGTCAACTGCGATAAATCAAACGACGAAGTCAGTACAAAAGCTGAACCATGTGAGTTGGGCAGGGAATCGACTTTGATCGCCGCCGACAACGCGAGTCCTATACTTCATCTGTCAAAGAAACTTAGCGTTCGGTCTGTAGGGGGGAACAATTGCCCGCACAGGCGGGGGAAAATTGGCAATTCTTCGCAAAGGTAAAAGTTACAGGTCTAAGGTAATAAAACGTATAAACGCGATACCACCGCGTGTAACGGGTGGGTGCATGACTAAGATCTGAGAAGATATATCAATATCACGACGCGGCTATTTATAAAATACATTCGGGAAAGGAGTTGTGTATTTTGAACCTCTACATTAAATTGCAGTCCAAATTTCGGAATGAGATTCGACATTTTTAAACCAGATAAACTTCTATAGACTGAAAAATCCAAAATATAGGGCAACCTCGACAGTTTATATATAGCTTCCCAAAATATATATAGATCTTTATGATTATCAGCTGAATGTGAAAAACACACGCGAATGTGAAAAATTACTTGGTGTATGAAGGGCCTTTTTTCTCAAAACGTAAAAGTTTTAGTTATGTTTATTTTAGGAAGACAACTCATACCAACCACTCCATCAGAGAAAAAATATAACCGCGCGTTTGTTTGTTTTCCGAATCGCGCTATCATATTCCTATTTGTCCCACGATTGGTGTTAATAAAACCTTCATCACAACAAAATCACATTAAAACTAAATTCATAATGATATCAATTGCATGCATGCATGTACCACCTAAGCAGTGTGAAAGGGCCTTTTTACTCGAAACACAAAGAAACAGCACGAATTGACAGCTGAAGTGTCATATCGAGCAAGTGCATATAAAATTGAAGTACCTAATTCCTTCCTTTATACGCAGTACATGTGGGAATACAGGTATTGCAAATGGATCTATATAGAAAAATAAACTTCCCAATATTCGTTTCTCACCAGAATGGCAACACGCGCACCCATCCGGTGCCTCAAAAACCATTCATTCGTTGTGTTGGATCGACTCATAAGCATGCAGGCTTCGTGCAACGACTAAATCCATTCGAGTTTAATAATTTTCCTCGCGATAAGTACATCTCGAAACCGCAAACAATATATTGGCCATAATTATTGCAATACTTGAGAAATACTAGACAGGGTAATGCTATAGCGTGAGAACATTTCGAACGGTTTAGTGTGCCAGACAAAAAAGAAAATTGGCAGTTACAAAGTTGAATGTACGTTTTATAATATATTTCAACAACCAATCGCGTGTTGGATTCGAACAGGGTCGTTCAAATGCCTTTTTTATGACCAGTCATACAAAGAGGCTATATATACACGAAGTTTCTCGACAAATATATACATTTCCCCCCTAATTCTGCATGTCTAAAAAGGATATATACAAATTACTATATTACTTGACACTATAATAAATTTACAAGTATATGTCATATATATAACAGGATAATATGGATTAGCCAAGGCCCAAGTGCATAACAGCTCGACGATTTGCAAACAAACAAACATACACGTGTAAGTTTTGAAAAGAAACAAAGGTCAATTGCATTGGCTCAAATTTCTCTCTGTCCGTGTACAAGGCAATTAAGTTCTAAAAAGCACTGTATTGTTAATACTATACAATTGGAAACCACAAAAATTGAAGTGGATGCTCGTTAACGTGTTTGCGGAGGCAGAAAGTATAGCACTATGTAAATTTACATACACATGCAGACATGGGTTAGACCAGTATATGTACATATAAATTATTTTTTACTGCCTATATATATTTTCGAAAAACGGTATTAAAAATGTCATGGCACACAAGGGTTTTAGGTCGAACTTGACGTTTCTTTATCTATCCAGGGCAGTTGTTATACCATATTATATAGATGGGAAGTTATTACATCAAACGATTCTTTCAAATAATTATACGTTATAATAAATGGCATGCACCCAAAAAAGCCAACATTTCAAGATGAAGCCTTATTGCCTCATGAAATTGTTATAAGTAGCGTGTGTTGGAATGTCAGATTTGAATAAAGGGATAAAAGATTAATGCAAGTACCTTGGACTACACAATGCATGTATACTACACAAGAATATCGTAGGAAAAAAAGAAAAGAAAAGAACTACTTCTCCTGCATCATCAGCACGTGTCTAATTCAAAACGATGTATTGCATGATTGACAGTCTTTTGTCCCGCAATTGATAGACTTCAATTGACCACTAAGAATCGATACACCTGCCTCTGGGAATTTTCTTTTTGTGAAGAACAAAATTACACGTTGCATGACAATTCATATAGCTAAACACATTCATTACTGGATCACAAAAAAGAACAATTTATGAAGTTATTTTCTGATTACGCAGTAATGATGATGACGTTTACTTCCATGCACATCGAGAATATGTTTAGGAAAAGAATGCATGCATAGCTGTAGCAAGCCAATCCAACTATATATCCTGGTAAATGAATGGGATGCATCTCAATAGCTTCAATATTAGTTGAAGAACCTGATATGTCAGGGCGAAAGTTAGACAGACTCTTTGACGTTTCTACCTAAGAGACTACGTCAGAAGATTCAGAGTATCATCCTAAGTTTCCCGACAAAGGTCCTTGGGTTTTTCGAAACGCTTTCACACTGCTCCTTAGTTAAATTTCCATATTTATAGAAACTCTTATAACTATATTTCGCGAAGCTTGGTTAAATTTCTATATTTATAGAAACTCTTATAGCTATATTTCCTGAAAAGTACAAGCCAATTCTTTTACTAACTATATAGTTAATCCACCTTTTTAAACTACTGGCCCTATATGTGTTTCAACTGTCTGAATCCAAAAACCAATTTTTTGCCGATTTCTATTTGGTTTAAAGAGATTATTCACCGGTAAGTCATATTCTGCTGCGTAACCAAGCAAACATATAATCATCACAGAAACCAGTTGTTGATGAGATTTCATGGATTAAGAACTTTAAGAGTGGATTAAAAATGTTCAGAAACACGACAACCACCAAGGAAGACAATAACGCTGATTATCACTAATCGATCATGAGAAGATAAGTTTTTATATGGATAAAGAAATTTAAAAAAATGGAATAAGAAAAAAAATATAACAACCACCAAAAACGATATAAGGCTGATCAGAGTCGTAGCCAAGAGAGCAAGAAGTGAGTGGAGAGCAGTATTAGACATATACATGATATTCTACTCCAAGTCAGTTACGACTAACCTATATTTTTGACAAAAAGTTCATCCAATTTCTACTTCCTTCCATCATGCATGTTAGTTTGAAATAGTTGCAACAGCACGTTTGATTAAGTTAAGGATTAAATATAACTAATGTTAAATATTTAATGGTGACTACGCATTTCAAAAGTCAACCATTTCTGCATGCAACCGAGATTAAAAAATGTCAATTAAAATAATGATTTCTTGAGCATTACACCCTCATAAAGCAGTTTGGCAATAATACTCCAAAGTTGAAAGAACCAACGAATAGACACTTGCTGAAATTGCTTGAGTGCACAGGGAAGTGTCTATTTTTCAATTATCGGTTTCAATTATTACAGCCTAATTTTAACAAATCTGCGATGCCTATACTGTATACTCTATGCCAGTTCACATCTAATAGAATTTGAAACGTTCTACGACTTGCGGTTATTCCAGTCCGATTATATGAAGGTATCTAATTCTAAGGTTTTTCATACAGCTTTTACATATACCAAGTGTAATACCAAAATGTATTAACATTATGCAATTGAATTCAAAAAAGGCGAATTCTTGCAGTTGCGAATCGCGCAGTCAAAAGGCACTGAAATTGGACAATATGAAACCGCGCAGTTAAAATCCGGACGTGAATTCTTACTGCAGTGCAGTTGATCATATAAATAGTTCAACCCTGCAGCATACTGCCTTTCTAGGATCACACTTTGTACTTTTCATTTCCGAAATTTGGAAAGAAGAAAGCATGGCAAAATTCGCATCAAAGGTATAAAAACTGCCTAAAATAGAGAAAAGCAATTCTCGGAATTTCGACCGAAGTGCCTTCGTTAGTATGGAAGGAAATATGAGACAGCACATCCCTTGTACGAGGAGCAAAACACGTGACAAAATAGAACAATAGGAAACGAAAAATCGAAACAAATTAGAATACCACTTCGTTACCAAAGAGATGCCTGACTTTCATCAAGTGTTTAGCTGCATACAAAACATTTGCACTCCCCTATTCTCTTCACACTAACATTCCTGACAAAGGACCAATGGTCGAAGAATGTTTTTGTCTATTTTATGCAGTTGTTATAGAATCATACAACATTTAACGCGAAGATGCATGCTGGAGGACACCATCATGGCACGCTGGTTATATAACAACATAAATCTAAACACAACATTAACAGAAAATAAACTTACCTTTGGGTCTAACTTCAGATTATCCGAATGTTCTTCGTCAAGTGAGAAATATACAGCGGTGGTTGTAATGGTGAGGGTGCCGACAGCAGCAATACACGGTGATATACTCTTACACGACGCAGTTAAAACAACATGATCATGTGGACTCAGGTCTTTCGCATCACTCTCGCTTGAAGTCATGTCGGAGGTATCTTCTTCTTCAGCGGGACGTTGCTCTTCCTCGCTGGAGATGTTCACATTGGCGGGAATAGCTTGGTGGCCATCGTTTGTCTTAGCGTGGTACGTCTCTGAATGGAGAACATATGAGTGTTAACGCCACCACACTACCCCAAGTCAAATATTAACCAATACCCCTACAAAGGTCCTCAACCCTACTTCATAACCTATAATATACATTATGCATGGCTATCAAACAGTGCAATACTGAATTAAAGAGAGAAATGGAAACATTTCCTACTTCGACTCATACATCAATCACATCGCCGGTCAAACATCGTTCGTATATTACAACAGCAATTGATCACTTGCTTGAGAAGTCTAATGAGTGTACTACATCAGTAACAACCTTCCATATCGGCGTGTCCAAAAAAGGGAGGTTTCTCGCACAAGTTACTCCTATGTATAGTATGACTCGGCCGCCATAGGTCTAACATTTGAGTCATGCGCTAAAAATCCAGGTGGGTTGAATACTTGATGCTTATGTTTAACTTTGTATACAACAAAAGTATAAACATAGTTGTATGGATTTGCTTCCAGATACTTATGTGTGATTAATATGAATCTTCTATGATCAGGACTCAAAATCTTTTCATCTTATGTTGCCCCAAAGTTTACGCACGTTAATTGTGCAACACTAACCTAACGCCTCCAGCAAAGTGGCCTCTGGGTGGGTGGAACCATAGGGGTTATTAACCAATCGCATACGGCGCCCAATGTCATCCTGCCAGTTGTCCAATCGTCTGAACTTTGTTGCTTGTTTATCACTTTCCTTCCACGCACCGTATTCACTGGTAATGACACCCATGATCTGCCAAAAAACATTGATTAGCATAATTGCCGGCAGGAGACTGAAGAGGAAATATGGTGAATCCAAGGATAAGAAAAAGATAGGGAATATATGTATCTTACAAGAATGCATGCAGTCCGAAATTGTTTAAAAAAGCGACCGACTTTCAGTTTGAAGGATGCAGTGTGACAAGAAAAGGTTTTTCACGTCATTTGGTATATTTCGTGTCATTTTATCAAGTCAGATCACTGAAAATTGTGCATTCGCCATTTTTTACGTAATGGTAAATTGAATTCGCGCTTAGGTCTGTAAACAATTTCATTGGCTCCACAAGAGCAATAAATAAGCAAGAAAATCAAAATTTCAATACTCTCGACAGCATTTTATCCTAAGTGAGACTTTCTAACTTTTTGTTTTAAATAAAAGTTGCAAATTCTATTGCATTTATTCTATTGCAAATTCTGAAGAATGTAAAATATACTTCACAAGATATCTTAAGTGGGCCTTAGAAATAATTAAAAGCGTTTTAGTGCTTTGAAATCATCAATGATCTCCAAATTAGCCTTAAATGCGAATTGCATGCCTAATATCATTTCAGCTTTCAAACCAGCTTCCTTTGGATGTTAATAACATTTTAAGCCCAATAGCTGTCAAACCTCGGTCGAAATTTACAGGTTGTTACCTTTTGGAACTGTCTTCGTGCAGTATTCTCATCTTTCTCGCGAGTGGCGCTTGTTATATGATCGTGAATCGAGCCCTTGTGCACGAACACGTCGTTGGCCAGATCCGACGCAGTCTGAAATAATTCATGCTTTTGACCATCGACATCTCTCAGTTTCTGCAGAATGAACAGTGCTTCGCTGGTGGTCAGAACCAGTCTCTCGCGCGTCGCATGGGAAACCATACGACCCTCGTTGATCAAATCCATGAACGCCGAGCCGGCGTGCCGCTGCAGCGAGTTCTGCCATTCCTGAGAGCATAGTAACATCACAAGTTCTACGACGGATTCTGACTTCAGGCACGACAAGCCTTCCATTAGCAGCTCTTGGTTATGACTGCCTACGAGAACCTTGGACAGGAATGAACAGAAATCCAAGAGAATTTCGCGGAGAAGGAACCCGGACGTCCCAAACGTCAACTCGAGTTTCTCGGAGAGGCTCATTCGATTTGAAAGTCTACTGGTGAACGTCGGACTACAGGGTTCCTTCCCGAGGTTGTCCAAATCAACGTGTTCCATTTCACCGTTCTTTTCCGCACCAGCTTTACCTGCTTCCGACGAGCTGGAGGACTGACGTACAGGGCCAAGGTTAACCGCGGCAGTGTTACGACTTCGTTTACCTAATATATGGAAAGGCATTTATATATATGCAAGTAGAAATTCAGCTGATATTCTACTTTTCGATTGTACCATTATCCCCTCATCTTTTCGGCAAGGCAAAGCTAAAGTTGGTTCCCGTAACCAATTTCGTTAGCGCTCAGGCTACCAATCTAAAGGCCGAATACAGATGAAATTGGTACGCGTACCAATTTTAGCCATGTCGTGCCAACAGAGTGTAATGTAGGCCTAAATGGGACTTTATACTCACTCTATGTTAATAACAGGAGCCTAAATACTCACTTCAGGCCTAAATACTCACTCTATGTTAATGACATGAGCATACAAAATGGGCATACAGTGAAATGAACTACTCCCACGCAGTTGGTAAACTAAATTGGTGGTGCTTATAGAGTGATAAGGCTTTTTACACGTGCGACTAATTTATCAAAAATTGCCAACTTCACACGGCGATATTTTTCCTCAACATTCCAATAGTACTAATTTTGAGATGCTGTTCTCGACCGTAGTTTTCCGGAGTTTTTCTACTTTTGAACTCAGTTCAAAAACAGAGTATGGTCCATTAGATATTTAGATGCATACTTATGTGCATTGCAATGGTCAGGCATTAGGGGAGTTCACGATCCACGACCCGGGTTTCCCGGCGTCGCTAAAACGAAACTACATCCTGAAACTACGAAAATTTAACGTTTGAGAGTTTAATGCTCTAATCAGTGCATGCACGATTGTTCTAACAAGGCAAGTAATGTACACAATATGAATAATTCATATGATTTTTCAAGATCGGTACACTTTTCGCTTCAAAGAACCATGCAGAAATAGGGAGGATGACCGTTATAATACCTTCTGGGGGAGAGGTTTCGCCATTTGATTTTGGACTGCTTGGAGGATCACCTTTCTCTTCCTCGAGAATGTCGCGATATTTTGACACGGTGAGCACTGCGACGAAATACACGACAGTAATGGCCAAGAATTGCGAGTGTCGACTGTCCTCAAAATCACGATATATGGCTGCGCGTAGTCGATGAACATCCATATCTTGCAACAGCTTATCCGGATCAGTGATCGTAGTAAGATATCCAGGCATGTTTTGTACAACATTCTGAAAAAGTATGTTGTATATCTAGGAATGTAAGCTCTGGATGGTACAACTTCAAGATGAACACTTTTTCAGACGGGTTGCACGTTTATGGATTGATAAAAACAAGCGCATGAACCAATATTGATGTTATGCAGAAATTTACTGTGTTTTTTGCACAGTTGAAGCTCTGAACAAGAGCGAAACTATTAAAATTGAATCTTAGGGAACGCTCGCACGCTTATTCGTATTTACACGTTTGTCTCCTGCTTGTGACAATGAAATAATTTCACTTTTATGTCAGCAAATTTAAGACGATTTCATGTACGAAAAAGATCGGCAGCATCATTTATCCGGAAAAAGCTATTTATATATTACCTGATCAGTCGGTGGTTGGGTTGAGGCGATGATCGCTTTTATTGCGTCCTGCGTGTCTTTCTTTGTCTTAAAACTTAACCTCGTTCTGTCTATCGGAATGTAACGATGCTGCTTACGACGACACACTAAACGATTCCTTGCTGCACAGCAAAGGGCTGTAAGGTAAACGTTGAATCATTCAAACTACAATTTCGAGTAAAAGTCTCGTTACTTATTTCACTGAGTGGCATTGCATGACGGGAAGCAGTGGGACGAATTAACCACGATGGTAACTCAGAGTAGCAGCATCACATTAATTCATCTGAATTATACGCACAATTACTATAACTAAATTTTGCAGTTATGGAAAGGACTAGATTGAGTTCTGAAATACTGCCATATTTGATTTCAACTGTTTTGCCCTAGTATAGCTAAGTTGGAAGAGCATTGGACTAGCAAACCAAAGGAACGGTAGCAATCAATAACATAATCATTAGGTTAAAAAAGCCTTGTGACATTTTACTAACCGAGTCTCGTACACTGCCTCAGAAAACCACCGGTACTTAAACTTCTGCTCACTTCCACACCACCGAAGCTAAAATTACTTGTATAGACAACAGTGTCGACCAAGCTCATGACACGGTTCAAGAAAGAAAACGCCGTCTCCAATTGCATTCCCCCACACGGCTGTATAACATCTTGTGAGAAGTCGGGCGATGTTGCCGAGGAGAGCAACGGCAAAAGATCTCCGCAACAAAATATCATGCTGTCCGCAAGAACGGAAATGAGAAATGCCAGATTTGATATGTAGATGAAGTTTTCTTTCGCATTAACGAAGTCCACGACGGTCTTTCGAGTGTGACTAAACGAAAAGAAAGTTGGTCGAGGCATTTTGCAAAATATATATTTTGTAGCACAAATATCTATCGTCACATGCAGGGCACAATCCTTGCAATAATACGTTTTAATCTTATCAAATTCATAACATATTTCTGACAGTATTTTTTATCTCATAAAATCAATTTTGGACGCATTTTTGACAATGCCCAGATCGCAAGATCGAACCATGCCATATGTCGCACATTTTTCTTATTCTGCTTTTAAGGTTAATATTAAAAGGTAATGTTTTCATTCTTGCAAGCATTTCTAGAAAATCCTTAAATAGGAGCATGCATGCTTTGCCATGGCAAATACAAAACTCACAATTCAAATACGTTAAAAAATCGCTTCGAAACCCAGCTTCGAAACTACGATAACCTATACTGTACCTTCTCCACACTTGAAGATCAGATTCGATGGCAAAGAGGACATCGGCCAGTAAACGTTGATGCATTGGTGACCAAAGGAATTCTGGTATGAGTGGCCTCGATTCGTGTGGACTGCTGGGTGAAGTGGGAGATGTTGGTTCAGAGGCATCACCCTCCTCTTTTCCCTGTTTTTCACTTCCATTCGTCGCCTTGCTTATATCGATAGAATGAGCTTTTGAGACATCGGGCGACATCGCCTCCTGGGGCAACCCGTTGTTTTCAGGAGCAGGTTGCTCTGCGGTTGAAATGTCCCTAGTGGAGGTTTCGTTTTCGTTATTAACGACGCGTGTATCACCTTCGTTTGAACTGGGCCCGTCTGAAGGTTTTTTCAAATCGTTTTCCAATGCTAGTGCGGTAGCTTCTTTCTCTGAAGACTTTTCGCCAAGTTCGTCAGCAACAGCTACTTCGCTATCATCATCAGGTGTTCCTTCTTCGTGAACATGACCACCATGATCCGTTCCGGCCTCTTCTTTTGTTGCCGTACCTTCTTTGCCTGCATTATCGTCCGGCTCTGAATCGTTAGCAGAGCTTCCCTGAGTCCCTTGCGTAACATCAACTTCTTCAGGCTCCTTATTGTTTTCACTAGAAGATTTATTTGCATTGGATGTGTCTTCAGGTAACGTTTCGGGGTCCCCTTCGTTGTCGCTTGTACGGTTTTCCTGCTCCTGTTCGCTACCGCCATCGCTCTTCCCTGCGGAGTTCTGACCACTTCCTGCCCCATCTTCTTCATCACCTAAATCCACTTCTCCTCCAGGACGGTCGTTTGTACTCACTACTTCTCCCCTATCATTTACAGGGGGCTCATGATCTCCATTAACCATGCTTTGTTCAGTTTTGCTTTCCGCATTTTCCTCATCCTCCTTCGACGATTGAATGATTGAGTAAAAAAACTGCTTTCGGTAATCCTTGTCTTTATCGGTTTCTTGTACCTGGCTTTTCCGTTGAATATCAACCGTAGCTATGTTCACCGCCTTTTTCCTGCCGGAGTCGCTGACGTTGGAACTTGTGGACTGCGTTCTTGTCAACGGGCGTGGATCGCTTTCCGCGCCCGGTTCTTGAGATGGTATGTCCTCGATTACATTAGCCCACTTGTTTGCTAAACCTCGATTGAAGATCTAGGATATGAAACAAATTATGCTTTTATTTATCAAGTTGTACTGATTAGCTATGGTACGATCATTTATAGTTTCGATCACGATTTGAACAAAACATCCACGAAAAACATAAACTCTGGAATGATTCACATCAAAAAGGCTCAAAAATTAGAGGAAAAGTTCATAAATGAAAATTCTGACAACTTAATTCTCAGACTAATAACCCTAAAACGTCCTCGTTGTATACCTGCCCGTGTAAGATTGCCAATGTGTCCACAAAAATTCTCCATCCTTCCGCCTCGTGTTGAAGTGCATGGTGAAGGAGCAATCGAATTAGAGAAAATACAGTATCTGTTGTCTTTACCTGTTCTGTAGAATGAAACAAAAACAAATTGAGTCACAAATGTTTCCGCAGCAATATTTCCCAGTTTTCGACCCAAGGTTTGACGTAAGGGAATAACTGCTTTTGATCAAATGTGACCTATCGCAGATACCCTCCATTTTTGTGATCTATCTTGGATACTTAATTGGAGATGAACCTACCTTTAGATTCAGGCTCGAACTTGGCCAAAGATAACAAGAAATCCTGCCAACATGATATCTGCAAAAAGTACCTGAAAAGCAGCGTTCAAAAGTTATATATATACATATATGATTCGGTCGGAAGATGGTGCGTGAAGGACTCCAAGGTAATAAAAATGGATAATCAGGTTTCGTCATATTACAAATCTCTTACACATTTTTCATTTACAATTATAATACTACAATGATCATAAGATGTACGAAGAAGTTGCAATCCTCAATGGAAACAGTACATTCAGTCTTCTGAATTAGAATTGATAATTTTTGATTCGACGACTACCCAATCAAATCATAAGGTAGAGCAGTTTATAAAAAACCTGTTTTGCTAAAACTAATTTTTACCATGCATTAGCAACGTACGTAAATTGGTCCTCCTCGTCTGGTTTAGAAATATTTCCTAACTTTACACCAAACACAAAAGATACCGTGCGCCTGTGAACACAGGTTACAAACCTTTACTATATATAAACACGAACGAACATGCACGAACGTGCAAAATCAAGGTGACTTCTTTGTACTCGGGGCGTTAAGCTTCATCACAATCAGAGCCTCACCTCGCATGCACTGTCGAGAAACCTCTCTGCTAAATTCACTATATTTTCACAATTTTTGTGCTATTGGTTAACTCGTTTAAAACTACATTCACACCGTACGACTCTTCAAAACGAGTGTTGAGTGACCGATGATCCTGATTAAAAAACAGCACAGGATTCTCTATATACATTCATCGATGTCACAAGGAAAAAGTTGCAGGAGTGATTGTACAAAATAGAAAACGATGAACATCTCATAATGAATAGTGAATTTTAGTAAATTAAACAAATGAGGTTTTGATTGTCTATGTTTCTTGTCGCCATTGCTCAGTCTGCCTACACAATGATAATACAACCGAACGCCGCTTTTTGTAAAAAAATAAATACGTTATTTACCGTTTTAGTCGGTCTGGATAGAAAAACATATATATGGCTAAAAAGTGTCAATTAAGAATTCGAATACTCCTTTCTAATTTGTTTTATTCTTTCTTCATGGAAAACACAATACCTGCAATTGCTGTGGTTGTGATTTAACAAGAGCATCAAGTCGGAGAGAAATACTCTTTTGATGTCTATCCTACGGCGAGCGTCGGAATCATCGTCTGTTTTACTGTCGTCTTGTTTTCTTTCTTCTTCAAGAATTAACTCGACCATGACAGGAATGAAACCTAAATGAAAACCCCGGGGTATCAACCTTTGTAAAAAGTCTGCAAAATCATGCAATTTACGGACGACCAAAACGTTCTTTTGATTACCAACTGCGGCCTGTTGACGAAATAAAAACATGGATGTTTTATCCGCAAACTATACGTTACAGCACAGGCTTCTTATAAAGGTCTATAGAAGCGCTGATACTTATTTCAGAAACAGATCACTTGTGAAATTAACTTATACGTTTTTTACAAATAATGTGTTAAACTATATATTTGAGGTTAAGACGATTTCTTAAATGTTCAGTTTCACCATAATTACACCCAATAGCGTATATATAGCTACACCTTTTGTAAAAAGCCACCTTATGTGTACACAGAAATAAACAAAGCAGAAGTTTAATTTTGTTCCTTTCCAGACATTATTTGGCTGGACAAAGTACAGTTAATATTACCAAAGTCATACTGGCCAGTTTCAGTTTCTATTACCTACACTTGGCTTATCATAAAATATATTTTGGGAGAAACAGTATTCGGACGAGCTAGCAGATTGCACATGACTGTATTCCAAGATTTTGTGTCGAAATTTTTCCGCATGCTCTAACCGAGCAAAATTGCTTCGTTTAGAGTAATATAGCCTGAATCTATATAATTCTATATAATGCTATAAACGCACCTGGATTGGTAAGTAAATACGTTGAATCAGGTTCAGGATGACGATCAAAGCGGATTTGCTTGTAAACTCTTCCAGTCAGAACCTAAACATTAATTCGGATTAAATTAGACGCTTGTAATGGAGAGCAATCAGTATTAATAACTTGCATTTGGCATGCTGATAAATGATGACTGGCATACATATATTTATACAGATATACACCTATATTACCTATATATACAGTATGCTTTAAGACTAGGACATCATCGCAGGACCGATAATTTAATTCCGCCCGAGAAAATATTACTAATACCGCGCTATTTGGTCCTGGAAACTACACTTATCGCCATATCTTGGTATACTCATTTGACATCTTCCGGTCCCCAAAAGAGTAAAATGGAATGTACTGAATAGATTTATTTAATTATTGACTTCACCTCGTAAAGGGCGTTGTAAGAAGTTAGCGTGAGTTCAAACACTTTTAATTTCTCTCCAATAAAAGAAAACAGCGAAAACTCCTGGATGACGTAAAGTTTCTTCCTAATAGTAAATAGGAGTGATGTTATATAGAGGCAAAAAAGTGCAATAGTGCAGGTAATACTTTATTTACGTATCGCGTTCACCGCCGTTTTTTCACGGCATGACTTTATTTATCGAACCAGATCACTTTCAAAACGGAAAGGTGGGGGATGTATATTCATATATTCATACATTCAATGCCAGGACACTGAATGTAAGGTTTTAGGGTATTTCGTGCGGCTCTTTGCACTTATAAGAAAAACAAACAAACAGCCAGACTTACTCCATGGGACAGTATCGTAAAAAGGCACCAATTAACTTAAGGCTATATATTCTGAGGGCTTCGTCCTCTGCTGATAGGAAACGAAACAATACTCTATAAAAAAATAAAACACATAAATTAATATGCATTACGTTTGACACCGAAAGTTTTCCCCCAATATTAAAGAAGGTAATGTATTAATATGCTTGTTTTAACGTTTAACGGTTAAACAAATTCGGTTTTTTAGAACTCTATGTCCTATCAGAAATGTGTTTTAAATCTGTAAGTTCATTGAGGTGGGCCTAAGACAGATGTTGAGGACGGCCGGACCTATTCTGTCACCTTGAGGTATACTTACATCGAAAAGCATAAAAGATATAAAATGACATGTATGTGAACATAATGTTTTAATATGTTTGTTTTAATGTTTTTGTTTTTTGTTTTTTAAACAAATTCTGTTTTTTAAAGCTCTATGTCCTGTTATAAAATCTCAATCAATAATATTTTTGAGCTAGGCCTACATAGAGTGAGGGTAGATCGTAAGGACAGCCGGGCCCAATTCTGCACCCTGAGGTATACCTACATTGAAAAACCTAAAACACATAATATGACATGCATGTTGAACAACTTAAAACCAGGAGTTTTCCAATAATTTTGAATTGCTAATGTTTTATCTTCGGATTATATTTTTTACCTGATTCCCTCAAGTCTATCTAATGCCATAATGATGGCCATAGGTTTCTCACACATCAGATCAAGAATAAACTGCAAAATGTCCACGATATTTTCTTCCTGTAACACAGACCCACATTTTTTTACACTTTCTGAATTACATGCATGAACTATTTTGTATTAGTTTACATGTATTGAGCTTAATTTAAACAACTATATAAAGAAGATTTGTTAATACAAATGTGTCTGAAATTATTATTTAAACATTATTATGAAAACGTATTTACGGGCATAAACAGGGATTTAAAATTTTTTACATCGAACTCTGTTCGCTTTTCTGGTCTTTCAAATGAATCGGAAAAACAGGACCTGCATGATCAACCCGAAAGTAGCTAAATCCAAGGTACTGACCTCTTTAACTGCACATAGATAACAGAATATGCTTTCTAGTTCACAGTCCTCGATTCGGTCACCCTGCATTTGAAAGAAAGCATTTATTTTACCTGGCTGTACCAAGTGGAGAGAAAGGAGTTTCCGCAATTGATCTTTTGCCTAAATAGATCTACCGTAACAAATGTTTTCACAAACTCCTTATTTACCCACGTAAAACAAATTTCTTATATGAACTTTTGCACTGGGCCCACATCGGTGAGAAAAAGTAGATAAAAAGAATTAAAGAAGTGTTTGCATGTATACGCTCGCATTTCCTCACAGCGTTCATGCGATTACAGGAAGTTAATATTGATCCGCGATGCATAATACTGTAGATGCAGTATAAATTCTCGTGTTCTCACCTGAACAATCATTTGTTTTATAAGAACCATTATGAATGCTCGAAGTGAGAGTAACTCTTCTTTACTTGGCCGTGGGACACCTTGAAAGAATATATACAGGAATGGTCAATTTTGAGGTCTGGTTTACAGGGCCGAGATTTTTAAGGCAGGGGCAAAAATTTCGTGAAGGTCACTTTTGCGACGAAGGTTGCATTTGATAAATGATGATGATTGCCCTCCACACACCTCTCCCATTACTGCAAAAACATTCCAACGTTGATGGACGCTTTCAGTCGCCTAAAATATTTTTCGCATTTTCGAAGACCTCGAAACCGAACTTTTCAAACTTACCGGATTCCGGGATATTTTCTGGCTTGACAACCCAGTAATGCGTTCGTAGCATGTCAATGAACTTATTTACTCCCACCTCGCGTCGCATCAAATCTGGACAACCTGGGTTCGAGATAAGATCTGTGGCAAACACGCTGAACAAGTGTAGCTGGACCTAAAACGAGAGTTCCTCACAAATAATAATCCAAAGATGCAACAGTACAGTGCTCTATATTTTTCATTCCCCACTTTAATAACTGCACATAAAGAAGACTGCTTCAATCGCTCAGCTGAAGAATTTCAATATGCCTTTACAAAATGCCTTTGCTTTTTCATCTTGTGTCTTTTGGTGGTAATCATAAACTTTTTTATGTCATAAATTTTCTTGATGCATGTTTATGTGTTGAAAAAGAATGTTTTGGTACCCTTCCCACACAGCGGGTGAGCGAAAAAAGGATTTTCTTAACGCAAGGGATGTATAGAATACATGTTGAGTTCGGCACTTGTTGTCGTATCTTTATCATCTCAGCAGTAGGATTTCATGAACGATCTTACTTCCAACGGTTATACCTCTGTAAGTATATTTTAACATCACACGCGTAACCAACCTTAAATGGCGTGTTTATCCACAATCTAGCATTGAACAAGACGTGATCAAGCAAAGTACCAAGCAGTCGTATTTTCCTTGGCTGATAAAGCAGAAACCTGAAAAATTAAATATTTGCTTGAACTCGCAATTAGTAAAGTTAGTAAAGTTAGTAAAGAGTAAAATGAGTGAGCTTCGATTGCCGTTTCCTTATCAGTTCCCGCAGTCTACATGAAGAACTGAATCCACGAATGCATTTATTGATTCCGTTACTACAGTTAACGAAACATTGTTCCTAATCATATTCTAAAGAGCACAGCGTTGCTCAAACCTGTTTTGATCTACCGAGTGTTTTCACCAGTGTGACATCAAGAAAAACACTAAAAACTAATTGTTTGCATGAATACGATGTACATACATAAACGTCTGCCTTTAGCAAACTGGATCTGCTACTCTCGTGTAAGTAGATAAATATTAAATACCTTGCCAAGGCAAGAAGATAATCCGAAGCTTCTTCTGTCAATATGGCAGCATCGGAGCACTAAGAGTGGAACAAAATATGTGATTAGCACCAAGGTAATGCAACTTGATCTTTATACATTTTGTGTTCTGGAGTAAATTACCTTAACCGGATTAACATTACATTGTCTATACAACGTATAACAAAGTCGAGGGCCATGAACTACTAGAGGACAAGCAGACGCACGGAATGACGTCACAGAAAGTCATCCCTTGTTTTTTTCAGCTAAATATGTTTTAGCACGTGTCTTAAGCTAGCCAATAGGATTTCTCCAATTCTTGTAGATCTTGTACTCGTGATATTAGCGAAATTTTGACTTTTCTAATTTTCCAAGTTTTGGAGAAAACAGAAACAAATTGCTTGCCTGTTTAATTGAATAATTTTTTCCATTTTATTTTATAAAACAAATAACATAACCGTTGATGTTATCTATTTGTTAAATAGCCCAAGCGAACATAAATGAGATTTCAAAAAGCTAAACATTTTTAAACTGCTTATTTTTTACGCAAGAGGAAAAGATCAATTTCTTACTGGCAGGCACTTCCAACAAGCAACATCTTACATGTAAACTTAGCGGACGCGCATTATGCTGATACGGTGATTACATATTTCACAATGTGAAATTAATGCAAAGTAAGAAACACTGTGTGTGCGACCTTGTCGTATTGCGTTTTTTCTTTAAACAACTATATAATGATTTGATGTCGTTAAATGTCACGTTTGCAGCTTATATACATTACCTTTTCCAACAAGTAACTAACAACGTAGAATCCACGTCCCTGGATCATTTGTTGCTGACTGGTCTCGGAATTCTTCATGAAATCGCAAAGCAGGGAAAGAAGCAAAGTACTAAAGATAAAATTCCAGTCAAAACTGTTGCTGTTCATAATAAAGATATAAAGTTAGTGACGCATATATGCATCAATTGAAATGTACCACCATATTTGCTTACCAAATATCCCTGTCTGCTTCACGATCTTCCGGGTTTTCTGTGTGAATGTAGTCGAGTTGCGCAAACAGTGGAAACAACATCTAGAGGAAAATTCCAATGAAATGGTATCGGTGGGAATGCCCGCGGCAAAAGCAGGGCAGATAATTTATAGGAACTTCATGCATGAGGGATACACATTCCTTCTGTGCAAAGCCAAAAAAGCGTATCAATCATGAATGCGCGAATGGCGCAACTTATTAATGCAGTGTAATTGCTTTATGGTATATAATGTCACATTTGCACCCCACCCCCCAAAAAAAGTAGTATTCCATATAATTCCAAGTCAATAAAGGTAACGACAAATGTGACCTTTGTAGGTGGTATTTCACCACAATTCATGATATACGCGACTAAGACATTATGGTACCTGGACTCCACCAAGAGAATGTAGGCTCGTTTGAAGCGAGTGAGTGACAACGGCTTGCACACCCTAAATAAAATACATTGCATTCGGGACCCACAAACATTTAAGCTTCATGATGCAGCAACTTCATAATTTGCTTTGGTAATTTTGTGATTACAGCTAAACTATCGCAATAACGTTCAAGGCTTCAAACAGCTCGTAAATGTAAACATATTTAGCTTGATATATGAACATATAAATACCGATTAAAAATCCCTATCCACACGACTTTTACAGTATATACTAATAAAATTACTTTATTAGTATTATTATATATCCGCAAAGGTTAACGGTAAAACAGTTCATAGAGATGAGGATTTTCTTCGATAAATTACGTTTTACCAGTAGGGGTGCTATTCAATGTTCAAAGTTATGGTCCAAAAAGGGCTATACAAGAAAAAAACTTACTTCCAACATCAATGCATGTGGAGATTCGCAAAAATAGGATGCGTTTGTGACAGGAGATGACTCAAGACACAACTGACCATCACATGCTATTGGATTGTACGTGAACATTATCGAGGCAGACAATTTTCCGTCGTAGATAACCTATAATGTCAGGCGGAGATTTACAATAGTATACATGCACATACAAAACATGTACATATTATTTTACACATTTTGATAAATTGGAAATAGCTATATATGTACGTCAACCACAAAGATTTGTCGGGAAGAGTCTAATATGCATGTGCGGAAACTACAGCCATCATTTTAATTTTTTACTTCTCGTTTTTCATTTTAGCTTGAAATATGCCAATAAACCACTAAAACTTAAAGATTAATATACTGATATTTCACTGTAACATACCTTTCTGTCTTGCTCGCTCAACGGCGTGTCAATTTCATACTGGAACTGGAATTTGTTCTAAATCCAGGAGAATTAAAATTATCAATGAAACGTTTAAAACCAGTAGTGAACTTTAAAGTCGGTTTAAAAATTGATTGAACGGATAAGAGGAAAATAGAAGCAGTGTATTGCATCAACTTTTTATTTCTGTTCTGACATTGTGTATATACATACCTTGTAGCCTGGTCCAAGATGATAGATGGCTTGAATGACCGGCCACGACAGAGCATCTGTGAATAAATACACTGCTCCCATTTGACCACGGAAGACGCTCTTTATATCTGCACTCGGAGAACTGCCGATATAGCATTTATCGAGCGGCTAAGATAAAAGTGTGAATAATAAATCATTATACGCACGGTAATATCCTAAAGAGTTAAACAAAATAACACGATTAACAGACATGCACGTTTCATGCATGCATGTCATATAATTTAATCATGCACAAAAGGGCTTAAATCGTCGATAGAATAATTTATGTCAATCAATGATTTACCTACAGTGAGGTACAGTGAAAATTTGAAAAAAAGAAGCTAAGATACAGTATCTAACCCATGCATGCATGGTTGTTCACGAAGCATACAGTTTGCAGTCGGCTTTGTGAAAACGTATCAGGAGTCTTTACTAATACCGTTGTTGTATTCCCTATTGTTTGTACCGCGACAGTACTGTACAAGAATGGTCAAAAACTGACAGAACGTATGAAACCGTAACAATGTGCGAAATAATTTTGTTACTACAGTTAACGAATCTTTTAAGAATTAAAATCACGCCATAGTAATGCAGCCTCAAATTCCTTTGTTTGGTGGCCATTTTAGGCGCTGGCCACATGCAGATGATCAATTGAAATTAAAAATGAAACTATTTCAACACGATTGTTGAATTCCCTTTTTCTACTGCTGTATTGTGTATACAAAACAACTTATCTATATCTTTTTCGTTGATTTGTGATTACAATTTTATTTTGTGAATTTCGTCAACATATATTAAACGAGCGATTTTGGATTAATATAAGACTTGTATATACTGTAGATAGCATTTATATATGAAGCAAAAATATTCTTGAGATTTTCAAGAATTTCAATAATTTTTACGAAAAGAATTTCAGTAATTTTAAAGATATCTTTCCTATTTTAGTCATTTAAAAAAGGTCTGACCATTCCTAAAATAAACAATTAAATTAAACCCGAAAACCAGATCTGATTTAACATTGATCTGTAAAATAAAAAAAATTTCTGCTTCGATAAAAGAAGATAATATGGAAATCTTACACAGAATTTCATTTGTATAATATCTTTTCTCTATCGCCCATAAAGAAACCTATATTATAAATGGATGAAAATGTAAGGTATTTCACCTCGTTCATTTGAGCCATGGTAAGGTCTCCACCAGAAACGAGTTCACCATTGACATAGCATTTCACTTCACTTGACCGAAAACGACTGTACGTATGGACAATAGTAAGCATAAACCACTGTAAAAAAGAAAAGTTTAGTTTCAGTTATCAAATGCTCCAATAAACAACTGGTCGCGTGCATAAACACTAAAACGAGAGTTTGCATTGAAACACTCTATGATGGTGAAGTTGAGATGTCGGTATTAAAAGCATATGACTGAACGCTTGCTTGAAGATACACGACGTAATTTTCTGAATATTATTGTTAGGTATAGACTCCTGAATCATTTCACAATATAAACGTATAGGTTTCGCTTGTTAAGAAAATGACTTGCTTGTTTTGAAATAGCGAGGAGATTCTGCACGAATGTATTTTTAGTAATGATAAAATGATAAGTATAATGATAGTAACGAAAAGGAACGATAAGTAAGTATAACGATAAAACGATAAGTAATGATAGTAACGAATAAGTAATGATAGTAACGATAAGTAAGTAATGATAAAACGATATTAAACATCACAATTTGGTTACAGAAACAGGCATGATATCGGCTGAATTAGCTATAGGTCAAATCAGCTCCAAGAGCTCCCATGCTGTATGTGTGGTGGGCAGCTCAAACGAACATCATTCATTATAAACACATCCTTCAAATTAAACTGAAAAGCAGGCATATCAATGATATCAGGCCATCTGAACATTTGTATATAAGCAATATGTACTAAATTTGAATGTACAAACCCTTTGTGGATGGAACTGGTGCCCAACAAGATGCCTGACATAACGTATTTCCCGTTTTGTTGAGCGTACAGCAGACTCAATCACAAGCATGGGACCAGAGAAGTGCGCAGAATAACCAATGCCTTTTCCGTTACGAAAACTATTAAATAAAAAAGTGAAAAATGTACTAATGTACTTAATGTACTGTATTTTTCACTGTACCGTTGCACAATACCGTTGTAGAATATTGCATTAAATGGTTACCTTAGGTCGTAAATCAAGAGCAGCAGTGCTGTCTACATCGCAAACAACGCATGTGCAATTTATCTTTTATCATATAAACCTACCAATACAAGTAAGGCCGACACTTCTCGGCATTCGTGATTACAGAAGCGTCAAGACAAACCCAGGTTGAAAATGTGAACCCAGGTTGATGAGGCCACTTTGCAATTGGTGGTACAGTAATTGCCTAAAACAACAACAAAAGTGCACTAAGGCTTTGATTACACAACGCAGACTTCATTGGTAATCCACGAAGCTCGATTAAACAATACACTACCATGCAAACCCGCGGTCGAACTCATGCGCATATACGAGAGGTTTGAGACAATTAAGCGCAGGAATATACACAGTTCCTGTTTTAATTATATCACGACAATACACGATAGAGGGACCGCTCTTATAACGATAATTTCACAATGTTGGTAGCCAAATATCCGTAAAATTTAGCACATAAAACAATGTACTCACTGCTCCGTTGTTTCCAGTGAAATCAAAATACACATCTGGTCCACGACGGTCCGGCATAACCTTGAGTACATGCAGTAGTCTCGCAGCATGTTTAGGCTAAAAGAAAGGCTAAACTTAAAAAGGACTGCTTTGTTTTCTACTTTTCAATAAAGATAGCAATGCAACGCAACGAAATGTAAAGCAACACAACACAACACAACACATACCCATCGTCCATTTTCGCCTTTCAACGCAGCAAAGAGGATTTTCAATTCTTTCACTGTGATACTATACGCTGCCAAAACTCCAACTAATTCAATGAACTTATCTAACGAAACGTTGCAAAAGATCGATTTTAATGAAAATCGACAAGTCACACTAAGTTTTAAAGCTATTAAGTTCGATAGCATTCTAGTTTAAATATTTATTTAGGTATTCAGGTATCTGGAGTATGTTAAAAGTGCAAAAACCCAAAATCCCCCGACAAAATCACTTATACAAATGTGCATTCGCTATCCAATCATGGGCTTAATTGATTGACCAATCCAAAGGATAAAAAGTAGGATAATGTGTCAATGTCATCACCTTTGCTAAAAAAAATACTTTGGAGAATACACTAAAAAACGTTGCATGATTAAGCCATGGAGCATTACTTCACCTGCAACAATATCAGTCTCGTTTGGCAACCGATTAACAACCCGCTCAATCAGCCCAACACTGGTGCAAATTTGTAGATTTGTGACGCTTCTCTTCAGGATGGATATGAGAAAACCAAGAATTTCAACCTATAATCGCAGGACAAATAAATTCTGAATAAACTCCATTTTTGGTACCTCCGTTCTTTTATGATTTAAGACGCCTTGAGCATGGACTAGTATGATTAAATTACTGGATGCTAATTGGTCGAAAGAAGGCCAGTTATTTCATTAACTTTACTGCATGCATGCAGTACAATTTCTGTTCAAAAATTACCGAAAGTTTTTTGCATACAAATTATGTATGTCACTCGTACAATAAGAGATTAATAGTGATTTCGCTTTAAAATTTTTTATTTTGCTCCACGCTTGGAAAAAATTCAAAATTCAAAGCTTTCAATCTCAAATTGTACTGCACCGGATGATGGCTTGAACTAATTAGGAAGTGTAATTTCAAGTATTCGTCTTACGCCTACCATGAATTCTCTTAAAAATAATTGTTTTTACGGCAAGCTAGCATGATTAAATCAACATACACCCCCCCCCCCCCCCCATAACGTAGCAGTAATTATTTTTCTGTTCTTCTCATACAAACGTTTTGGTTTCCATCGAAAAAATAACACTTTTTTCGTAGAACAACGTGTAAAACAACTAATTTGAAATTATATAGTTATCTAAGATTCATCTCAATTCAATTCTAATCAATTCAAATCAATTCTATTCAGTAAAAAAAAGGAAAAATGGTTGCTTTCACCATGTCACACAAACGTTATTAAGTTGGTCCAAGAAATGAATTTGATGTAACCGAATTAAAATTGGTTACTGTTGTTACTGTGCGTATAAAAATATTAAACTGTAAAATTTCTAACGTATATTGACTAAACGCTATTAATGTAGATGCTGATTCTAAAATAAAACACACATACGCCGAACGTTTGATGTTCGATATTTCACTCCTGCACTTATCACGTTAATTCGTAAAACTGCTCGGCTAGAGTTACACATGTTCAAAAAAAAGAAATATGCGATATTTGAGCAATTTCACTGTATGTGATTGACAGGGCCGTTGCACAGACGCTGCTGCAACTCCGTTTAAACATTCAGTTTGATTAAACGTGAAACGTCAACATTATCAATTATTAAAATTCGTTTCCTTTGTAATAAATTCAAATATTGTAAGTGTTCGTCTGACGTTTTGTCAATAAAATAGATATATTCATTTCTTTATCACTGTTTTTTCTTATCACAACTAGACATCGTGTTTAGCATCTGCTATATAACTCTTGCATGACGCCTTTTTTTGAAAGGATTTTTGTCTATGAAAGTGCATCGCTCTTAGCAGGCGCTACATATTAAAATAATGTCATGAAATTAGACTGGAGTGTGAAATTAGTCTGAAAATGTAATCTCTATGTGTTAATTACTTTCACTATTCATCAATACTTCGTCATTACTATCACCATTGCGCTTGCTTTCAATCCTCAAACGTATATCACTCCAATCTAATTATTTCCTATCTTTAACGAGTTTTTAGCGAAAACGACTTTCTCAATTTAATTCGGTTTTTTAAATTTGTTCCAAATTTCATCTGATCTGATAAAGTAAGAGTTTTTAAAGTATTTCTAATAATGTTTTGCAACGGGGTGGAAGATATTTTCGTTATGGTTGCGAGATTGACACCGATGCACGTTGTGAGCCCTATTTCCTTACAATTCTGGTCAGTGGTCAACTCAAAACAACAAGCGTTCAAGCAATCCCAAGGGAATGACAAGTTGTAAATCATACTGCATGTACCCTCTGTGATATGCATAAGGCGTAATTGTTTTGTAGGTTGTCTGGACTTTTCATCCACATCCTGTTTGCTTGTTAGAAAGATCGTGTTGAAATAATGAAATTAAGTAGAAGATATGAGAAATATTTAAGTGATTGGTAAAATTTTGAAATGTCCGCAGTTAACGGATGAGTGGAATTCATTCAATGCAAGTTGGATGTTGTTACAACAAACAAAACATAGTCATAGTTAGGCACCTTGTGTTCTTATATCAAGTATGGGAAACCATTCGGAGCAAACGTTGTGCGAAGACTTTGTGGCTATATGAGAGTTTGTAGCTTTGAAAATAAACCCAGTTATAAATTACACTGGAAATATATCCATATAACATCCATGCTAATTACCATTTCCATAGGTACTATAATAGTAGGGAAACACTATGGGGTGTAGCATATTTCCATAGAATGGATGTTGAAAAAAATTCCAGTGTTAATAGAGCTCCACGAACTATTCCAAAAAAAACCAAAAGGCTTAAGCTTTCACAAAACAAGATGATGTATTACTTTGTCAAATCACTCAAATGAATATGAAAATTTCAGGTGTATAGCAACTCACTCAATATTACCAACTCACTGCCAATTTTGGAAATAATAAAATAATAAAATTATTTTAACCATGCAAATATGTGGCATTAAGAACAAATTAAACAACTTAAACAATTCACACTAAACATGCAATCATGAGCATGATAAGTATGTGAACCAATGGTGTGGTAGTGGTAAGTCAAATCTGAACCTGGCTATTTCTACCATTGTTTAACATGGTTTGATGGATCTAATGGAAGCTAAGCTTTGTTTAAAGGGAGCAATTATAGAATTAGAATACCTCACAAATCCAACCCTAACAGGGAAACACAAGAATATATATAGTATGGTATATGGTATACGTAGCATACTGCACCAATAATTTTCATTCAGCAAAGTTACTTTGTATATCATATTGTTACTATGAATTAACACTATTATATATATTTACAACAATGTATTCGCTGTATGTAATTCCAAACAACTAATCAGCATTCATAATAAGGCTCCTCTTTAGTGTAGCCTTATATATTGATTCCTTATTGTCTTAGCAAAAGTATAATATTGATAAATCCTGTCACCTTTATTTCAGCTATTTTGACAAAAATCTACAATTTCCAAAATTGAGAGTTGATCTCAAACATATTCGCATAATGGGATATCGATTAATTAGGCATACACACTATATAATACAACCTGGTAAGTTACCTGGTAAATTTCTCAAAAAGATCAGCATTACTGCTTATTGCAACTTATTCATTATTTAAAATTAGCCATGCAATTCTGTTATTAAAGAAAACTGACCTATCTTATCAAATTAGCCTGAATCATATAACATAACACCTGCCTGTCACACTTTATTTAAATTGACAGGCAGCATATATATTCAAAACAAAAATTTCACATTATGCCTAATATTTTTTTCCATGTCTAAAAATGGATGCTTATAGCACGACTGGTCCCTATTTTAGGCTATTTCATTCTGTACGTGGATTGCAATTTTAGATTGCATGTTCGTAAATTGCTTTGCATGTTCGTGGAGTGCATTGATTGTTTTATAAAATGCAACAGGGATTTAGAAGCAATAAAAGTCTGATGCTTACGAACTGTAGCATTTAATAGATGCGAACAACCGCGGAGTAGTATATTGTTAGGACAAAAATAAAAAATACATTTTGTTTTGTGACAAAGTACAACCGATAAATTGAGACACTTGAGATCAATGCTCATTCAAGCATATTATAGCACACTCACCGATAAGGAAGCATCGCAGTATTGAAACAATTCCAGCAGAATTAACAAATTGGGAGAGTTCTTGATGGTAAAATTTGTCTCGAGGTCGAAATACCCACGAACGAGCTAAAAGTGTAGCAATTAGAAGAATACTAAATAAGACTATTACCGTTTTTTACCATCTTGGGTCGGTGATAACAGGATCGTAAGCTAACTTTTAATCATTTAAAAGGATCTATATGATTTCCGAATCTATAGTTATCGTGTCTGTCCGCAAGGATGATAACATTCATAGAAATGTTAACGTACCGTTCCAAAGACTTCATATATAACTTTCTTGTGGTCTGGTTCGCCAGTACTTGATTCAATACTATGTACAAGTGATATTAAATTGGCAAGTTGTGCCCTCGCATCCAACGACGGATCGTTGCTCGAAGCATTTGCCACTTCATCGGCAATCGTATTGTCGTCTGCCTGGGCTTCTTCGAACGTTTTTACCTCGGCTTCATGTTGCTCAGAACTGGGTTCTGCTACAGTTTTCGTGGCGTCCTCTACAACATCCGCCATATTGCCATCACACCAAAACAAAGTACAAAAGTGACAAAACCTAACTTGCCCCATTCCCCCACGTTGTCATATTTGTCCATCACATTCGTTCGATTTCCAAGCACTGTTTCCAAGCCTAATCAATCAGGGCACTGATCAGGGCCTAATCTAATGATAACCAGAACAACCAAAACCCTGCGGTAATTCCAGCCCTAATCTTAGCTGCCAGTTCTAATTCTAACCCTCTTGGCAATTGCTGATTAAATTGGTATATTTTTAGCATTCCTGATCCAATCCTTTGAACTTGTTCGGTTGTTCAAGATATAGCTAGTAATTCGATGTCTGTGATTGATTGGCCGCTAATCCTAAACGCAGTCTCCGGTTACGATTTTTGTAATACCATGGATAGTTAAAAGACTTTATTATCCATTATTATACTAACTGTGATTACATTATCCATGGTAGTATTAACTGTTATTTGAACGGATTTAAACTCGAATCTTATCCTCATCTAAGCACAAACATCCTCCCATTAACCAACTTAGAGAAGCGCTTGAACATGCTTGAACGTGTTTTAGCGTCTTTATAAAATTTTTGAAAAAAATACAGGGCATTCAAATTCTGACCCTGTTGCCAAAAGCGTAGGTTTTCTAAGCACCATCTTTTAGCACTCCGAGCCCTGTCCTTTCCGAGCTTCAGGGCCTGCGTATTTCGCCCCTCAGCTACTACCCCCACTCTCGCCTACCTTGTGCCAAAACAGTAAAGTATTTTAGAGATTACATTTAGCGCATAAAGTCATGTAACGAGGAGTGAAGCAGTGAAGGCCCTATTTCGTAGAACTTGTAATTATGAACAAACGGTGTTAGTAGTTGCGGTTTGTTGTTTCCTTGCCAAGAATTTTTCACATGATTTCTCTTCACTTGTCTGGGAAAATACCACAGCTGTAGCACTCAAGTTGCAAATCTTCACATTCTTTACAGCAAGCCTTATTTAGCGCTTTCCCAATCAATATATGGTAACAAGAACTCAATGTTACGAGTTTGCCTAATGTAAGAATATTTCGCTGTTTTATGTCAATGTCTCAAAAAAAAGAGGTTTTTTTAACTGATAGTAGACACGGTAATTCCGCTCTAGCTTTCTATCGCAGCAGAAAATGATGGAATACCTTTGAAAATAAAAATTAACGATGGATTCATTAGTTTGTACCATTAGGACAATAGAATGCGTATTTAATTCTCATGGCGGTGCATGGAAGGATGTGGTTTTCAACTGGCCATTTTTAACACACAATTATTTGGTAACTTTTAGCCATTGTCAGATTAAAAGGGCATTGTTGATAACCGAAATAACCGGTATTTCTTCTGATTCCATTAACACACATTAAAATCCGGTTCGATTTCGTTTTGCAGACTCTATACACATGTAGTCATGTACAGCTAATATACAAATGCGTCTTACATTGAGTCCTAATTGTTGGGCGAGCATTGGATGATGGGTATCAACCTATTTTTGAAACTAAAAATTAAGTTATTTGTGATTAGTAACCTGAATTTTCGCTTCATTTCGGAATCCACTACGGGAAAAGAAAGTTCGATTGAAAATTTAGCCTGTTGGAAAACTGCTCTTACTCCTCGCAACATTGCAAAATTATTGTATAAATGAGCTGTATTTCAAAGTAGCTCATGATAAATAAATTAAATTGAATGGATATCCAGGTGCTGTGTACATTTCAAATACAGCGCATATTTAAAACAGACAACCACTTAACATTGATATTGAGCACAATTGTGCAGTAGTACTTTTAATTGTGTAGCTCACAAAGCGAATATTAAAAATAATATTCAGTGGTTGCCTTTTTTATACACCCTGCATGTATATGCATGGAGAGAACCTTCAAAATATGCTTGAGAATTGTTTTTGGGTAGTCGTACAGTACACGAGATTAAGTTTTCTTAAAATGGGAAACTTCAAATATTGTAAAAATGCTACTTCTTACGTTCACCTGCTGAGTTAATTTCAAACTTTTGTGCAGCTAACGCTCACAAAAGAATCCTAGTTTGTATTAATATCATGCAATACTGGTAATTGGCGTTTAGGTTTGAGATGGGACAGCTGATTTGATTTTAAAATTTTAATAAAGGAGCTTTGAACTTTAAACCTTGGACTTTGAGCGCGATGGGAATTAATGGAGTCAGCCATGATAGCCGTCTAAAAATGAAAAAGTAAGTAATTTCTTTCTCCTGCGGGCCTTCCACTGTTCATGTTTTACCTTGGGTATTCTGAAAGTTTTCTTTTCAAAGTTTACGAGCCTAAGCAACAACAAATCCTCTATAACGCGCACGAATTGAGTTCAAGGTTATAAAGGACGACCTTTAAAATAAATAAGTTCAAGAGTTTGAGAAGGTAAATGCAACCTTCACCAATAATTAGATATTCTCATTATCTGTGATGATAATCACCTTTTATCTATTTCTTAGTCGGCCTTTCAACAAAGACATTTTTTACATAATGAGGACACTATAAATTTTGGCGTCGTTTTTCTAAGTCGTAGGGAGTGTAGAACTACTAATGGCGAACACAAGTGAAAGAAATGCGACCGTAACACATAAATACGAATGTTCTTCCTATATTTCGACCGTAACAGAAATTTTTGCCTGGCATGTCTTTTTCGTCGGGTTAACCACTAACCTTGTCTTTCTTTATCTCGTCTTGAAGAAATTAGCGTCCGGATTAAGAAGTGACAAACTGTTTTTAGTGAACATTGTAGCTGCTAATATTCTTTCAATGCTAGGTAGCTTGCCTGGTGAAGCACTGGGGAGAGGAAATACCATGCCTCATGCTAAAACATACTGTATTTTTTATCATGCAGCCAATTTCATCTCGCTTTTCAACAACCTTACGTCAATGGCTGCTTTGTGTTACAATATGTACGAGAATGTCATTAAATACCCTGGAAACAGATTACTTACTCTGGCCTTGTCGTTAAAGATCGTCGTAGGTAGTTGGGTGCTATCTCTGGTGCTTGTTCCAACAGCACAATCAGGTTTTCTTGTCGCTGATACAAAAGGATTTGGCATGTGTAAAGTAGGCAATAACAAAGTTCCTTTAGTCGAAGAAATCGTGTCCTTCTTTTCTTTGATAGTGGTTGTCAGTATTTGGATTACAGTAACAAGTGTAATAATGATTAAATCTCTTACTGGAATAACATCTAAGTTAAATGAACATATTTCGAGAACTGAACAGGTCTTACATAATGCATCAAGAATAAAGGCAATAAGCTTTAAAAAGCAAACACTGGTAATGGTTTCCTGTTATTCTATCAGTTGGATTCCATTTGGTGTTGCAGCATTATTGACAGCAATAGATTTTATTTCATTTCATTCCTGTGTTTATTTTATTTGTCTTGTTGTAGCACATGTTAGTGCAGCAACTACTCCGATAATATACTTAACCATTGACAAACGCTTTAAAGTGAAGTGTTGTGGGAACACTAGGCAAAAAACGCCACGTCAGGTTGGAGCGAACTGAGCGAACCTTCCTCTTTGAGGTAGAAAAATGACTTCATCTTTAAATAACGAGAATGTATAGTAGACGTAAAAGAATCGACGTGCTAGTCCTATGACGATAAAGGTTGTACTCCCATGCATGCATGCGGTGTACAAATTGTATCATAATGTATGTTCATATCCATTAAATGAAATTGTTATGCAACCCATGTTGTGAGTTATATATTATGCATGATAAAAATGTGAAAATTTGTATGACGTGGATAGGTATGTATTTTTGCCACAAAAACGCATGGGTAAATATCATATTGGCCATTCGCGAATATTAATTACTCTTCCAAGCCGATGCTTAAGTGAGTTTAAGTGACGAATTACGGTAGTAATGGTTTTAGTGCCAACTACATGTCGTTCTTAGGTTAACTGTGGGTTCAGGTAAACTTGTTAAGTTTGCGTACCTTAAGAACCCAAGCGAAGCTAACTCGCATTCAAACTCATTGAGTGGGAGATCCGGCTCAATCTTCTTCATAGTATTTTCACTTTTAAGTCAAACATTAGCTTGATTTTCAATGTTTTCAAACCTCGGTAATAACAGATCAGTAATAACAAAATTTCTATGTCACACTGTGAGTGAGGTTTATGAATACTGGCGATAATCTTAAAACAAGCGTGCATGCCGTAGGCAGCTGAAAGCTCTTGTGTCAATCATTCGCATGTAGCTACTATTTTCGCGAGGTCGAGCATATTCGATGAAATTAATAGTGTAATTAATAGTGAAATTAATTTGTTTAAGTTGTAAGATATGGTTCACAGAGTTAATATTCGAAATTAGTATTTTTGCACAAGTGCATGAATATAATAAATCCTACATTCTGATTTCTAACTGGTCAAATTTGACGTATCATACTGTTGTATTCACCCTCAGGTGAATATAACACTAAACACTCAGACAACACTCCGATCTGGTTAGATCTGACCATCTCGCAGTTATGGCTACCCCAAGATTACAAGCGAAACCTGAACGTAAGCATGTTTTTTCATGCAGAGATGTTAGGCACCACCGTAAAATCGCTATGGAAAACAAATTAAAAGCTTGTGATTGGAGTAGTAATGTTTACAGTACAAAGAATGCTGAGGAAGCAGTTTTACTGCTGAATCAAGAAATTGTTTTATACAATCCATGTTCAATGAGTGCTTCCCTCCTCATACGCAATAAACAAATAAGTAGACGAACTAATATCGATCATCAGCAAATAATTAATAAACTCATTTGAGAAAACCAAGTTTGTGCAGTGTCGAATGAAACTGATAAGAAGTTTATGCAAGGGGTAAAAGGTTGGCAGAAGCCAGACGTTTTGGCGGAAGTTTCTGGTAATTAAATCACAGATAGAAGTACAAAAGCTGACAGCGTTATAGTTCTTCCATTGATCCAAATATCATTAACACTTACTTTCAAAATGTAAATACGGACACTCAATATACACCTCCACAGCCTCTAACAATCTCAAAAAGCGTACGTCACCTGGCCCGGATGGACTCCAATACTGACTGTGGAAAGACTTCGCTCACCACCTTGCACCTGTCCTTACCAAAGTAATAAATCTCTCATTAAATGAACAATATGTTCCCCTCATATGGAAACTGGCGAATATCAGACCAATACAGAAAGAGTCTACATTATCTGATTGCATGATGCAACTGAGACCTATCTCATTGACTATAAAGCTCTGTTCACACGATCCAATTTTGTTGGATCCAATTCACTTCTGACGTATGGAGTATAGTCTGTTATTGATAAAGCATGCATGCAGTACTGCATTGGCTTCAGTGCATTTGCCTCCCATAAACATCATAAGACAATAAAACATAAGGCTATAAAACATCCATCAGAAGTGAATTGGATCCAACAATACTGGATCGTGTGAACAGACCTTAAAATCGTTATGAGACGCTTTGAGAAAATTGCTTTTAAAGAAGAAATTCTGGAACAGTCTAGGTCAATCATTGGCCATGATCAGTTTGCCTACAAAAAAGGGACGAATACAGTATCGCAGCCCTCATTGCCCAATGCTAGTACATGCATTGGGTAAAATAGTTAGACGAAGATGCTGATGTCGATGCTGAAGGGTTAGATCTTTCGATTTTGGTAAAGCCTTTAATTCGGTTCCACATGATATAGTAATTGAAAAACTTAAACGAACGAATATAAATCATTAAATTATCATTAACTGGATTATAAGTTTCTTAGCAAACAGAAAACAAATAAAGAGTGGTAGTCGACAAATAACAACAGAATATGTAGATATCAGATATCAACAAAGGAGTGCCATGCACAGGGAACTGTCATTGGACTTTTTCTATTCTCTCTTATGGTCAACGACATGAAACTTGAAAAACCAGAAATTAATTTGTTAGTTAAATTCGATGACAATAATATGACATTATATGCGCACCAGTAAAGGAAAATTGTGATTCCGTAGAAATAGAAGTGAGGAATATTGAGAATTGGGCAAGGAGAGGCAGAATGAGTTTAAATCTATCAAAAACCTTGGGAGATGATTTTGAGTGGTAGGGCTTCCAAGTTACAACCATTGCACATTATACTTTTGAGGATAATGCGAGTTGCTGGAACCTGCAAGTTGATGGCTTAATTGCTGACAAAGGCTGGAAGCCGAATGTATATTCTAAGAGTATGCAAAAATTGGATAGCAAAAAGAACCGAGCTTAGCTATCTTTTTGAATCAATTATATTATCGTTGTTTCTGTACGATCTGGGGATCAGCCCTTCAAAAGAAATACTTATTGACAACGTTTTATTGACAAGTTTTTCAAGCGCGAGCATATCGGTATGGATATGTAATAAAGAAGTATAGAATGTGAGAGACAGATTTTTTGAACAGAATTAGGTAATCCTGAATATATATATGTAACCAAGATAGATAACCAAGCAGAGCTATATTATTTAAAATCTTAAATCAAACATTAACCAAACATTATATTTACTATAACGATGGTCGATAGACATGACGCAGCAGCTGGGCCATGCAGTACATGGCTCGCTGTATTCTTCTCACCATAGTAGTCGGAAACGAAAATTCTTCAAAATTAAAGGATAAAGTGACTGCTTCAGCGCAGCTCGAGGCAAAAAGTTTTATAGTTGTTTCTCGAGGGCTAGAATAGAACGGTTTCCATGGTCACGTTGAACAACGTGTTGCCTATTCAAAATGCAACAGGTACCAGTAGAATTTCAGACTGACGACTATTGATTTGAAATGGAAAGTGAATTTATAACATTGTTAGTCGCTTTATTAGTAACGCTAATCTGACTTGTTCACAGGATTAAAGAACGATTTTTGCATATAGAATATTATTTTTAAAGTCCGTCAACAGTTTTTAAGAAGTTGGCGGCAGATGTAATCTGTTGATGAACTTTGACCATTCTTTAAAGCAAGAACAGTTTCTTATCGCCGATCAAACTAAACCTGACGTGAAACCCGAGACGGTGTACGTATAGTGTCTTCTTACAGGTATGAACTTACAAACAGCTAAGTTTATCTAAATTAAAGGCGTGATTCATCAAACCCATACGCGGGCGCTTTATATTCAAGTACGGAAAATCATCAGTATATAAATGCAATATAATTTATATAAACAAAAATTTACTATCCTCCACATGCACTTGCCGTGCAATAGCATTCATACTATAGGCTACGATATAAAACGACACTATTTAATGTGACTACTTACTTCAATATAAAATGTTTTGAAAGCAGAAGTGCTAGCTATGAGCTGTTTAGGTAAACTGTTTCACATGCAGAGAGACACCTTAAGTAAATTAGCTTTATATAGTGAAAATATAAATAAATATAGTAGCTAGGTTCATGTCAGTAAATGGTTTGAAAATTTCTCGCATCATAAACGTTCATTTTTTTATGCAAGTTTCTGCTACAATAATAACAGACACAATTATTATATTATGAACTTTGTACATCGGAATAGCTTGCGCAAAGTACCCACGATAGAGCTGGCCTGGCAATCGAACACAGACGCAACGTGTGCAAATTTTGTCAAATATACCATGCATTACTCCAGACCACTAGTGCACGCAGAGGGCAGCAACGTCGACGGGCGACGGCGGCTATAAATTCAATACCTCAATGAAAAGAGATAAATATTTAAAGAAGACCTTTTGGGAGTTTTGATCTTTTAGATGTCGTTTACCGTTCTGCCTACAACTGCAGATCTCAGGTTTTCATGCCCTGTGTACAATAACGTCTGAATTTTGGGACACATCGAGCGCTACCTTAATTGAATAGATCCTACAGATATGTTCCAAATTAAAACCAATGTTTTCAACGTCTAGCTTATATCTCATTAAATTGATACAATTGATAATATACAACCGTAGCATATTTATTGATTCATAGTAGTATTTTAGCCCTGTCGTCGTCGCGTTGCATGCATGCATGCCGTCCTACATGCAGTAAGCATGTTACATGCTTAAGGTCCCATTATTCAACGGTAGGATTCGATTGATTGCTTTACAATAAATAACAATCTTAACTATAAGTAAAATGATGCCATATATCTTCGTGTAGTGTCGTATACATGCATATATATAGCCTTATATAGGCCATGAAACATGGCGTCAAAACGTATCGCCGCAATTCGATGCAAGAGAATAGTTATCGATATCTCAAAAGTGAAAATATTTTATACACCAAATAAATAAATAAATCAATAACGTAGGCGTAGCAATTGGCAGTAAAACGGTTGCGCTATACTTGCTGTGGCGTCACCAGCATCGGTAAGTGGGGTGGACATATTCATATATCAGTCATGTTCACAGACCTTAAAAACAATCAATTTTTTAAGAAATGAATAATGTAAATAACGAAAATGTGAATATGTCCCCCATCCCCTTACTGGGTACTTGTATCATCGGTACAGGGCCTACTTTCATTTCAAGATATCATAAATCAAAAAAGCATAGGATCGCCAGAAAAGTGTAGGCAAGCGAATTTATTTTGACTCGCATTCTAATTCTAAAAGCCTAAAAAGGCAATCAAGCGTACAATTTTTTAGAATTTCTCATCCTTTGTTTGACGAATGGTCTTATCGACTTCATTCTTTGTTCTATACATTCCTTGATTCCACAGAGATTGCAGGTTATTTGAAGACTTTGCAAGGAAATATTGATTTTTCCGTCCTTCGCGTGTCCACAGTAATAAAATTTTGTTGTCCCGTGTATGTTGTTTCTGCGATAACTATTTTAATTGTTTTGTGGTTCCGTCTGCTTTTGCTGAACTTCATTCAAATTCTGTGGACTCACTAGACAGCATAGCCATTTCACTCTTATATTTGTACTCGCATGAGATTTTTAAAAATTTGCATCTCAAACCGCCAGTACCGGTTTTCGAATGGCTTGTGTTCTGTTTACCTGAAGTAAAGATGTTTTTTCGGTCGGACTCAAAGTAAGCTAGATATACCCACCGTATATCAGCTCATGCATATACGGTGGGTAGCAAAACGGTGGGTAGCAAAAAAGAAAAGGCAAAATGGCTGACCGGTTTGCTGAGGTAAATAAAGAAGGGATTGACAGAATTCTGTAATACTTTTGTCGCTCAACAAATGCTATATTATAAAACAATTATATACTGATGGTTATCAGCTCATATACGACTCGAGCTCGTGGTATATTTGTTAAATACACGTTTGCGTTACGCTAGCGATATAAGTCATATAACTCTATAATAATCAGCATATGCATGAGTTGGTAAATGCGGGGGTGTATATAGCATACTAATTTTGTTGAGAACTTGACGTAAGTAGCGAGCAGCTGCAAATTATAAGGAACGATTTGAGACCAAAGTGCGACTGTTGATCGGCAAATGCAAATCCCTACCTGCTCTTCTGAACTTATAGGGAAAAAGCATCAACGCGGTGAGTGAATTAACATTCTTAACAAACCGCCTGCCTACAATGCCAAATTTCAGGGAGCGGTGAAAATTATACTTTTTTAACACCATTGTAGGCCGGCGATATCTCACGCGGCGTTCATAACACGTAGCTATAATAATTTCGATATAATTGTGTAAATAAATGGAAGGAATCAAACGGTTCGCGTTTTAGAGTTGGTTTTGATTTGAAAGAAATTTGAAAAGGCTAGAGTTTAACCTGACGCACTGCTAGATCTAGAGCTTAATGTATTTGAAGCGTGTTAGATAAAAAGTAAACGTTCCATGCAATCGCCACATCATGGGATCATGGCGTATTATCAAATTACAAAATTGAATTGCCAATTCTGATCTTTATTGTGATACTACGTACTTCGCGTAGCTATGATTTTGATGCGGCCGAATTGCCGGAATATATAGGAAACCTTGAATATGCTTTAAGATTAGGCGAAAAAAATAAAATTGACGGAAGTCAGTGGCATTAAATCTCTGATTCACAATTTCGAGATTAGCTGGGGTGAGCTAGTCGTCCCCCATCAATACTATTGCTTCCATCTTCATTCTACATGGCTATATATCTTTAGCTTCAATTATATTTAAACCTTGCAAGAAAGTATCAGTTTTAAAATATATTAACAGCCACAGCCACAGGACTACCAACTGTAATTTTATTGTTAAACTTTCTTTGTTGTGGTTTGATGCAAATTGGCTGCTGTCGTCAGAGCGAACATAAAACGCCAAGCTCAACGAGGCATACGAAAGCAGTACAGCCTATAGTGTGGGAAGTGTTAACATAGGTCCAAAGGTAATATACAAATAAACAGTCGAGCTAACCCAACACAGTCATTGACTGGAAAGTACTGGGACGCTAGTCCGGCCGTAAATTTGAAGACAAAGCCATGAATTCATGGCCAGTCGTTTCACCCACCGGAGAATTGCGTTTCTTAAAATCGTCAACGTTAACATACAAGCACTAAAACATATTAAAGATATAGTGAAATCAGAATTGGGCACTGCGTTTATACGATAAAAACTTCTGTCAAAACTATAAAGTAATTGAACTGAAAACCTTAACCTCGCGAGAATGTCTTGCAACATACCCTTGCGTGTCTGGAGGTAAAATTTGGCTTCAAAACGTTTGGGCATGATCATTTTTACATGCATGTATATTGCATATTCCCACTTATATGTCTAATACCCGGTTCAATACTAATACTTGTCTGTGCATATTTACGGCCTTACAGTTACGATTTTTTTCGTTCATTCGTTCGTCGCTTTTGTACGGCATGTTCAGTAAATATACAAATCAATCAGCTTTTCATATAATTTCAATGAAAACATTAGCGAAATTGCATATTCGTTCGTTCTCGTTCTCACGGACGGTGCAGGTTCACTAATCGAACGTTGATTGAGGAGGACCGATTTTCGCAGTGTCCGATTCATACCGGCTTATAAAAAATAATAAGGCATGCATGACTTGGCACATAAGATCGCATATAGGTTGCATGATGTTATAGTTTGCATGATGATATAGAAGACATGCAGTTTGCAGTTAGGAAAAAACTAAGTTGATAAAAAATCCTCGTAGGGTAACCTCCACTGCATGAAAATATCCCGAAAAAAAGGTTGTGAATACTTTTCAGGGATACCGCATCGCTCATGCAGTACCATTAAATGGTCGGGCTTTTAAAAACCTTCGTGATCACATGTATATATATCTATATATATACGTTTTATTCACGTTTTGTTTAGCTGCCGCGCGATGACCTCAGTGAAAGCGGTTGAAGAAGAAATGGAATTGGAAGGAAAGGAGGATGAAACGAGTGAAAGCGATGATCACTTACTTTATGTGACTGATCAAAATGGAAAAATGAAACTCATAGAGATCGACGATATTAAAGAAATCAACAAAAAATGCCATAAAACTACGTGAGTTGTCCAGAATGAATTATATATCAATTACCATCCAGAGACCTTTAGCTTAAGCAATCCAGCAAATTCAGATCACGTTTAAAGGTATAGATGCTTGGTACTTGATACTTTGTACCCCATATGATTTTAAATTTAATTTTCAATAGAAATTTTCAAAGCCTAATGCATTTCTTGAAAGCGGGCATTGGAACTGGTATTCTAGGTCTTCCCGCTGCCGTTATGAACGCTGGGATCGTGGTAAGTGCACCTTGTTGGTCATCTGCAATGGGTTTTTATGCATTACAATATAGACGTTGTTGTCACCACTTATAGTCAGTTCCATCTCTATGTGACAGCGAGTTCTACAATTATTCCACAATGCCTAACTTTTTGGATACTTTTTCCCGAGTTTGCATACCAAATTTTCTCCCAGTACAACAGGCTCAGTTTTTAGCGGTTCATAGACGAAGAATCAGGCAACAGCTTTGCATTTTACATACTGATCTTGTACCGCTGGCAATATAAACCTGCAGGAATGGGAGAATTCTAATTTGGACCAACGTGACTGCCAGTAGTACCAGTTTACACTACCAAAAACGAGATATTTTTTTGTGGGAGCAGTTCTTGGGATACACAAGTATGCTATTGTTTCACTTTATTTATTTCAAACATACTATAGGTTGGACCAATATCCTTGTTTATCGTGGCTATTATCACGACACATTGTATGCTGATATTGGTGGAAAGCGCGAGTGAACTTTGTAGAATGTAAGAAAGAAAATCAATTGCATATTCTTCTGAATTTCCTATATATAAGGAAATTCGCTACTCGAATTTTATACTCGACAGTATATAAAACAACAGCAGAACTTTAAAGTATACCGATTAGTTCATGTTCTTTCTTTAATTTGTAGAAAAAAACGAACATGTTTAGACTATGGGGAAACGGCAGAAGAGTGTCTTCGCATAGTAAGCCCTACACACGCAAAAGCAGGAAGGTATAAATCAACTCTGTACCCAAAGATCGAATCCACACCGGACAATTTTCGCTACATTAATCAGTAATTGCTAACTGCCGGCGCCGGAAGCAGTTTTGGGCGGGGGGGGGGGGCATGCAGTGTTCTAGAAAATGGTACATTCATTTTACCTTAGGAAACAATCGAAGAGAAGCCTTACACATGAAATACACCCAGACTTAAAGAATTTCAGCCATTTTTAAAACGACACATAATTAATTAATACATCATAATTATTACATAGCTTAGGACCTTATGGTTGACGCGTGAAATTGACGCGTGAAATTGCGATAAGGCTGCCTTCGCTACAACCTAATATACCTTCTCCAGTTGGAATCCTCTATTTGACTTCTCTAAATATTCTCTTCCATGTCCACATACCCGTGGCGGTTTTTGCAACTCTTATGCAGTATCAACTAGTGCACATGCAATGGAGGTGATCTCGCGCGCTTTTATTTTAGCCAATCATGCAGCGATCAGCGCTCTGAATGGTTGTCCGAATAGAAATCCATTCCCCAGTTCTTAAGATAACCTATTACCGATTATATTTTTCGGTATTTTTTTATAAACTTCTTAATATTTTGTATTTATGTTTATACCTACGAGAACTATAGCTGCATGGCATAAATTTCGAACAGAAATAAAGTATGTTTCAGAAGATATTAGGTTGTTTCAATCGAGAAATGGATTTCTATTTTGACAACTAGTTCTAGTCCTTCCCCGCGTTTTCAGATCACTTGTCCATTATATATAACAGAGATTTTTTCCATATAGATTCACAGTCAACGTTTTCCTTTGTATAACACAACTTGGCGTCTGCACTGTTTATGTTCTTTTCGTAGCAAAAAACGTCGAACAGGTTATTTAATTATCTTTCGAGTTCCTTGTTAACTATTTGTTAATTCAGTTTGCATGGAACATGAATGATTACAACATTAACCATTATAATTGTTTGTTGTTATATATATTCTTAAGAAGACAGTTGCATGAGTTGCATGCTCTACATGTACTTTCCAAAATTTTTGAATATCCATTCAGTAGACGTCATACTCTTTTTAATCCTGGGGCCGGTTGTTCAAAACTACTTCATACTCTTTTTAATCCAGGGCCAGAGGCTGGTTGTTTTTTCAAAGCTAGGTTATCGCTAACCCTGGATTATATTTTACTCCGCTGATTCGGTTTATGTGCTCCTGTACTGCTGTTCGTTTCACGACTTTACAAAATTGGACTTCTATTGATCCAGAAAATATTTATGGAAAAACATGTTCAACTTCATAAACAAGCGATTAAAAAAATTTATGTAAAAATTTCATTTAACCCAGGATTAAGCTACCCGGTTTTTGAACAACTGGTCCAAAAAGAAAACGAATTATTAAAATTTTTACTCTATTCATATAGGTCCTACAGCAACTTCAAATTTTGAATCTCTCAGTGGAAATATGGCTTCTTATACTCAGCCCAATTCTTATTTGCTTTATGATGATAAAGAATCTTTCAACCCTTTCATGGTTATCTGCTGGCGCAAACTGTCTTATGGCATTCGCAATTGTGTCAATATTTGTCTACCTAATCCCGCATACTGGCAGTCCAAGCAAATTGCCGAATTTTGTGGGATGGTCTGTATTTCCCCTTTTCTTTGGTGTAGCGGTTTTTGCATTCGAGGCGATACCTGTAGTAAGTATACTTTTTATTTGTACACGCGCAATATTTTTTTATTCCCTGCAAACTGATTGGCTGCAGCAGCGGGCGGCTTTTCACGATGTCTTGACCGTGGTCCAAAAACTGTTCTTTTTTAGCAACAAATTCGTTTACAAAGACGAAGTACAATTTTAATTTTTAAAATCGATTTGAAAGCCATGTAAATTGTTCAAGGAAAAGCAAAATTTATTTGTAAAGCAAGCATAATTATACGTGTGAATTATATGCGCTAAGGTGCAAACAATACAATGAACGCATACTGTATACTGTACACAACCACCACAACCCCCATTTTTTATAACCGTTCTTTCCTCGCTAATTCCGCGCACAATTGCAAACTATGATGCTTCTTGTTATGTATATAGGTACTTCCTTTGGAAAACGATATGAAGGAACCAAAACATTTTCCTGATGTTGTAAAAATTGGAATGACTGTAGTGATGGTAATATACATCTCTATGGGAACCTTCGGGTATCTTACATGTGTGGATGATTGTGAGGGAAGCATTACTCTTAATCTACCAGGAACAGTGTAAGTTGAGCAAGTTGAATGTGATGCTTAATTTTACTTGTTTTACCCGCGAAAACAGCTTAATAATAATCCTTAAAGATCTCATCTTAAACATGTTGTAGCAGAATCATTTAGTGGTAATTGTCGTGAACAAGTCAGGTCCACCGATGAGAAATAGTTCAGATGTAATTAATTTGTCTTTGTTTCATTCATATCGGGCATTGTTGACTGCACACACATTATTCTATGGCATCAGCCACCTTGACATGTTCATGCACGACACTCACGCCTAAATGGGAACCAAGCATAAGCGTAATAGTAACATTGGGCTATGTATTTGCCTAACATATTAATTGAAAATGCCTGAAGGGAACCAAAACTGTCAGACCCCATGCACCTTCCAACGGGTGCCATGCATGAAAATAAAATTTTCCTTCTTCTTTCAGATTCTTCTCGATAGTAAAGTTAGCTGTGGCCGTTTCCGTGTTCTTTTCCTTTTTCATCCAAGCCTACGTGCCGATAAAAATCATCGAACCACCGCTGTTCGAACTGATCCCCGAAAAACGACACTTAATAATAGACACAGCTATCAGGATAATCATAGTCCTAATAACATGTAAGTATTAAAAATAAGGTGCAACCCCCTTGCACTCATCACCACCAAAGGAACAGCTTCGTACAAATCATAAGGAGAAACGTTGACGTCATTGCCCCTGCATTTATATATCTCAGCAGGTCAACTAGGTTAAAAAATAGGGGTTTATGTGAAAATATTGCTTTCAACTTCATAATTGAAAGTTGTATAAAAGCCTTTCAAATAGTACCGTATCATTTATTATCTATAGTTTAATAGTATATAATTATCTGAACGATGTGCTAAGATCAAAAGGAGAATTCTAAGAGGAGTAGGCTACTGTAGCTTGTAAAATCTGAAGTGATCCATTGCTAATATCGTAGAAGATGATGACCATGCATTAATTGGTAATTTTAATGTTAAAATAGGCGGCACGAAATCAACCATTATTTTCTGTATTATAGGTGGCTTAGCCGCGGCGATTCCACAACTACACAACGTGATTTCGTTGGTCGGAGCGCTATCGATGTCATCATTGGGCTTCGTTTTTCCTGTCGCCATCCACTCAATAACATTTTATAACGACCTTTCATGGCTGGTACATGCTAAAAACATCTTTATATTCCTGTTTGGAATATTAGGAAGCCTCGCTGGAACCTATACGGCGGTGTATAATATTATAAAAACAGTGCAGTCGGGGGGATCTTGATCATTCATAGATGGCTTGAAAATGCTTTTGAGAGTATGAAAACAATATCACTATGTAGGTGAACAGTGGCGTAACTAGAACGATAAACGGGGTGGGGTGGGGGTTTGTTGGGAATATATCAAGTCCTGCCCGACGGATTTGTTTTGCAAGTAGCTACAATAGCTTACAATAGAAATCCGTCGGGCAGATATATATCCCCCCCCCCCATTTATCGTTTCAGTTACGCCCCTGAAAGTGAATCTAGTCTTATAAATAGTGAAAAAGACAACCTGCGAGATTCTACCAAGCGTTTACAGTACTTATGTATATAAATGAAATTATTTATTAAATAAATTATGTTAATACAGAAGTATGTATAAATAATTTAAAAAACAATTATTAAAATTATGATTTTATTAAATTGATTATAATGTTGGGACGAATACTTATATGCTTAGAATACTTAGTATACTGCCCAGTAAAAAATCCCCAATATTATATGTCCCTTGAGTTCAAAACAAAATACATGCCTGTACGATACAATCAATATTTTGAGTGATTGAATTTAAAAAAAACTGTGGAATAGAATTGCATGGAAACATCATCTGCACAGTGAGTAAAATTTTCATTTAAAACCACTTCATTTAAAAGCAATAAGGTGTTTAAACCGTACACATGCAAAGACAGCATTTTGAAAAGGAAAATGCCTTATATCAAAGAAAGAACGCGGATAAAGAAGTAAACATGCACGCAGAGAGATTGTATGTGTTTGTCGAGAAAGGATCGTCAACATATATTGAAAGTCGGGCCGACGTCTGATACTACATGAACCCCCGGCGGCGGACGTAACTATACATTTCAGTCTCATGCGTGGTTAGACGACACGGGAATGGCTGCATGCATTTGTAATACGAGTTCGAAAATTCCGCACGTTCCTCGGTAGGATAAGATCAATATCCTTGCCAAGGAAAGCCACATTTCGGACGATGTATTGTTGGAAAATTCGGTCTCGTCGTTTGCCGCTCAAGCTGACTTTTCTTGCGTTTTTCTTTTTTCGTTCGCCATATTGAAAGGTTCATTTTTTTATTAAAAATGAAAAAACGCACTCTTTAAACAACAATGGTCATGAGTATATTGGATTTTGCTGTGCTTATCTATATAAGTTACCATTATTAATAAATAATATGTTAATTACTTTAATTCTTTCGGAAACATGCATAATCGATTGTTGTCTTTGCGCGTTCTTGGGCTAATCGTAGCTAAATGATAATTAACGCTACCACAATCTATACATGCACGTCGAAAAAGGAAAATTTACGAAGTGTTTGAACTCCACTTCAGTTTGCTTAAAGTTATATTCATATATCGCTGTACTTGCCACATTTTAATCTTGCACTAATTCATTTTTCACGCAATTCATAAATCCAGCCACAAATCCGCCTTCATCGACTCTGGCCTAAAACAGTAAATGAAATGAAGAGTAAACATTCCCCACGATTGACATGAAAAGTGGTAATTTGACAGATCGCGTATGTATCCCGCGACATGCATGTCGCAAAAATCCTTAATCGAATTATGCATATATATATATAGGTTGGAATTCTCCTCTTTCAGGCGCTAGCATGCAGGCTATCTTATATCTAGACTTCAGGACACAAATGCTCTATATAAACAACAAACTCATGTAGCGTCGTTGATCGATCCACTATATTTTAGATAAAAATTTTACAAACCAGCAATTCAATTGCTGTAAATATAAATTGTATAATGAATCATTCAATGACATTCATGAGGCGAAAAATTAAGGAACATGCATGCAACTGCAAAAGGTACATGCAACCAATTAAAAACACTCCTTATAAAAACAAGAACGCATACATACTAATTATTATATAGATGCACTATACATTGCATAAAAGTGAATTATTTACAATTCAATTCTAAACTCACCGTGAAACGTTTGTTAACCCTGTCCTTCATCAAACCGAGGAATTCTTTTTGACTCAATTTTCCGTCACCTATATATATATATATATATATATATATATATTCATTGAAAACGTCTGTGTTTAGATTGCTCTTTAATTTATAACAAGTTTACAAAGCAACTATAAACAGCTTTGTGTTCATTTAAAAACATAAAATAGATAGTATACCGTCAATATCAAACAATTTGAATATGGTGTTCACGATATGATCACCCAGAACTCCTCCAGTAGCAATCAGGACCGCTCTTTTGAACTCCTCTAAAATTTCAGAGTGATATTTGATTGTAGGTAAATAGCCTTTTATATTCACATACATGAGGTCGCCCCTATAGATGCTGAATTTAGGGTGTATCAGAAATTAAGATCCAAGTTCACACACCGTCCCTTTCAAAAGAGATCATGCAGTAGATCATTTATGAATATTATAATATATGCATGCACCGGATTAGGAGCCAGGGACAATCCTATAGATTTCGGTGACATCTATATGCATTGTCAGTTGTGGTTGTATATTTAAATATCTTTTCTTATTTTATGATAAATTTGAAAGAAATATATAAAAATATTTGTGTCCATAGTCTTGCGAACGCATGCACAAAAAGATATATTAGGTACCTTGTGTGACAGGTTGATTTGCCACATTGTAGATCTTGAGGGCAATAGAAAATTCTTCGAGATTGTTAAGAAATTCGCCAAATTTAATATAATCTTTCAGATCGACATTCTGCAAAACATAGAAAATTTAAAACATGAACAAAACAAAACATAAACAAAACATAAACAAAACATAAACAAAACATAAACAAAACATAAACAAAACATAAACAAAACATAAACAAAACATAAACAAAACATTAAAAAAGTTTTTTGTTCAGTGGCGCGGATCTAGCGTTAGCCATGCAAAATAAACAATGTGGCTTAATTTTAAATTTAAAAACACCTTAATACCATGCATTTTTATAAAAAGGTAAATCAAAATCAAAACTGACATTGTCTTAATATTTTATCCACTATAATTCGCTTACTATATTAGTTTGCACACGACCAGCCAATCTCTCCAGATATTCTTCGACGTCCTTTTCATCGAGTTGTGTTGATTGTAACAGAAGCTTGGCAAATTGTTCGCTATTCATGACATCTCTCTCGGCGGAGTAAATCCGAAACTGATAGTTTGTTTAGGAAGGTAAATTCAACAAACCAATTCAAAAACCAACAAACATAACATTGGCCGGGCTGAAAGCCTCCATAAACGTCATGCACACACTAAATATGTATATATAGCTAATTATATGCGTATATATATATATATATATATATATATTATATATTATAATTATATATATATATATACTGTATAATAATAATAATTTTTTATCGAACGGTGGCATTTCAGCAAAACTATAATACAGTAGCATTATAGGCAGTGCTAACTCTAAGTAGACTGGAACGATAACTAGGCCATTTAATGTCCGAGGCCGAATCAAAAGCGTCGTTTTTCTGAGACAAAATGCATCCATCCATTCATCCATAAATCCAAGATTAAAGGCTCAAAACAAAAATTCACGTTTGAACTTTTCAAAAACATGTCATCAGGTTCACGTCGTCTATGACGTTCATGTCCTCATCCTAAATCTACCAAATGAATACAGTATGAAAATCGGATTCAAATCGGCTTCATCCAATCATAGGACCAGAGAGACCTAATGACTGGGGTTATCGTTTGAGTTTACTTGGAGTTCACTGATTATAGATTTTAATGACCATAACTTATCAATTTTAAAATTGGTATTTTTTTTAATAAAAGGATACTTCTTGCTTCCAAAATTCTTTTTGCAAGTTTCTGGTGAACCTAAAGACGAAAGCATATTTCGATGCAGTACTATAAGGCTCATATATAAGTACACAAAACTAGTCTACATTTCTGAATGTACGAAGCTAGAACAAAAAAATAGTACAAATTCATCGAATTCAAAAAAGAGAGATCGAAATGTTTCGATTTTTAGGCCTCAGTAAACTAGAAGAAAAAATTCTCGAAAAACTCACTGCAGCATGTCAGCAAAAGTCAGTTGTCCTTTTCCTGATTTGCCAAAGAAATATATGAGTAAACTGGAGTTTGACGAGGTCTCCTCCGCCAATTCTTTTTCCTTCTGGTAAAAAAGGCAGAAAGGGCATTTAAAATACAAACGAACTTTTTTTTATTTTGTTCAGATGAAGTTTTGTTTCGCAGTTTCTGAAACTGTTATTAACTTTTTCGGATGAACACCAGCATCGCCTTGTTTGGTTTAAACTGCACTGAATCTATCAGTGACTGTTTTGGCTTACCAAAGATTTCGCTGACGTTTTTTGGTTTAACATTCTCTCCAGCTGAAACACAATAAATAATTTTAGTATGGGGGTATGCACAATAGAATAAAATATGGTTCCGGTTATATAAAACTCTATAACTGCATTTTGCATGGTTAAATCCTAGTTAAAACCTAGTGAAATAAATTAGCTACTCCGATTGGCCAATTTTGTCGTTAACTACAGTTAAAATCCACCTAATGTTTTATACAACTGGCCCCTGGTATTCACAATAGAATAAAATCTGGTATACTCGTATTTTGTTTTAATGGTATATATATATTAGAACGATTGTAATTAATCTATTAAAGGACAACGAGCTCTCTTTTCTGTTAAGCATTCACTAATTAGGCAACTTCTTTTTATCCCTCTAAGTTTCCGTAAGTACGATAAGCAATGACAAAAACAGCACGACTATGTGCGATCTAAATAAATAACTTAGCTAGTATAGACTGTTCTAAGAAGGCTAAAGTCTGGAATTTTTTCAATGATTCGTCGTATATGCCAAAAATGTGCCAAATATACAGTATGCAACACATGAATCTCCTTGGACAAACCATATAAAGAACTGGAATAAAATCTGGTTCCGGTTGTATAAAACTCTTTAACTGCATTTTGCATAGTTAAATCCTAGTTAACTCTGAAATAAATTACTCTGATTGGCCAATTCTGTCCTTTACTACAATTAAAACTTAACTAGTGTTTTATACAACTGGCCCTTGGTTTTCACAATAGAATAAAATCTGGTATACTCGTATTTTGTTTTAATGGTATATATATATTAGAACGATTGTAATTAATCTATTAAAGGACAACGAGCTCTCTTTTCTGTTAAGCATTCACTAATTAGGCAACTTCTTTTTATCCCTCTAAGTTTCCGTAAGTACGATAAGCAATGACAAAAACAGCACGACTATGTGCGATCTAAATAAATAACTTAGCTAGTATAGACTGTTCTAAGAAGGCTAAAGTCTGGAATTTTTTCAATGATTCGTCGTATATGCCAAAAATGTGCCAAATATACAGTATGCAACACATGAATCTCCTTGGACAAACCATATAAAGAACTGGAATAAAATCTGGTTCCGGTTGTATAAAACTCTTTAACTGCATTTTGCATAGTTAAATCCTAGTTAACTCTGAAATAAATTACTCTGATTGGCCAATTCTGTCCTTTACTACAATTAAAACTTAACTAGTGTTTTATACAACTGGCCCTTGGTTTTCACAATAGAATAAAATCTGGTATACTCGTATTTTGTTTTAATGGTATATATATATTAGAACGATTGTAATTAATCTTATAAAAAGCAGAACGAATACTGGCTTTTTAGAAATGTTATTTAATTGCAAATAACGTCAATACAAATTCATTTGCATTGTCCGAAGTTCATACACCAAGTGTTCAACCTTTTTTCTTTGCACGAGGTAAACCCACGTGACTTAACTCAACCAATTAAAACGAAACTATTAAATATTACTAAGATGAAGTATAACAGTATGTCAGATTAAATTACTGTTTTCTACATCCTCCCCAACAAAGAATTAGCGTTCGCTATTAATATATATATATATAGAACTAGGAAAAACGTTCACGAAGTCTACGTAAGTTCTGGCCTTCTATGGCCGCCTTCCTTTTCTTGCGTTTTCCACTCTCCGGACCGTCATGAGTCTTGACTTCTTCGTTTAAGCTTTCATCCTCTGGTTCCTCTGGAAGCTCGAGAAGCTGGGCATCATCGGTTGCATTCTCTTCGTTGTTTTCATTTTCGCAAATTTCAAACGGAATCAGTTTCTGTACTGGACGAAACACAGTTGTCTGTTTTCCCGCTTTCGACAATACTTTAAGTTGAGCACCTCGTATTTGGCCGTCCAGACCTTTTACAAGCCGTAGAATTTTTCCCATTCTCCACTGAGTACGAGGAACCGGTTCGTCGTCTCGTATCAAGGCGACATCTCCTACTGCTATGCTACGCACGTTCTTGCTCTTCGATTTTCGATATATGTTCATTTGTCGTAGCTCGCTTAAATAACTACCGCGAAACCGCGCCCAAAAATCTTTCAACACCTTTCGAACATGGAAAAGTCGGCGCTTACACTGTACAACACTCGTGGGAAATATGAAATCACCAGGTTTTGTTCTTTTTCCGACGTTACGCCCGTGCATGAGGTGGAACGGTGTCAGCGCTTCGTCAAGGTCATCATCACTCACGTAGGCTAACGGCCTATTGTTAATCGCGACTTCAATTTCACACAATACTGTTTGTAACTCTTCAAAAGTCACAAAAGCTCTTCCAAGGGTTTTCTTTAGACACGTCTTGACAGTTCTAACCAAACGTTCGTAAAAGCCACCCCACCAAGGCGAGGCAGGCAAAATGAACCTCTGCGTGATCCCTTGCAACAACATAAATTTTTTCACTTCCGCCGATTTAAAGGTCTTAAAATTATCGTTAATGATCATATCTGGTATTCCTCTTCGCGCCATGAACCTCTTAAAACCTCGTAAAAATCCATCCACCGACATGTTAGGCACGAGTTCTAAGTGAACGGCTCGACTGGACGCGCAAGTTAGTAATAAAATGTACGACTTGTTGTTCTTTGAAGCACCTTTAACGTAAAGAGGTCCGGCGAAATCAAGACCAGTAGCTTGAAAGGCATGAGCAGAATGGTCGACTCTATAATCCGGTAAATCGGGACTTGACGGAGGACGCATAGGCAGGCCTTGATACCGAGTGCATACAACGCACTTTCGCAAAATCTCTTTGACGCTCTTCCGCCCTTTTACTATCCAATAATTTGATCGAATTCGGGCTAACGTTGTTTCTACTCCGTGATGCATACACTTTTCGTGCGTGTCCAAAATAACCAATCGCGTGAAATGACTGTCCTTATTTCGAAGGATGATAGGAAACTGTTCTTCATATTTTAAAGACGAGTTCGCAAACCGACCTTTTAGTCTCAACAGCCCGTCGTCGCTTTCAAACAACTGCAGTGATGATCGAATGTTCTGAAAGTTATCTTGCTGTTTTAGCGAACGTTGTTCCTCTTTTATCCATAATTCCAAAGACTCGTTAAATTCGGCAACAGTAATCATATCGTCTGTAATTAAGTTTTCTTCTTTCTTTACCCGTTTGCGAAGGTTTTTAACATATCGTAGAACGTAAGCAGTCGTTACGATAAGCTTCTTTAGAGAACTGAATCGGTTACAGTTGATGACGGTACTCAATCGCGCTTCACTGTCTTTCGTGTTCTGCTGTGCGATGAAGTTTGAAACTTCAAAGGAAGACTCGGGAATTTCAGAGGAGTTTTCACCATCAACCCTCCCCAACAAAGAATTGTCAATAGTACAATTAGTGCTACTGACTTTACCAAGGGACTCCATGTCATGCGACAACAGCATCGACGGACCTTTTAACCAACACCCAGAAAAACACTCAGCTAAATTAGACGACACCCTAGTAGGGATGTCCGCCGGGTTAAGCTCCCCTTTCACATAGTTCCATTTACTACGATCAACTACCTTCCTGATAGCTACAACTCTATTCTCAACCCATGGCTCCCAGCTCTTTTCCTTTCCCCGTATCCAAGCCAAGGCAACTTCCGAATCCGACCAACAATACACATCATTATACGTAATACGATTATTAGAACCAATAATAATTTCCTTTATTAATTTACTTAAGAGCAAACAACCCAAAAGCTCCAGCCGGGGTATTGTCACCGTTTTCAAGGGAGCTACCTTTGTTTTCGAAGTTACAAAACTAACCTTGACGTTGCCACAATAAATGAGTCGAAGGTATACTACAGCACAATAAACTTCTTTAGAGCTGTCAGAAAAACCATGAAGCTCTACACGAATACCGGGATCAAATTGGTCCGCGAGAATAAACCGAACACATCTTACTTCTTTTAGGTTTTTTAATTCCTCTAAAAAGGTACTCCAAATCAACACAATGTTCTGCGGGATTGCGTCATCCCAATTCAATTTATCTTTGCAAAGCATTTGAAAAATAGTTTTAATTTTAGCTGTGATCGGTGACACAAAACCCAAGGGGTCGAAGATGGAAGCTGACACACTTAATAAATTCCGCTTAGTTTGTAGCATGGATTCGCACTTTTTTAACAAGTCATCAAAACGAAAAACAAATTCATCCTTAGACGTGTCCCATCCCATGCCTAAAACCGTTTTTTGATGAGTATCAATATTAGGAGACATTACTTCGAAATACGTACTATCATCACTCTGGGTTTGTGCATTAATTTTTCCGTTTTCTTTGGAGGCAATATATTCGCTTAGTTCCGAATCATTCGTTATCCATTTTCTAAGGTCAAAACCTGCTTCTAACATAATAGCTTTAGTCTTATCGTAAAGCACCTTCCCTTCATCTCGCTCGTCACATCCACTAACAAGATCATCGACATATAAATCATCCCTTATACGCTCAACTATTTCTTTCTCCTTATCTATGTATTTACTGAGATGATGTCTTATTGTCCCGTTTAATAAAAATGGGCTACTTGTGACTCCGAATACAACTCTCAAGAATCTATATACTATCACGCGCTCGTCTTGTGATTGTAAATCGTACCACAAGAACCTGAGAAAATCGCTATGTTTTTTGTCAATTGCGATGTTGAGGAAAGCCTGCTTGATGTCCGCTAGTATGCCAATTCTGTTAAATCGAAACCGGAGTAAGATATCAAAGATTTTAGCTAAAAGGTTGGGTCCGGGATACAAACATTCATTCAAAGAAGGACCATTAGCCTTGCAGGAAGCATCGAACACCGCTCGTATCTTAGTTGTTTCTTTGTCTTCGCGCACAACTGGCCTATGGGGAAGATAGTGAACTTTTCCCGATTCCTTAGCTATTTCATCGATGGGGACCCGCTCAATTATCCCATTTTCTTCATAATCCGAAAATATTTTGTCATATTCATTCAAAATATTTCTTGCATCTAAGCGAGGTTTCAAAGATTTTAACCGTTTCTCACTTATACTAAAATTGTCAGGAAGTGGTTCATGGTCAGGTTTAAATGGTAGTTTTGCTATATACCTTGTTCCGTTGTGGGCAATGTCTTTCTCAAACTGGTTAACAACACAATCCCTAGAAAATCCTACGTTTTCAACATTCCAAAACTTTTCTAGATCTTGCCTTAAATCCTGATCTCCCGCTTGTTTATCAGCGGCATCAACGGCGGTGCGCAGTAAATAGGTCTCAAGACAATGCATGCTACTCGAACTATAACTACTTCCACCACTTACCACCCATCCAACTTTTGTCTGACAAGCTACAGGTCCTAAGCTGCTCCTTAGCACCCTCCCGGTCATGAATGCGTAATAATAATCAATACCTACTAATATTCCTACGGGGCGATCCGAACCATGATCATCGCAATCGGCAAATTCAAGTTCTCTGAATTCCTGGCATTCACGTACACTTGACATGCATTGATTTGTAAGGGGGCTACAAATTGTGGGCACACACAAAGCTTCTACACGAGTAAAATTTGCATAATGCTTATGTTTGATTTTAAATTGGACAACATCGAGTTTTTGTACTTCGCTATCCTCCGCATGACCGAAGGTCTTAATAATTACTCTCTCCGTCCGTATCGTTTTCAACTTTAACCGAGATCGAACCTTTTCCGAAACGTACGATCGCTGACTACCGCAATCAAACAACACACGTGTTTGCACCTTTTGTTGTTCATCAACAGCGGATACATCCACCCTGGCAGTTTGCAGCAAAATTCCCCTTTTATCGCAACTAGCATGCCCTACAAATTCATTACTTGCTCCCCCTTTGTCCTTTTTACTCTCCCCCTCTTGTTTACTCTCTCCCTCTTTTTCTCCTTTGGGTTCCTCCGAGTTTTTATTTGGGGCAGACTTGCAGATTGATATGTGATGTTTACCCTTCTTACATCGCCGGCAAACGTAAGTTGATGTGCAATTTTTTGCAACATGCCCAGCGTCCAGACAAACGAAACATCTCCCTTTCTTACGCAAAATTACTTTCCTGGATTCATGGCTAGAGACAGTAGTGCATTTAGAAGATAGATGGTCATCTTTATTACAATATATACATGCACTAGCCCTAGTTCCTGCAAACAACCCACTTGCTGTGATTGGCCCCCCTTTCTTATAACTTTCATAATTACTTGATCTAGATGTGTTCATGCTGGCACAATTCTCTTGAGCCCTAAGCTCGTCATAAAATATTCCATTACTTGTTCTAAGGTCCAGGTGTTCCCACCAAATTTCCTAGCAATTACCATCGTTATTTCATCTGGTAACCGATCTTTTAATATTGGTATCATAAGTGAACCGTACCCTGTTGTATCAAGTTTCAATGACCGTAAGTTTCGAACGCAACTTTCAATGTGATTATAAAGTGTTCTCAAACCTTTAATATTTTCTCGGGACCTAATCTTATTGATTTTCAACAAGGACTCCATGTGTGCTGAGATAAGAATTTGCTCATTTCCAAATCTATCTTGTAATAATTGGATCGCTTCTTTATAATTTTCACTATTTAGGGTGAGTCCAGAAATTGCAGCTAATGCTGCACCTCTCAAACAGCCTTTTAAATAATTGAATTTATCAATGTCACTTATACTATCCTTATTGTGAATTGCCACCTGGTACTGGTCCCAAAACCCCTGCCACAAAAGTGGGTCTCCGGAAAACTCAGGCAACTTGATTTTGGGTAACTTACACTGGACTGGACTAACAGTGCTAGGCATTAAACTTGATGAGGTGGAACTATCTATTTGCGTTTTAAACTCTTCAAGCTTTAAATCAACTGCTGCCAAAATTTGGTAAGTCGGTTCTAGATCTTTCATGTGTTCAATTACTTCCGCTTCAACCTCCTTCGGGTCGATCAATGTAATAACTTCATTGTGAACAACCGCTAATTGAGCAAGTATATTAGCCACCGTACTCTTAAATCCCAAAATTTTGGTTTGATTACAGTCATCCGAAGAAATATATGAATTCAATTCGTTTAAAACTGTTTTTAGATACGTTTTAAGACCGCTGTATCTACCTTTGACTCTTACTGTCGCTTCCGTCATATTTTATTATACCGTACAAACCAACAAAGAAAGGAATTAACCTCAAGTATATTTTCAATTTTCACACTCAAGACTAATACGGCACAGTACGACACGATACAAGTACATACGTAACGTAATTCCAGAAAATATCAGCAAAGAAAGCGAAGAATTATACCTCTACTGCCCGTCCGATTTAAAGAAATGTTGTCGCCATGCGAGTCCCAACGTACACTGCCGCACCGAACACTTCGACAAACAAAGCGCTATTACCGCCAACAACTGATTGTTTTCGCCGTTTCCCGATTCTTTAATGTCCCCTATCGGGCTCCATATAAAAAGCAGAACGAATACTGGCTTTTTAGAAATGTTATTTAATTGCAAATAACGTCAATACAAATTCATTTGCATTGTCCGAAGTTCATACACCAAGTGTTCAACCTTTTTTCTTTGCACGAGGTAAACCCACGTGACTTAACTCAACCAATTAAAACGAAACTATTAAATATTACTAAGATGAAGTATAACAGTATGTCAGATTAAATTACTGTTTTCTACAAATCTATTAAAGGACAACGAGCTCTCTTTTCTGTTAAGCATTCACTAATTAGGCAACTTCTTTTTATCCCTCTAAGTTCCCGTAAGTACGATAAGCAATGACAAAAACAGCACGACTATGTGCGATCTAAATAAATAAATTAGCTAGTATATAGACTGTTCTAAGAAGGCTAAAGTTTGGAATTTTTTCAATATTAAATTCGTCGTATATGCCAAAATTGCAAAAAATGTGCCAAATATACAGTATGTAACACATGAATTTCCTGGGACAAACCATATAAAGAACTGGATGAAAACATTGTATAATTCCAATAGTTATATGTAGAGCGGCATTCAGGTTTTGTGTTGCTTTTATGGTCCGCGCAGCGCCGTTGCATGAAGGTCAGTAACGCTGGAGTTTTGCGTGTTCAGCATTCACCTGCAACTATATTTTATATACGACAGATAGAAGGTAAAACTGCAATCATATAGCAATATATCTGATCGTACCGCTTGAAATTCTGTCTTGCCGAGTGTGGCATTACCATCCAGATCAAGCATACGGAACGCAACATTAAGACCATGACTTGATTCTATATAATTTCACGTGAAAATATAAATACGTCCTAAATCAATTAAGTGACTCAGGGCTCAGACTTGCATGCCTCATCAATATAACTATACTTTTTCACGACCGTTATTTCCCGTATGCAGTCCTACTCTTGTAAACAAGGGTAAGTCATTGCAAGCGACATGTCGATATCAGGCACGGTCTTTCGCGGAGAGACTACGTATTTTTGGATCTGATCCCCTAGAACTTGTTACAGGCCAAAACTCGAGCTTTATTTTCACATTAAAACTAGCATATAATTGTTTTAAAATCGACATGGAAATTAAGGTATAGTTGCATGTTGGAAAGAAGGTTACGTTAGGGAGCAAGGGGAGCGGTCATAAAAGGGGTGGGGCAAAAAGTTTGAAAAGGTGAAAAAGTAGGAGACTTTTTCTTAAAAATATCACCACATGAAAAAACAAATCCCCCATCCCCCAAGATATATTGAACGGGACACAATCCAAATGGAAAACACGTCGCTTACGTACTTGTTAGCAATGTTAAAAGAAACAAATATTCTGGGTAGGTGATGATTCCTAAAAAGACAAAAATGTGTTAATTAAGCCGATATTTAGCAACGACCCACGATTAGAAAAAAGCGGCCTTTGCACAATTTGCCGAAAAAATAGATATTCAGAAATGAGAAAGTTTCGAAACATGCGACTGATGAGCGAAATTTAAAATGAGGATTTTTAGCACCCACCCTATCTTCTTGCGTTAATCAGTATTTCAAGCTAATCTAAATTATTATCAATTTGCGAGCAATGCATGTCAGTAAGGGGCTTATTACATTGAGTGTTTTCAGCCCAAGTTGAATTTGCTGAAACTTCAGCCCGGGATTCTTATAAAATCCTAACAAAATCGCACACGCGATTACATGACAAGAATTCCAGCCTCAGCCCTGGCTGGAATTTAAGCCCACTTTGAGTTACCCGGGCTGAAACTTAGTGTTGTTGTCATGTAATCGTAATAAACTTAAACCCGGACAGAAAAATTCGCCTTGACAATGCTTTTTCGTTTGTTTTCGTTTTACTTTTATGTGCAGTCATAGTTTCTTACAGGTCAAGTTATTGTCATTCGGGATTTTAAAGCGCTCGAAGAATCGAAATAGGTCTACTACCAGCCTTTACAAACTCAGCCCGGGCTGAAATTTCAGCCTGGTTTTAAAATAATTCTGACGTGTCATAAACACAGCCCGGGCTGAAACTTGCCATGTAATGGAAAAATGCTTTGGCCCCGGTTTGCTGGGCTGAAACTCAGCCCGGGCTAAAAAGACACCATGCAGTCAGCCCCTTAGCCTACTTTCCCTCCTGAAAAACGTAAGGTAACCGGAATACGAGGCTGTGACGTCGTGTTCGAGTCACGTGGCTCGAGTATCGAGTTCGCATGAAGCCTTCTTTCTGTTTTGCATCAGGTTGCTTTGTTAACCTCGTTTAACGATTCTTGTTTATCGTTTCCAAATAACATTGTTCCCACAGAAATATGGCCCGACTAACTCGTTATGCTCAAGAACGAATAGTCTTGCTACGTTCTCAACAGGCTAAAGTAGGCGAAATCGTACAAAAACTTAGCGACGAAGGCATATCAACAACCCGACAGACGGTTTCTAGATTCCTTCGTGTGTCGAGTGAATGTGCCAAAACCCGTCTCAATACCGACAGTACGGCGGGAGAAAAACAGACCAGACCGCGATCGAAGCTTCGAAAAGAACATTTAGAATTTATAAACAAGGAAATCGAAAAGGATGACAAGATGAATGCACGAGGTATTTCGTCGGCAATCATACATTCTGTCTAAAGTTTGTTGTATTATTGTATCAGACAAATTGTCGCAATTTGCGGCACAGTGCTACCACTTACATACTGCCAAAATTCATATTTCAAATTCAAGAATCATCCTCGTACCCAGGCGTCTTCTGCTTAAAATGTGGTTTTAATTAATTCAATCTAGAAAACTGTGCTTCATATATTGTGCTTCATATAATATAATTTAATATAAAAAATTAATATTGCCGTATTAAATTGCACCTTCGGCCATATTGCATGGTTCAAACTTTATATTAACAAACTGTAATGTGCCTAAAAATTTGAAGCTAATTTTTTTAACTGTTATAAATAATAACCTTTTCTATAATGCTTCATTGTGAATCCAGTGCTATTTGTAAACTGCAGAGCCTCATACAGATGGGTAATTTCTCTCACAGATTTCATTTGCTGGTGTATACTGTATATAGTAAAGAAATTGACCATTTGTCTTTGATAAGAAACCACATTTCTAGACAATGCACTGTTGTACAATATGCTAGTTGTATTGCCATTATAGAACATAATTTCATATTGTGTGCCTTTTCTGCTATTCTCTGCTTTTCTGCTTTAAATTTTCGATTAAAGAAAATGATGTCCTAAGAATACTGGCCATTGCTGTAAAACTGACCTAGATGGACATCTTGCAGCAAAAATTTTGATGCGTAAAATACAGTAAACTGTACTTCTCAAAACCCGGCTTGGCATAAGACATATATGCTTTAAATAAATTCTTAGTTGTCAGACATCATGCATCAAAAGCTACATTTTATTGTATTTTTAAAAATTAATAGCATGTTTAATTAAGTGAAAATTGGTTGTATTTACATACAAGATATTGATGAAAATTGTGATACCCATTTAAATCAACACAGTTGTAGTGGTGCAAAAATTTGAACTAATTAGCCTATCCACCATTTTTGGGATACTTTCAATTTTCTTAAATGCATTTAAACAATAATAGCAATGTAAGAATAATAAGAGTCCATAGACCATTTGAACAATAAATTAAGCCTAAAATTAAAGACAGTTGTCCTGACAAGGTCATAATTGTGCTCACAATTTAAAACTAGGGATCCAAGGATAGTGCAAAGTTTTAGCTATAATGCAAATGCTGTTATACTTGTGATTGTGCAAAAATGCGCGGTTATCCAGGTGATCTCGCGCTCATATTTCAGCCAATCAGCGCTCAGAAAGTTTGTGAAAATAGAAATCCATCTTGCAGTGTTTAATCGATTATATCTTTTGTTATTCTTGATAGAACCATTCGAAATTTTGTGATTATGTTTAGTTATAAGAACTATAGCTCTGATATAAATTTGGAACCTAAATAGAGTATATTTTATAATAAAATATTTCTGAGAAGAATCCCACAAGATACTTTCAAATTGCACTATACTGTATAAACCTTAAAGTAAATAAACCTTGCATGATTTACATAACCGATGCGTGAATCGATCACTTGTCCTGACAGCACGAAAATATAACCAAACATACTCAAATTACATTACTATAGTCGCGATATTATATATGGATATCAACCATAACAATATAATTAGCCTTGAATGCCTACTGTGTGGATCCACAGTTTTCATTTTGAAGCATTTTTTATGACAGTAAAATTGGTTTGTGCATAGGCGTACGGGACTTTTAAAATGTGGTCGCGCAGATGAAACATGGTCTAACGTAATTAATGTTATAGTTACTTTGCCCTTCTTTTGGACTGATTGGACGCCTGTATATATTCAAAACCGATCCGTATATTTACATAACCATATGCGCGCAATCGCACTATAGCCTACCTAAATAAAATACAAAGCTCTAAATAAATATAGCTCTATGAAGTTGTGCTGTAAGAAAACGAACTAAATAATATTAGCACTTAATTGTCAACATTTTAGCGTGAATTAACTGCAATACGTAAAATACAAAACAATCCTATGCTTCATGAAGTTTGTGTTGTCTAGCACTCTATTCAATGAAGTATACGATCTAAATAAATCGCGCAGTGTAATATTCGCGATGCATGTGTTTATAACACGATGCGCGCATCAATGGATCAGTTCAAATATAGTGTTTATTACGTGTAGTAATAGTGCATGTCGTGTAGCACCTTAGCATACCATTTAACCTGATAATACTGATCGGCACTTGCTAGTAATATCGCCATTTGCTTCAGATTTGTACATTTTAAACAGAAGCACGAACACTGTTAAAAAATTTTAAACCTCCATAGTCGATTATACAGCAGTATCAATTGCTATTAACACATGTTAGATTCGTGAAGTACATTATCAAAATAAGTCGTGTATATTATGTTATGCGTGTAGTTAAAATACGATAGTGGATGTGGACGTATTCTTTCTTGGTTTTGCGTTTAATGAGTTCACAAATTCTCGAACATTTGCTCGCTTTTCGCTTAAAATATTTCAAAACAACACTTCGTCGCTCCATCGCTCCTTATTGTATTTTGCGCTTCTGAATATTAATCGCGGACTTATGCGCATTAATGCGCTGTTCAAGATGAAATCGCGTGTACCGGGGGGAACAACACACATATCATCGTAACGAATGTTATAAAATTTACAATAACCACAGTAATTCTTTCATACTTTGTTTAAATTGGAAAATGCTAAAAGAATATACAAATCAGAAAACTATATACTTGATCAAACAAACTTCCTGATACCCACCCACATAGGATCAAAGACGACAAACAAAAAACACTCCGCCCCCCGGAGTTTACACTATGACTGACTGACTGACTGTCTGATGTGAATTTTCGCCACTCACCACAATACTGCAAAGTTTCACAGAAACTTTGCACTAAAAAGAGTACCCCAAAAATGGTGGCACATTTGTCATCGTGAGAAAGGCTAATTGTTGTGTTCATAGAGTTAATTTTTTGTTTTGCCTTTAAATTCCTCACCCTCAGGTATAAAAACAAATGCACTTTCTACAATGTTACCACCAAAATAATGAAAATGATGCACTTTCATTCAGCAACCTTAAACCCCTAGGACTAAAAAGCCTTCTTCCCACCAGACCCTGGTGCATTTGTGCATAACTTATAAACAAACTAAAACTGAAGAAGGACATTTCAACTCATGAGAAATGAAGAGAAAAAAGAAAACTAAATGCAATCTTAATTTAATTTTAATTAACAGATCTTCAAGAAATGCTTCAAGAACAGTTCAACTTAAACGTTTCAGTGACTGCTGTCAAACGGGCTAGAAAACAATTGGGTTGGGTAAGAACGGGCCCTAGGAATGTGAAAGTTCCAAAAGGCCCTTGCCAAGATCATGCGACAATTGTTGCATGCCTCACGCATATCACCGAGCAGCAGCAACTCATTAATCAAAAAATAGACCGACTGGAGAACCGATTTGTGCTCCTTCAGCAATTTCCAAACGCGTACCAGTTGTTTCCAACCACCGCAAGCGTCTCCAATCCCCAAAACGTTCCCAGCTCTTCGGCTATTCCTAGCCATTCGGAACACACAAACCCCCCAGGCGTTGTTCCCAACCCCACAACCGCAGTAAGCGTCCAGAATCACCCCCCTTGTGGTAACGACATTGCCCCACTGATAGCACCCCTGCCCTCGACGAGTGAACAAACTACCATGCTGACTTTGACCAACGTGAACGAGGAAACAAACTCAGTTCCAGATAGCTTCAGTATATTGGCCAACATTTATAATCTGACAACGAACGACCTCTACGCACTGTCTCGCAAGTCGTCGTCAATCGGAAATTTTTCCGTGAAGCTTTTGAACATCATGTTCCGGCCCGACGAGCTGCAGGGAAGAAATTGTAATGGAAAGCTCGGCAAGCTTCCACTCGACGCATCTAGGCTGTCGGTCATCAGGGAAGCCGTCTATCATATTTACTCAGTTCCTGACATATCGAAAACCGATATATGGAAGAAATGCGTCATAGCGATCGACGAATCGATACGAAGACCGAAGTCTAAAACGCCCAAGAAACGCCCTGTGTACGTGCAGCTGCCAAGCATGACAGATCTCCATCTTATTGCAGAACCAACCGACACCTGATTCTTTTTACAGCTTACTTAAATTTAAAAAACAGAGACAGTTTGTAACTTGTCGATTTTATAAACAAACTACCAAAGGTGTTGTTTAGATTTTATTTGAATGATTCAACCTGAAGTAAATGTGTTATGTATAAATATAAACAAGAACAGAAATTCAGTAACTTGTGGTATAACATCTGCCTAAAATGGGCAAACCTCCCGACATTTCAACCTAGACCTTTGGACCAAAAAACATCGAGAAATGTCTGTTTTAGGCAGTTGTTATACCAAAAAAAGTTATAATAATCCGCAACATTTGATGAACTGATTAAGCTGTTAGCTGCATGGTAGTGACTAGTGGTATAGTATGCAGTTAATAAATAAAATATTCGCATATGGGTTTTCAACAGTGAACAGTTACTATCACCACTGACGATAAATGAAAAAGAAAACACGATAAAACGAAGTTCAACAGAGGATGCTTTGGAAACATACTTTACTCTTTAGTATGTTCGCCGTATTAAATGAATCTTGAATTTTTATATTCTACATAGTAATGACCCGAGTCAACTTTCCACTGATCCAAGTCACCCAATACTCTTACTTCAATGAAAATATTTGTCATAACTCATAAACTGACACCCAGCTTTTACAGCAATTTTTTTATATAGCTAGCGCTTATAGTAATTGCGATTGGCCGATTCGTGGTCACATGCCTTCGGATAAAATGTTAAACTCCCGCGAAATTGTTGCCTGCCACCATTGAAGTAAATACAACTTGTTGTATTTACTTCAATGCCTGCTGCTAAAAATAAAATGGTGGTGAAACTAGCTTTAAGGATGGGCTGCTGTGTTAAACCTAGGCCTAAATCAGCAGTTTATTAGAGTGCCTATTTTAAAATCATGCCCAACCAATATCCAAATATTTTACCAGACACAATTGTACAAATTTACAGTTGTAAATGAAATGTACAATTGTACAGGTCTGGTAGAAAATATTACCAAAATTAGACAAGCTGTTGTGTATGGCAACTCACTAGTCCATATTTGGCAAAAGTTTCCCATGGATGTATTTCTCCCAACCAATTAGAATCCAGTAATTTTACTATGCTAATAAAAACACTGCATGCATGCATTGTGTATATATATTTACCATTTTCACCCATGTGTGTAAATAGATCTTCCTTGTGTTCTGATAGTTGTTGAGTTGATTGGAGAATTTTGTCCATATCCTATATTGAAAAAGAGGATTAAAATAGATATAATCATAAGCCCCATACAGTTTACCTTGACAAACTTTCTTGACCAGTTTTACAATAATATGATAAAAGCTGTGATAAAATGTCTGTATGACCGAATCTCAAAACAAAAATTATAAAATTTAAACCCGCTCAATTAAGCAAAAAACCCACTTGATTGGCTCGAAGATATTGTTGCAAATAAAACTTGGTAAGGAAAACTTGTCAAGGAAATCTTGCCTGTCTGTATGGGGCTTAAAATGCACTAGTTGCTGCAATAATATACACGTACTGCAAATTACTTAATAAACTTGTAACTCTTTATGCAAAAAACCACATTGTTTTGACAAATTATAGTCTGACTGTGTTAAATTGTGCAGTGTGTTAGTAATTGTGCACTGTACCTGTGTGGTGAGCTTTTTAGTACCTTTTTTCAAAGCTCCTAAAAAATATTGGTAATTTGTAATACAATGCATTTTATTGGGCTTACTGCAAGTGAATACATGCATCAGTAGCGGGTTTAGACTTTAGTGTTATAAATTGTTCCCTAGAGGTGTGTATGTAACTCATTAAAGTTGATTTAGAAAAATTTCCACCAAATATTATGTATACAAAGAAAACTCCGTAATTAATTGCTTCTGATTTTAGGATGGCCCTACCCCAAGTAACATTTGGCCCAAAATTATATACTGTATTTCTAAGAAAAGTCATCTGGTGATTCAAAATGACATGCTATGGCAAACGGTCTATATAGTAATTCACAAAAAATGGCCATGTGATCTAATGGTTAAACAAGGTTTAGTATTCTTGGTGGGCATCAAGGTTTATACCGCACCGCACCTTCTTTGTTGTCAACCAAAGAATTAAGGAAGTCTTGTGGAGACATCAAACGCTTTCCCCGATATTCATAAGAAGCATATTCTTCAAACTTCATTTGTTTTAACGTTAAATCTGTCTTAACTTCCGGCACATCTTCGTCGCTGGTCGCAGCGGATAATACAAGAGGATTTTGCGATATACCGGAATATTTTGTTTTTACAAGCCCGTAGCAAGTTCCAGTGACAAATGCACCGGCCACGCCAAGCCAACGAAGCTGAGGGCTGTTTAGTCTACTGTAGTTCGTAGTTTTGTGGTAAAATCGTCTTGTAAGAAAGTTTTTAACATGATTGGATTGATTGTGACTGCAGAGCCTCTTGGAAAATGGTAAACTACTAAATATTCTATAACCAAAAACATTCGACATTTTGAATTTCACAAAAAGTATTTAAAATTTAAATGCGACATCCCGCGCGATCGCGCAGCACTTAAATTTCGCGGTTGCGCGCGTGGTCCTTCCCGAAAAGGTAATAGCCTTCTGAAGTGCTTACGTCACACAGTTTTCTATCTATACAATTTTGTCCCACTTGTTTCCCAGATTGCATTGCGATTCATTGTTCGAGACCGACATGACGTAAGCACCTCAAAGGTCTATTCTCATAATATATGTTGTGTTCGCACTGCTTGTCTCAACCATACTTGTGATCTAGCAACATTAGGACGTGATTAGGACTAGAGCGGTGTTGTGTTGCAATTGTGCAATAATGCAAATTTTAATGAGGTTATTCAATAACCAAAGTTAATAGCGAGGAAACCACGAGTGATCCGGAAGTTAGGTGTTCCTGTCGAGGTGCGCTGCGTCAGCCCACGTGTTAAGCCGGTTTTCCACTAGCGATATTTTTCGAGTGAATCGACATTTTACTTTTGTTTCAGAGCTCTCAACTGCAACCATCTGGAACAAATTGCTCAAATACAAAGGAATAAAGTTGCTTCGTGCGACGTGCAAGCTTAAGAAAAAGTTTAAATACCCACCGTCCCACCCTGTTCCAGAAAGGTAAACACCACTAGTATCCGAGTGTGGTTGGCACTTCAAGATACCATTGGCATTGATCTTTCCTTAATTTGGCATGGATCTTTCCTTCATCCAAGTACCAGTGCTATTTCCCAGGCCACCTGCGACCTTGCCTCGTTCCCGGGCCACCTCGGACTACAGCCTGCACCTAACCTTCCAAATTGGTAAGTAAGCAGCGGGGACTAGGGTCAACCTAGATATTAAATATAACAATAATTACTCGCGTAAGGATTGGTCAAGAATTGGTGAAGGTATAATATTGGCTTATGGCTTCCTCAAGTTGGCTTGTGGCTTCCTCAAGTGAGGAAGCTGAAATTCAAAAATTATCGAGGATAAAAAATTCAGTAAGCACAAAAATAATCAAGAAAAGTTTGTAGAGCTATTTTTGAAAATTACTTAAAAGCAAAAAATTCAAATTTCCCACAAAATATATAGCGGCTGGAAGAACAAGCCGTTATACTAAAGAAATTTTACGTTGAAGTCAGAAAAACAAACTGAGCACTGTACACGAAAAGTTCATTGTGTTCAATCGATTTGGTTCACACTGATCACACAGGTATTTCAAAGCTCTTCAAAACATGATATCATCAAGGACAAAGAGTTTTATGAAGTTAAATAGCGTATACCAAGCTCAATGTACAGCTCTGAAGAAAAACGGACTTGCGAAAACTAAACATAAACCTCTAATAGCTGACGAAGACGTTAAAAAGTTGTATAAAACTAATAAAAGCGGCGCGTTTAGCACGAACAGCCCGATTACATTACATTAAGTTGTTTATTCACTTTCAAAATTGATGATTTTCGAAAATTTTCTAAAATGTGTTACATGCTAAAAATGGCTTCAAATATTTACTAAGGCTAATGTATTTCGTTTTTGAACATATTTGTTTCGAAGCAATGAAAAATTCAACAATATACTGATTTTTGCCAAAATAGTGACGGACATGCATGTAACCCTTTTGGGCCAAAATTTTCTGAAATGTCTTAACATGCAGCAAATGAATTACAACCCTTACCATTTTGGCTCAGTGAAATTTTGAAGTTAATGAAAGACAGTGCAGTTTTTTATAATTTCCTACCCTGAATAAATATCCCAAATCTATCAAATTAAAACACCAAATATATCGAAATCTATCAAATATCAAATACCAAAATCTATCAAATTAAATATACCAAATCTATCAAATTCCGTTTTTCAAGCACTAGCTACTAGAGCATCAGCGCTTGGTGTTAAAGGCTACATTTATTTATTTTTACCTAAATCCCTTTTCAAAGTCATAATTGAAAATATAATCGTCTCATTCGAATCACCGACCAACCATTGTCTTCACCACTAGACTAAGACTGAGCAAGCACTTGACCATTTAAACAGTGTGCATGGTTATCCATGTTAAAATATTTGATTTCATAACCAAAGAATGGTTATATTTTTTAATGTTTGTATATATATGAACTATATGAGCACAAACATGCTTGCAACTTTACATATATATAGGACGAGATTTGACCATTAAAACAGCGTGATTATCCCATATCAAAATATTTGACATCATAACTAAAGCATGGTTATAATGGTTATATTGTTTAATGTTTGTATATGAGCGGCAAATATGCTGGAAACTTTATACATAGGACCAGAATTAGACCATTTATAGCCTTCTACCGCAACCACCGTTTCTAATGGTGGCGTATATTGAACTGCAGTATTAAAACTGGTAAAGAAACACGGAATGCGGCAGAGATTGCTGCATATAACTTACAAATTTGTATTTTATTTTCAAAGTTTCTAAAAGTTTCAGAGTTGCGGCCATTAGGCATTAGTATTGCAGTATTGCTTGATTAAAAAAAATTCGTACCCTCCAAGATGAATTACATAAACTTAATTAACAAAGTAAATTGTCATCGCAATCCCAAAAAGTCTCTTTATGTCGTTGGAAATATTGAATTTTAATCACTGAGCTCTATGATTTTAATTGAAGAAAGAAAATGTTGAAAGTTCTATAGAATTCCAAGTTTTTCGTTTCCATTTCATTTACCTTAATATCAAAATTTCCATGAAATATGGAAATTTCCATCAAAGTGGAAACCCTGTTGCGACTCGTCGCCAGTCGTCTTTTTTATGAAATTTCATACGGCTATAGTGATTTCAGCATACGTTTTCGCGCTCCAGTTGATCGTAACTGCATGATATTTTATAAAAAGAACACTGCGGACGAATCAGTATTTATAGTCGTTAGTTTTAATTCCACGCTCAACTGGAGCTGAAATCGCAGCAACACACTTGACGGTTAGATGAAAATCCTTTCAAAGAAAGCGAATCTGTTGAATACACAAACCACGCCATCAGAGCGGCCACAATTAGTACAGTCCTTGATAGAAACGGTTATTAAGAAACAACGGGTGTGACTGTATGTATCCCTCTAAAAAACCTGCCATGCATGTTGTATTAAGCACGTGTCGCGTTATACAGAATAAAGGCACGTACACTGAAGGGCAACTCAGCCTGGCTCAGAGCATGACTCGCAATATACATATTATATAAATACACACTATACTGTTTGTCTACTGACAAGAAAAAGGTGATATTATTAAGTTCCGCAGGTTCCGTAACCTCCGCAAGTTCCGCAGTTTCGTGGTCTGCAGTTCCGTTAATTAGTCACACCCAGAAAAGAGACATATTACGTCCGCGAGCGGCCACAGAAACGAGAGCAGTATCAAAAGTTACCTTAAAAATCTTGATAAGACTTTGACGAAACATAAGTACATTACGACATTATTGCTAAATTTTCTACATGCGTGCATGATGCATGCATGATCAGCTAGATTCAGGGTACATAAAAAATGTCAGTTTTTCAAATAACTCTGGAATTGTAAATTTTGTAATTTTTTACGTTACGGTATGTTGTCTCGAAACAACTTTCAAAAATTCTGATGTTCACTGCATACATTAACAGTATTAACTTTAGTTTAGGTGTGAGAGTCCATAATTAAAATGCCTGTGGCTGTGTTAGAAAGTTGTAAACCGTTGATGAATTAAATTCACTGTTGATTGATGTTCATTTCGATGACTATTTTTACCGAATGATATAGAATTATTAGCTAAATTCCGACTCGTGCATTTCAGTCATTTCATAATGTAGTTTTCAAAAAAATTAATCTTAATATATTCAATCCATGTAATCCTTTTTCAAATTAGCCAAATTAGTATTGCGAACGTGGGCCACTCTATACGGATCGAAATATCTGTTATACTCATTTGTCTGTTTGTCTATATACTTCTCTGGACACAAAAATCTGCAAGTAGCTAAATGTCATGCATATATCTGTAGTTGTTACTCATTAATGTTGTTGTATAGCTGAACCGAAAATAAAGAATATACGTGTTCAAAGAGGATGCTCACAGAGACGAGATTGCGAGTGACATGCAGATAATAGATAAACTTAGTTTTGGCTAGCTGAAATAATTTTTTGATTTGTTGATGCCAAGAAGATTCTGCACGAGTGGTGTAGCCTATTTCTATTTCCATTCAGTATTTCATAACGACATTGAGCCTGCAAGGGCCTTTCGTGCATTCACGTCTTCTACATTATTTAAGCAATCATTTTTCTTGTTAGTTGAATGTTAGAAATTGCTTCCCTTGCATCGTGAAGTTCAATTTCAGTCTGTTTAATTGTTCGTTCAAATACTTCATTTACGCGTTTTAAGTCCATCATCTCTTTCTTCAACATTTGCTCGTCATCCTGGCTGTGGAATCCGCATGTGAAGAAGTACTTAGAACATTGAAATCCGCTTGTGAAGAAGTACTTGGAACATTGAGATCCGCATGTGAAGAAGTACTTGGAACATTGAGATCCGTTTGTGAAGAAGTACTTGGAACATTGTTCGTTTTATACTTGACTAGTGCCAGTCGGACTGTAGGAGCTCGTCGTTTCTTCGGCTAATCTAGTCTCCACTGAAATCTGGAAGGAATTTTGCCTTCCTCTACAAATATTCTTCCGTTCAAGGATTTCTTAAAGTCGTCACTCGTCAGGCTTAAAATGAAGAGAATTAACAAGCCTTCGTCTTGTCATGGATTTTAAAATAGTTGTTCCCTTCATCGCGCCTTATTGCATGAATCCACAGTTTACGCACGGTTTTATCTTTTGGCAAGTTGAAATATGAAACCTTTTCACCATTTGAGAGCCGGTAACCTTGTTGAGAACACAGAGGTACACTACAGTGCGATGGCATCCAAATTCAAACAAGAATTTTTACATGAAAAGCGTTTAAAGTTTACAGTACAATTTTGTAAAATTTTATAAATTGCGTAACATGTTCATAAACGTAATACACACCCTGACTAGCCTCGTTATCACGTTACTCGCCACAGGCTCTTGAGCTTTCAGCTCTTTTTCGAATAGGTGTAATAGATATAGCGACAGCCGACATCATTGATTCCTTTTGTAATAAGATATTGAAAGCGAATGTTGATTTGAAGTGTTCACAAAATCCAACAAGACGCGTGAAGAAGAGCAAACTAACTGCCATAATTGCGGAAAATAAAAGACAAAAACTGCTATAACGGAAGGTAGAAACTTTTTTGTGAGACTCATCATCCTGTATACACACTTCAGTTATATCGCATATATATATATATATATATATATATATATATATATATATATATATATATATATATATATACATATATATATATCTGCGGCGAGGACCGTTTTTGCAGTTGGCGTTAGTTATAACATTTCGTTACATTACTGCATTAATGACCAAAAAAGAAAGAAAGTAAAATTATAAAATAGAGAGTAACATTTAAACAAATTATGCCCAATTATGTGCATATACATAAAAATGACCGTGATAGCCTAAAATACATAGTTTAAAGAGGGGACTAAAGCCCGCTCTGCACATGTGCATGTGACTAAGTGCATGGAGTAGTTGATTTGAACATGTAATTATGAAACAAAAAAAAAACATTCGACGCTGACCCATCTACTCAAATCACTGATTAAAATGCTCTGTAATAATTGCGGAAAATTAACTGTCCTAATTGCGGAAAATTAAAGACAACAATTAATATAACGGAAGTTTGAAACTTTTGAGACTCGTCATCCTGTTTATACACTTTAATTATATGTATATATTCGACGACAACTGCTGGCCGCGGCATCGCGTATATATATAACAGTGGCGTAAGGACCGTTTTTGCACTTGCATGGCGTCAGTTCATATTGAAGTCCATATTGAAGAACGCAGAAAAAAATAGTGAAAGGAGTTTGGCTATACAATCGCGGACCTCAGGTGAACTTGTGAGCTATATGCATATATGCGAAATGGACGAATCAGGGTTGATTGAAGATAGATCAGTTTTTTATAACGCGGAATCCTAATGATTTCTTTTACAGAGTATAACTTTGATTTGATTGGATTCCTGTCAAATTGAGAAGAATGAAAGTTATGTTGGCTTTTCTATGCGTCGTGAGTGTGTTCATTGCATTTACGACTGCTCTGACCGGTACAGTTTATATCTTTCTTAATTTTAGGAATGCATGTTCGCGTTCTTCGTGATCATTTATGGTCCTTCCTGCTATCATCCACGCGCAAAAACGCACACTTTGCAACATGTCTTCATGATTGTGTTTAATGATTTCCGCACGTTTTTATCTGCTTTAACGACATGATGTATTATCAAATAAGATGAATAAATAAATATGATGTATTTGAAATGCATGAACCAATTCAAATTGGTTCTCACAATACATACCGAAATTAGAATGTTTTTGTCATTCTAGATGACGACAAAGGTCGATCTTTGCCCTCACCAACTGACGATGAAAAAGGACAGGTACATTTAAGCAGGGAACGTTCTCCACAATTATTCCGTTTTTTGCGCTCCCGGCGATGCCCTATCATCAGATTCCCGTGTCCTCAAATGCCAAAGGTTTGTGATAACATGAGAGACGCCATAAGAAAGGGGAAACTGAAGATTTTGCACAGGACAACGGATCAACGCCAGATACGAAGAAACAGGCGTGCGTCGGGATGTCGCAACCTTCCTCGTAAAGCTGGTTACAACTGTGACGAATACCCATTCGCCTCTTCTTTTGAGGGAGGAAGTGACGCTGTTGTGAAAATGGTACCTATTCGCGAGAACTGTAAACAAGGGGCAACGCTGGGTAACTTCTACAGGCGACACAGGATTGGACATGGAGATTGTTTTAGGGTCCGCGTGCCGTGATGCATCGATACATAGAGACTTTTTTAGCACTTTAATTTCAACCTCTACGTTATATATAGCACGTTTGAGATAATTTTTTTCATTTCTTTATTTGCTTTCCCTAATTATAGATTAAATAAAATTGAAATCATTCATACTTGTGGTTGTATTCATTATAGTAAAAAAGAATGCTGTTACCAAAATTCGTATATCTTCATACGGTTTTATATGGCGAAGTGGCTGCGGTTTAATCACGAAAAATACGCATGGGAAGAAAATCGCTTTTTGACAGGGATATTTATTTGCTTTGCCCAACAAGTCCGCGCGTGTATTCATTGTTACACAATTAAGACACATTTTAAAGGAAATTAATATTTCAATGCATAATATGTATATGACGTTAAAACATACTATAATATAGAATGGATTAAGCAATAATGAATAAGTTTGATTCACCAACATCCATTAGATTAAATACACAGGACGTATACTATATGGGTATGTAGCTTGTGCATTAACATATCCTCACAACTACAAATATATGCATGTATACTGTTGTCCACTTACTTTTTCAAAATATTGAATACAAAAATAATTGTCAATATATCAAACCATTATTTTCTTCTTTTGTCTTTTTGTCCCTGCGCCATTAATGTTTCTTGCTTCTTGCGTTGCTCAAAAAGATTAATTTCTTCGTCCTGCATTAATGACCAAAAAAGTAAAAATAAAGTAAAATAAAGCAACTATAAGCAACTAGAAAAAAAACACATACCAATTGTTGTTGCTCGTGCTGAATGTTTTTCTTCTTCTCGGCTTGTTCCTTCTTAAGATGTTTAAACTTTGCATAAAGCTAGAAAGCAAGAGACAGATATATAACAAACGATACACGCATGTAATTATTTGAATTAACATTCTCAAAATGGCCGATGATGTACAGTATATATTGGTTACTATGGAAAGAAGATTATTCTTCCTATATCTGGACGTGTTTTTATCGTCACGGCTAATTTGTTCAAGATGAAAGAACACTGCGGACGAATCAGTATTTGTAGTCGTTAGTTTCAATTCCACGCTCAACTGGAGCTCAATTAAATCGCAGCAACACACTTGACGGTTTAATAGATGAAAATCCTTTCAAAGAAAGCGAATCTGTTGAATACACAAACCACGCCATCAGAGCGGCCACAATTACAATCCTTGATAGAAACGGTTATTAAGAAACAAGACATATTACGTCCGCGAGCGGCCAGAGAAACGAGAGCAGTATCAAAATTTACCTGCATGGCTTAAAAGTCTTGATAAGACTTTGACGAAACATAAGTACATTACAACATTATTGGTAGATTTTCTACATGCGTGATGCATGCATGATCAGCTATATTCAGGGTATACATAAAAATTTTCAGTTTTTTAAATAACCCTAGAATTGCAAATTTTGTAATTTTTCACGTTACGGTGTGTTGTGTCAAAACAACTTTCAAAAAATCTGGTGTACACTGCATATATTACCCGAGTATTAACTTTAGTTTAGGTGCGAGGGTCCATACTGATTAAAATGCCTTTGGGTGTGTTAGGAAGTTGTAAACCGTTGATGAATTAACTTCACTGTTAATTGATGTTTACTTTGATAACTATTTTTACCGAATGATATAGAATTATTAGCTATATTTCGACTCGTGCACTTCATTCATTTCATCAATGTAGTTTTCATAAAAATAATCTTAATTCATCCAATCCATAAAATCCTTTTTCAAATTAGCCAAATTAGTATTTGCGGTGTTGCTACTGCGAGCGGGGGCCACTCTACGGCTCGAAATATCTGTTGTACTCAATTGTCTGTTTGTATATACTTCTCTGGACACAAAAATCTGCAAGTAGCTAAACGTTGTGAATTATCATGCAGTTATCTGTGGTGGTTACTCATTAATGTTGTTGTATAGCTGAACCGCAAAATTAATAAAGAATATACGTGTTCGAAGGGGATGCTCACAGAGACGAGATTGCGAGTGACATGCAGATATAGATAAAGTTAGGTTTGGCTAGCTGAGGTAATTATTTGTTTTGTTGATAGCAAGAAGATTCTGCACGAGTGGTGTAGCCTATTTCTATTTCTACGCAGTATTTGATAACTACATCGAGCCTTGAAGGGCCTTTCGTGCATTCACGTCTTTTACATTATTTAAGCAATCATTTCAGTTTCACAATTATCAATCTTATATAACAAGAGCTGGATTATATAGATGTTACGAAATGCGAATATATAATGTAATTTAGCATTGAAAATATATAGAAGGTCAATATAGACGAGGAAATTACTTGGGGAACAGTGTCACATAAAATGACGTGTAAAGTAAATATTATTATGACCCTTCGGAATCACAAAATTACTTTTCCTGTCATGAGGTTACAGCCCATGGGATTTCCTCCCAAACAATAGTATGTTGTACAAAGTACAAGTGTCACGACTCAAGAACATAAGTTTTAGGCGGATACTAGTTTGTGTCAATCATTTCTTTGACTTTGTTATATTTTGCTCGGTTAAGCACTTAAAGCCTTACGTCATGAAAAGCTTAATTCGATCAAATTATTAGTAAAATAGTTTGTAAGTTAAGATTCGGTTCACAGAGTAATAATTTGATAATTGTACTTTAAGTTAATGATAAATATTTTAAGTTTTAATAGTGATCGATTAAGTAAAAAACCAACTCGACTAGTGCGTCACCGCCCTTAAGTAAACAAAGTATGAGAGCTGGATCGAGCTTCTAACGCCAACACATACTTGCAACCTACAACGCTGATTGGATAGAACGAACCGCACCACCTTGCATAGGGTGTCTTCAAGATCCCCTCAAATTTTATTATATATATATATATATATATATATATATATATATATATATATATATATATATTAATATATATATATATAAATATATATACATATACACATATATACATATATATATATATATATCAATACATACTGCGTTTGCGTTTTAAAAACGCTAAAATATCTTCAACTATTTTAATATAACTGAAGAATACAAGCTAACTCTTTAGAAACTTCGTCGCCACATTCGTCTGGGTCGTTAAATAAATCTGAATCTGTGAGAGCATTTAAGTCTAACTCTGAATGAACAGCAACTTCCACATCGACATCATCTGCAGTTATAGAGCGAGTAGGGTCGTAACCGTCTTCACTTGCAAGAAGCAATTCTTCCTCTCTATGAGACAAACCAGTCTCGGTAGACAAACAGTGGACCAAACGGTCAACTGATTCTGTTAAAGCATTGAGCCGAAGCTCTACCGAAACCGTTGGAGCTACACTACCTTCCGCAGAAGGATAGCTTGGCTCGGTTTCAAGTATTTGTGGTTCTTCGTCCGCCATGAGTCTACTGAACGGACGATTTAACTGAGCACGTGAAAGAAAGAATGGCGTGGTTGTGTGTAGCTGCCAGCTATCTACTAATCTACCTGGCCTTATTTGCATCACAATGGCTTTAAACGTCGTGGTGAACTGGAACCGATGATGGAAAATGCATAATGAATCCCGGAGTGTGAGACATGGTACGAAGGAGAATTCCCCCTTTGTCTAACTTTCTCATGATGTTGATCTATCAACATAAATTTAAGACCTACATACCTTAATACCTTCCACGTATTGTGGATAATTTTGGTTACAAAAAAACATTACAGCTATGGGCCCTAAAAATGCCTGCTCATATGCTGATATTGTAACGGGAGAAATTGATAAATAAGTTTTATTATCGCAATCTATTTATCCCGAACTCAAAATGCTGCTTTCGGTTTCGAGATGACACTATTGTTTTATGGCGAGGTTCGGTGGAACGACTCCAAGCATATTTTCATGACCTCAATACATTTACTGTTAACCATCATCAATTTACTATGGAGATCGGAGGAAAAAGTTTACATTTTCTGGATCTTTTGATTACCATAGTGGACAATAAGCTTTGTACATCTGTCTACAGTAAGCCTACGGATGCCCATTTATTGCAAAACTGAGGGGTTGCATTGAGATTGCGAAGGATATGTTCGGATGAGGATGAATTTAAACAAAAAAGTAATTATAAAGAGTACTATCAATATCTGATTGATTGTGGGCATGACGGTGAGCACGTTCGTAACGTACTCGAAGAAATTGGAGGTATATGACACGTCAGGAAGCGCGTAGGAGTAAACGTAAGAACGAGGGCAGACCTTGCGCCTCCACTAGCAAGTTCAATCCTCAAGCACCGGACACTTGCAAAATATTTCGTTGGCATAGAAACATTATTCAACATGATGGGCTGGTTAAACAAATTCTGCCGGAAGGTGCTATTCGTGTTTCATATAAACGGTCTAGCAATTTAAAAGAGTTATTGGCTCCTTCTAATCCATTTAGAACTAAGTAGTAAGGAGCTAATTGTTAAGCGTTGCTTTGCATGTACGGCCATGGCCGGGAGGTATGATTGTTGTAAAAACTTTCTCGTCCCCAGTGTGTCTTTTCGTTCTATACCATCACTGGTAGGTCGTACAATATTTGCAAGTCGCTTACGTGTACCTCGCAGAATGTTGTTTATCTAGCCCATGCATTGTGTGGCTTGTGATTTTCAAGGATTTGGTCAACTGCTAATTTTAAACTTAGATTGGCTAATTACAAGCACATTTTAAGCATAAGAAACGAACGTGTGTGATAGTTAATCACTTTATCGATTGTCATGGGGCTGGTCACTCAAGTCTTAAATTTATGTTGATAGATCAACATCATGAGAATGTTAGACAAAGAGAGAATTTTGGATAGGTACCTTAATTACCAACTTGAAAGGTTTGAATAGTAGCCACGGATGACCCTGATGGCCTAAAATACATAGTTTAGAGAGGGGACTAAAGCCCGCTCTGTAGATGTCTGACAAAGTGCATCGAGTAGTTGTTTTGAACATGTAATTATGAAACAAAATAAAACATTCGACGCTGACCCATCTACTGAAATCACTGATTAAAATGCTTAGCGAAAACCATCAATACCATAAAGATTGTTAAATTGTCGATATTTGCTGATTCTAATCTATTTGGCTTATTTCATGATTGGCATGTAACAAGCTTTTTTTTTCGCAGCCACATGCCCGAAATGAAATTACTCATACCAAATGTTAAAACATACCAATCTATCTTATATAACTGGAGTTGGAGTATATATATAGATATAGCAACGATGGACTTATTGATTCCTGTTGTACGTTGTAATAAGATATCGAAAGCGGATGTTGATTTGAAGTGTTCACCTGAACAAAATCCAATACAATACAACAAGATGCGTAAAGAAGAGCATGCAAACTTTGGCAAATGTACAAACTGCCATAATTGCGGAAAGTTAAAGACAAAAACTGCTATAACGGAAGTTTGTAACTCTTTTTTGTGAGACTCGTCACCCACTCATCCTGTTAATACACTTCAATTATATGTATATATTCGACAACAACTGCTGACCGCACTCGGCATCGCCTATACACGCCTAAAAACGATCAGGTTGATGCAATATTGATATGAACAGGATGGAACAATGTTGTGCTGCCCACATTGTTCAGAGTTGTTATCAACATCGAACAATATTGTCACACCCGATTCAGTTTCAACAATATTTATGAAACAAAATAAAACATTCGACACTGACCCATCTACTGAAATCACTGATTAAAATGCTTAGTGAAAACCATCAATACCATAAAGATTTAATTGAATGTCGTTATTTGCCGATTCTAATCTATTTGGCTTATTTCATGATTGGCATGTAACAAGCTTTCTTTTTCGCAGCCACATGCCCGAAATGAAATTACTCATACCAATTGTTAAAACATACCAATCTATCTTATATATAACTGGAGTTGGAGTATATATATAGATATAGCAACGATGGACTTATTGATTCCTGTTGTACGTTTGTAATAAGATATCGAAAGCGAATGTTGATTTGAAGTGTTCACGTGAACAAAATCCAATACAATACAAAAAGATGCGTGAAGAAGAGCATGCAAACTTTGGCAAATGTACAAACTGCCATAATTGCGGAAAGTTAAAGAGAAAAACTGCTATAACGGAAGTTTGTAACTCTTTTTTGTGAGACTCGTCATCCACTCATCCTGTTAATACACTTCAATTAATTATATGTATATATCCAACAACAACTGCTGACCGCACTCGGCATCGCCTATATATATCAGTGGCGTAAGGACCGTTTTTGCACTTGGCGTTAGTTATAACATTTCGTCAGAAAAGTCCATATTCAAGAACGGAGAAAAAAATAGTGAAAGGAGTTTGGCTATACAATCGCGGACCTCAGGTGAACTTCTGAGCTATATGCATGCTAATATGCGAAATGGACGAATCAGGGTTGATTGAAGATAGATCAGTTTTTTTTAACGCGGAATCCTAATGATTTCTTTTACAGAGTATAACTTTGTTGATTCGATTCCTGTCAAATTAAGAAGAATGAAAGTTATGTTGGCTTTTCTATGCGTCGTGAGTGTGTTCATTGCATTTACGACGCCACTGACCGGTACAGTTTATATATCTTTCTTAATTGTAGGAATGCATGTTCGCGTTCTCCGTGATCATTTATGGTCCTTCCTGCTATCATTCACGCACAAAAACGCACAATTTGCAACATGTCTTCATGATTGTGTTTAATGATTTCCGCACGTTTTTATCTGCTTTATAAACGACATTATGTATTATCAAATAAAATGAATCAATAAATATGATGTATTTGAAATGCATGAACCAATTCAAATTGGTTCTCACAATACATACCAAAATTAAAATGTTTTTGCCATTCTAGATGACGACAAAGGTCGATCTTTGTCCTCACTAACTGACGATGAAAAAGGACAGGTACACTTAAACAGGGAACGTTCTCCACGATTTTTGCGCTTCCGCCTTCGTCGAACTCGTCGACCTCATCGATCTCGTCGATCTCGTCGATCTCGTCGGCCGGCTTCACGATGCCCTACGATCAGATTCCCGTGTTCTCAAATGCCAAACGTTTGTGCTAACATGAGAAACGCCATAAGAATGGGAAAACCGACGGTTTTGCTGAGGACAACGGACTCATCGCAGATACGAAGAAACAGGCGTGCGTCAGGATGTCGGCAGCTTGGTCGTAGAGCTGGTTACAACTGTGACGAATACCCATTCGCCTCTACTTTTCAGGGAGGTAGTAACGCTGTTGTGAGATTGGTACCTATTCGGGAGAACTCTATCCAAGGGGCAACGCTGGGTAACTTCTACAGGCGAAACGGGATTGGACATAGAGGTTGTTTTAGGGTCAGCGTGTAGTGATGCATCGATACATGGAGACTTTCTCAGCACTTAAATTTCAACTTCTACGTTAAATATAGCACGTTTGAGATAATAATTTTTTTTCATTTCTTCATTTGCTTTCCCTAATTATAGATTAAATAAAATTGAAATCATTTATACTTGTGGTTATATTCTTTTAGTAGAAAAGAATGCCGTTACCAAAACTCGTACATCGTGATACGGTTTTATATCGCGAATTAAGTGGCTGCGGTTTAATCACGAAAAATATGGGAAGAAAATCGCTTTTTGACGGTGATATTCATTTGCTTTGCCCGACAAGTGCGCCGCGCGTGTATATTCATTGTTATACACAATTAAGACACATTTTAAAGGAAATTAATATTTCAATGCATATTATGTATATGGCGTTAAAACGTATTATAATATAGAATGGATTAGGCAATAATGAATAAGTTTGATTCACCAGCATCCATTAGATTAAATACACAGGACGTATACTATATAGGTAAGTAGCTTGTGCATTATAACATATCCTCAAAACTACAAATATATGCATGTACTGTTGTCCACTAACTTTTTCAAAATATTGAATACAAAAATAATTGTTAATATATCAAACCATTATTTTCTTCTTTTGTCTTTTTGTCCTTGCGCCATTAATGTTGCTTGCTTCTTGCGTTGCTCAAAAAGATTAATTTCTTCGTCCTGCATTAATGACCAAAAAAGAAAAAATAAAGTAAAATAAAGCAACTATAAGCAATAAGAAAAAAAACACATACCAATTGTTGTTGCTCGTGCTGAATGTTTTTCTTCTTCTCGGCTTGTTCCTTCTTAAGATGTTCAAACTTTGCATAAAGCTAGAAAGCAAGAAACAGATAAAAAAACGATACACGCATGTAATTATTTGAATTAACATTCTCAAAATGGCCGACGATGTACAGTATATATTGGCTACTATGAAAAGAAGATAATTCTTCCTATATCTGGACGTGTTTTTATCGTCACGGCTAATTTGTTCAAGATGCTGAGAATTCTGTTTAATCGTTTGATTGTTACAACACAACAATACCTCCTGCTCTTCTTTTTTCAGTTCTGCTTCCTTGCTCTTCACCTTCTTAATGAAACTGCTTCTCATTTCGTCTTCACGCTTCTGAAGTTCACCCATGTAATCTTTGCGTCGTTGTTCATACGTTTCTTGCAAACTTTAAAAAATAAAAAAAAATACTATAAGTATATATGACTGCATGTGTAGGCCGCGAACTTTGTTTCGAAATAAAGAAATCCTCACGAATCACAGAAACGTTGCATGCCTGACAAAACATGCATGCTATATAACTCATAAATTTGGCTATTAACTTATGATGGTTCTGTATTGTAAATATGTTTAAAAAATTAATCCATGCATTTTCATTCAGAGCTCATTCTGAACGCAAGGATTGCATGCATGATAGTGCTGTAGGTTTGCCGACTAAATCGCTCAGCCAATTTATACTCATAAAATTATTGGTAATTTTTTTAATAAATATGATGGTGAAATGCGGGGCGTATATATAGCGATGCATTTAGTTTTTTAGATACGGGATTTCACATGGTTACAAAACACTTCCAATCACCTTAGTGGTTGACTTTCGGAATCAGTGTCCGCGAAGCCCATTTCAGCAAGTTTGTTTTTACGGTACAATTCATAATGTTTTTCGTGGGTTGTCTCGATTAGATCGGCCATGTTAGTCCTGAGAAATAACAAATAACGAAAAGTGTTATCATTACGTTATATAGACGGCATACTTTGTTTACCTTCGACATACATACAATGGCATTGTTTGCCTTGATGTCCTATGTATATAAGGCATGGTATACCCTCAAAATATATAGGAAATTATTTAAAGTAATAGCGTTTACATATTAAATTGCCTCGCTTTTATGAACCATAAAATATTGAGATTAAACCCTATATATTGGGCTATAACGGCTTAATTTATTGATCAAAAAAACTGTGCGGGGTCAGTTTAAGAAATTGCTAATTAATAAGTGAAATTAAGGTATCTGAAATGGCATCTCAGCATTCTGAGTGGACGTTTTGAGAAAAGTTCACGTTTGCATTTAGGAGTTTTGAAACAATTTCTCTGGAAACGTAGTTCTCAGTTTTAGAACTAGCCATTTCCAATCAGAGCTGCTTATTTTGAAAAATGGGAGACCATATACAATGATAAAACCTGAAACCAACAGTGCGTCTATATACCTTAGAAGCATCTCACGTAATTTAACGAAGTCGCAGTGAGTCTCGTTTTCAACTAAAGAAAAAAGGTGCAAGTGTTATTTCGAGGTTGCATTTCCAAGGACTAAACACCAAATTCATTTGACAACTATAATACCTAACACAGTGCCCCATGGATATTGTCGGGCACGAACTCTGTCTTTACCAACAGTCACTTCATCTCGACTGCCAACAACAGCGAACGGAATTTGTTCCTAAATCGAATGAAAAGTACATGCAGCAACCTTTGTAACGCCTTTTGAAAACACCTTATATTCATGAGAATAGTTAATGAGCTTTATACCCAACCAAATTTTGTGAATTAGGTCATATGCACACCCTGTATACCGGCCCCACAAAAATAAGTTTGATAAAAATTGATAATATCGCAAAAATACAACTACTATATAGTGTTTGTAACTGATTTACATATTTATTGCATAACTTTATTAATTTAATGTGTTTTAATCTAAAAGCAAAACAATATTGAATTAGAAGTAATGTTTACAACACGAGAGGCCGTGTTGTATCGAATATACATACAATCACGAGGGCGCAACTTGTGAAATGAATTTGTAATCAATAAGATTTTAACATGACTTAACATATAGCATGACTTACATTCATCGAGCTGTTAAGTTCGGCTTCTTTTTCATCATCGACCGGAAATTTGTAAATTTGCACATCATCTGAATTCAGTTCATCCATAATCTATAAAATGGTGATAAATGCAACGATATTAAAAAGTAGTAAAAAAGTTCACTGTACTGACTACTGTCGTATATAGTTATTCAGTCGTTTGTACGCCTATTATAGAAACAAGATATAAAGATTTTTTAGCCGCTGTCGTAGTTGTGTCCATTGCATGGCATCAGTAAGTTATATACCTTTTCTTTAAACTCCTTCAGCTCCGATTGCGAGATGGTATCAGCTTTAGCAATGATCGGGATGATGTTAACCTGTATACGGAACAAGAACACGTCTGTTTTACAGAAGGATAATCCTAAACACCAGCTACATATAGGATTTCTATGGTATATTCAATCCACCGAGTTTTCAGACAAATATTGAAAACGACAACGACATGAATATCAGTTATTCTGCATAAAAATTGCAATTGGTAATGGTGCTACAGACCTGCAGTTTAAACAAATTATTGACAGTAGGAGCTAGTTTCAGTTTTTCGTAGTTCCTTACATGTGTATATGTATAAATATATATTGTTTATCTTTGAAAAATACTAAATGTCTTTATAAAGAATTGGATTTAAACTCTTGTACGTAACAAGTGGAATTTCGTTTTAAACTAATTGGCATATTTGTCGATCTTACAATATATAAGCCAATCAGAATGCCTAAATTTTTAATACTTTGAAGTCACAATTCATGCTTTCTGATTGGGTTATTGAAAATGTAAACAAACCCGCGGATTGCTCTAAAACGAAATTGCCCCTTGTTTTTGAACGTGTGCATGAAGGACACGTATATATAGCTTCCGAATTACAATATGTAATTTTTACATATATATACCTTTTTATCCAACTGTTTCATACAGACCAGATCCAATGACTTCAAGCTGCAAATTGAAACAGTATATATATATAGTCACGCATTAACGTTTTAGAATGAAACCGCTTTTCCCATTTTCAAAAGCGTAGTACGATGGTCCTTGACAATTTGAGAATTCCACGTGAACGTTTGATTCCATGTAAATTAAATAATATATGTACAGTACATATACAATCTCAGCATACACTGTAAGTCGCGAAGAATACAACCGGAACTATGCATGCACCTTTAATCCTTTATGAATTTACGCCGTATTTGCACACATTTATAGATACTTACGAGTGCCCTGTTGGAGAAATGAAATAAAGGCAAGCGTGAATCCTGGTGTCGTGATAAGTGCTCAATGATCTTTTAATTTTTAGCTCTTCTTGTAAATACGCTTCGAACTGTTTATCAATGTATTCGACAACTTTCTGGTGGCTGTGAAATGTGAAAAATAAACATATATACTAATATAGCTATGCATTAATGGTATTATAGAGTCTATGTCTATATATATAATATTACACAATTCATTCACTGAACAACAGTCAATTCTAATTAACTCATGCCTGTCCTCTGTTGGGATTTCTCCTGTTTATAGCTTGGAAGTAGAAAACGAAGTACAATAGTGACAGTACCTGTCTGTTTTATCCACTTGATCTCCGTAGCCAACTGTATCGACAATTGTTAGCTTTAAATTCACATTGCTTTCTTGTATTTCTGCACAAACAAAAAAAATAACAGCAGAAGTTTTTACGTCAGTTTTCTACTGTGCGAACAAACAGAACTACATATTCCAATATGCACTGTTAATTTTCTACATAAAATAATGGCCGTTTTCACACTAGAGACGCATAATGTGTCTCCAGTATTTTTTGACTGATTATTCGTCTTCAGTACAATAAAGACGGACAACAGAGGCATAATACGTCGAGGAGATTAATGTTCAGTTTTTCGTCTTAGAGACGCATAACCAACGGTATATAGTTCGCCTAGACGGATAATGCGTCTGTTTGTCCGTCTTTATACTGAAGACGAATAACAATTCAAAAAATATTGAAGACGCATTATGCGTCTCTAGTGTGAAAACGTCCAATGACATGGTCATGGAATTTGAAAACGAATTACGTAGTATTGTGTTATGTCGGTATAGAGCGTGTATTAATTACAAGGCTAAATTAGAGGGGGGAAAACTTTGTAGGTCTATCTTTGTAGGTCTTGTATTTCGGCGAGCCTATAGAAGCAAATATTCCATAGTATCTAGGACGCTTAGAGTTTAATAGTTTGAACCGGACAACCTTATAATTAATTACAAAAATTACACACCATACATATGATCTTCAATACCAACATCAGGTGAATGATGCGTGTGAGGGACACCTGAAAATAATGCAATAAACCAAATTAGCAAATCAGGCTCATTATTAAAGCAGTTTTCATTGACATTGTGGTTAAAACTGTATAAGAAACTGTATAGTTGCAGTTAAAACTGCTAAAACTGTATAGTTGCCTCACATGTTCCAGATTACCTCTAACCAAACCCAAATAACGTTTTTGCGTCTATCTATTAGATTTCTTTAACAAAACAATCCTTATATAATCTGTAAGCCTGCAAAGTCTGCTATTTAACTGCATTTATTCTTAAAGAGAAGTCCTGTGACATTGTACCACGTGGTTACACAAATTTTTCGTTACCCGGATCGTGAGGGTTCAGTATATCAACACTGAAATCCCTTGCTGCTTATGTGCATTAAAAAGTTCACAATTATAGTCTAAAATTTCATAAATTACAGTATTCAATCCTACATTGTTCGTACAAAGTGGCGCCCGCCGCAAGGGGAGTGATCTTTATTAAGCTTATTCTACCGGTGGAACAAAAATACAATGTAAAAAGGAGGTTTGAAATGAAATTAAAATGTCGTTTTTAATATTTATGTCAAATATGTGGTCGTATAGTAAATACTTTTGATACATTTTTGGAGGCCATTGCATGATAGGCGCCAGCTAGTCTGTCCATATCTCCCATGGGACTTTCGAATTTGGTGGTCCAGGGTAAAGGCGCTGTTACACTATGCGATTTTCCTTGCAACTTGCAATGCGCTTCATTTTGGGAGGGATATTAATTTGTGAAGAGCGTTCGAAAAGCTAAGAAAACGTTAGCAGATCGTAAGAAATATTCATATTTGACAACCTTAGATGCCTCAGGAGTATAGATCGAATTGCATTGCAAGTTGCAAGGAAAGTTGCATAGTGTAACACCGCCGTAAGTCAGAATAAATTACTACACTACACCACTAATCCACTATATGAATAACCAATATTCAATAAAGTATTTTAAATTGGAAATTAGGCCGTGTAATTTGTTCGGACTTACCCTGAATCCACCATGCACTGCAGGTGTAACATGTTTTGGAAAGGCTAATAAGTTGTCGATATTAAACTATCGGTCGACAATAGAAGTGAGAAATTTCAAATCAAAAATAACTTGGCTCAACCCGTTTGATCAGGCTAACCTGATCGGACTTGCTCTCAGCGAAGTGGAAAATGGGAGCTAGGCCTAGGGGAGTGTTTGGAAGCCAGCTGATTATATTTGATGTTTTAAGGTACTTCCCGATTTTATTTCATTTATATATACAGTATCCGTAACAGTTACCGAAAATTATTTTTGCAAATCTGCTAGAGGAAAGCGACGGTATAGATTAAAATCTTCACATAGTCATAGGTATAACTATAAGCCATGAGGCTACGAGCGCCTGGTTTTAACAACGTCAATGACTTTATGTACATATAGGTACTGTAAACGTTTGCATTTTAAACAAAAGAATCCAGTAATACTTATTCGATAAAACTTTGTGATAAAGCTTTAAGTAAGCTGTGTTTCTGAGAGAATAAATATGAATTGAATTTATTCAACGAAAATTAGAGCCTGTAGAGGCCTGTTTTAAACGTCCTGCTTCTCATCTTCCGAACGCATTTAATAACAACAATAGATTAATTAACTATTAAACTCAGCACATATGAGAAACACGACGTTTAAAAAGGCCTGACACATTTAAGACAGATTGAGTTCATCCATAATCTATAAAATGGTGAAAGATTTTCATATGCCAAACATTTATTGTTTGTAAAAATCACCATCCAGTAAATGTTACTGGATAACCGAGTCAAGTTTTGACAGTTTACCAAACTGCACATGTGTGACTCATTATCCTATTACTGGAAGGATTACTCCTTGAATTTTGGAATTGTGACATGGAAAATTAATTTCAAAACACTATAATCTCTAGAAAAACTTTTTAAGATGATGAAAATTGTTTCACTATAAATAAAGCACTTTTAAACTTAAAACATTGCCCTATTCTTGATAAATCTTACTTGAAGGAAAAATACTATAGAATAATACTATTGAAATAAGGTTCTTCATCTGAATCCCAGCCTGTATGAAGATTATGACTCAGGGGCAGCTGGTATAGTATGTTATATTTCGCTAATGACTGTCTTTATCAAGAGTTTAAAATTTGTGATTTCATGAGTCTGGAGTTTTTTGGAGTTACTGGAGTTTCATTTCATAAGTCTAGTTGTAATGTTGCCTGACCATGACTTCAACATGTTGAACATGGATTTATTATCGAAAAAATAAGACTTGCAGCCTACTGCTCTGGACTTTGGAAATTAGGTCAAGCCCTGAAGAATCCATTAATTTACAATAATATATTATATAAAATTTTGGCCCTGTTCTATAATCAATCATATTTAAGAATCCTATGACATGCAACAATAGGCACTTATCTACCTTTCAAAGATTTTTATTTTTCACATTTGTTTGAGAGTTGCAGAAAATATGCTCAAAGATCATTATGCCTATAATTTTATAACTATTAATGTGGAATTGAACTCAATCTTGACTACTAAATTACACTTGGGATGCAAAGTATATTGATCCAACTACATAGAACACTGCTTTTGGGAAATGCACTATTCGGTGTACCAAATATAGTATTAAAATGAAGAAGGAAATGTCCAAAACTTGAACATAATTATGAAACAATAAAAAATCCTTAAAGGTGGGATTATCTACAATAGCAAGTTTCTACTTTCTAGTCAGTACTATCACAGTGAAATTATATGTTATACTTAAATAGCATTTCTAATTTCAAACCTGTTCATTGCATCTACTCTGATATGTGAAGGTATAGCATTTCTAATTTCAACCCTGTTCATTGCATCTGCATTTGATATGTGAAAGTATTACCAATTTTTAAATTTTAGCATGTAGTGAACTTACTGTCAAATGTTGTCTTGAAAAGACAATCCATTAATGTTGATTTGCCAATGCCTGTTTCCCCTATGAAAATAAATCAACTGGATAGTAACTAGGAAATATATTTATTTTCACTATGTAATTAATTTAGTATAAATAATCACATATGAGTAGAAAGACTCTTTAAAGTTTGCCTTTCTAACATGTTTACTTCCTATAAACAAATTGTAAACATGAACCAAAGAGTGATTATACAGTTGTAATGCCCGGATATAGCATAAAATGGGCAATCACTGCATCACTATACAATGAAAATCAATTTTTATATGGTACAAATTGAAATTAACCAGCTGTTAATAATTTACATTATAAATAACACGCCCTCTCGCTATGTTTCAAAACATCAACATTTCATGGTTTATCTATTATTGCTTTTTTTATATATATACTTCTAGTTCTAGAAACAATACTGAAACACAGGTGACGGGTGAATTTAACGAGAAGATTTATCCAGGTATTAAAAATCATTTCAATCACTAAATAAGTATAAAATAAAAGGAAAATTTGTGCAATATACACACAAAATTTGACCGGAAATGCCTCGCATAGTGGTTTTTACAGTGTCGCACAAATAATTTGATACATTACAAATGACAATCACACACAAATGACCGGTGAATTTATGTAAATCTGACGAAACCTTACTAACCTACACACAAGATATTAAAGTAGAATCCACAATTCACTCTTTTGTTGACAAGCTGATCAGGGAGGCTGACAAAGCCGACATTGCCAGCGAGTTTGAGATCGCGTCCGTCCTCTCCCTAGGTTTCATACAAAAATATATAAAAATTTAGAAAGTAGATATCTTGAGTGTTCTAAACATCCAAATTCAACTAAACTTATCCTAGTAACAGTAAAGTTATAGGTGATATTTACCAATTTTCTACAAACATCAACGGCGGACATTTTGACAGCACAAGTACCAGGTATTAATATTGGCGACAAGATAATGCCAGAAAAATATTTCGGCCGCAGTATTTTTTTTCGCCAAATTCGCAATAATAATATAGATACCCACATAAAATAAAACAAATGTCAAATGACAGCTTCGATGGCTAGTTCCTGGAACAAATTTCTAATATTGATATGCTTGAACGTTATAGACTTGACTGCATTACTGCAAATTTAGGTCCGATATGTATGATTATATGCTATTGCACGTAATAACCCCCAACCCGCCGACGAAGACCAGGACTTCCAAGAAGTAAATTTGTCACATTCAAACAGGGCCGACCATGGTCGAGTATACCGTTTTCCGACACATTTGACCATGGTCAAGTATACTGTTCTACGGCCATATTCCATGCTTGCAAGTTCAACTATATATAGATGTTTGTATATGAGCACCAAACATGCTTGAAACTTTAAATAGGTCCAGCATTTGACCATTAAAACAGCGTGATTATCCATGGTCGAGTATACCGTCTTCCGGCACAATCGACCATGGTCGAGTACACCGTTTTCCGGCCATATTCGATGGTTGCAAGTTGTAACTATATATAGATGTTTGTATATGAGCACCAAACATGCTTGAAGCTTTACATAGCATCAGAATTAGACCATTTAACCTGCGTGGTTATCCATGTCAAAATATTTGACATCATAACCAAAGCATGGTTATATTGTTTATATGGTTATAAGAAAGAAATTGCGAAAATCAAAGAGTCCTGTTGACATTGAAAAGTTGAAACAGTTACGTCGTGAATCCAAGATCCTTATCTGTAAGAAGAAAAGAGATTATGGAAACGTAAACATGTTAAAAGAGTCAATTTTCGAAAACCCAAGATCCAACAACAAGATCCAATCAAACTCAAAATTATTAAATTTCTAAGAAACGGACGATCGTATATCACCAACAGTCACGAGAAAGCTAATCTTTTGAATGCTTTTTTCACTCTGTTTTTCACCCCAGTGATATAGAAATACGACACCAACATACGACTATTTTAGAAATTCGTTCTTCGTCAGATCAGTAGAACTTTAGAACACTCTGCCATCTCATATCAAAGAATCTAATTCTGCAACTATATTTAAATTTCAACTTCAATGTTTTGTTTATTAAAATGTGACAAATTATTAGAAAATTAAAAAAAAATGTTTAATGTTTGTATATAACCAAAAAATATGCTTGCAACTTTGCATAGGAACAGCATTTGCATGACCATTAAAACAGCGTGGCCAAAATTACACCATGGTCGAGTGTACCATTTTCCTGTATATTCGACCATGGTCGAATGTACCGTTTTTCTGTATGTTCGACCATGGTCGAGTATTTCGTTTTCCGGTATATTCGACCATGGTCGAGTATACCGTTTTCCGGCGTCAGAATTAGACCATTTAACCTGTGTGGTTATCCATATCAAAATATTCTACATCATAACCAAAGCATGGTTATATTGTTTAATGTTTGTATATGAGCGCCAAACATGCTGGAAACTTTACATAGGACAAGCATTTGACCATTAAAACAGCGTGGTTCCTCTCATGATTTAATTTTTCCGCTTAAGACATGTTTGTATCTGAATAAACCGATTTCAGGTATACTCGACCATGGTCGAATATACCATTTTCCGGTATACCCGTGACCTTGTCGAATATACCGCTCTCCGGTATAGTCGACCATGGTCGAATATGCCGTTTGCCGTTTACCATTTTCCCCGCATATTCAGTCATGGTCGGGTACACCGGGAAACGGTATATTCGACAATGGGCGAATATTTATCATTGATAGACCTGCAGTGAGGAGGATTCGGCGAAATATTTCCCGAACTGGTGATAATCCCCGGAGCGGAGGGTCTATAAAAGATATATTATACCGAAAAAATATCGTGAACTTGTAGAATAGCCAAACATACTGTAAAAGCTGTTCATAAAAGTATTTCTATATATAGCCGTATTATATACCGTATAACGTATTTTAACATTAGTCAACTTTTTTTGTGTTTTCTCAATGTTTTTCGTCTAGAATACAGTTAATTTTCTCGCGAGAATCGTCAATTTCTTGATTTCAAACATACAGCAATTTACAGAAATTTACAAATTTGCACTTTTATCAGGTCCCGTATTGTTTTAAGTGGGACCGACGCGCAAACTCTATTGGACATTATACTTTTAAAAAAAAGTAGCCTATCATGGCCTTCTATCGTAAACAAGAATCTACCCATGATGCGGTCTCGCATGTCTACACATAATGATTACATTTATATTACTGCGTGCAGTTTGTCTGCAAGCTGTCAATCGCCACAGTCTGCATAATATACAGGGCCTTGTGTAGGGCATGGGAAAAGTATTTATTAATCCAATGATTGAAGTACGCGAAGTCTTAAGGTTTTACTAATCGCTTTAGCAACTTTATTCCTTCGCGTCGTAGAATCGAGTTCCTCCAAAAAAAAATTAGACAGTTAAATGTGGAGTTCATAGCCACCAATGTAACAACCCAAAATAAAATGTAGTCATCTGTTATATTGCTATGGGCTAATGTCAGATGTAAAATACAAAAAATCATTAGTGGACAATAGCAAATCGAGAAGCAACCAATTGCTAACGAACATGTAGATATACTTTTAAAGGTTATCCTCCGTCTTTTCAAACCAGTCGACTTTGTCATGCTTGGTGCAGCTCTGTCTTTTTTTCGTTTAGACCGCACAATGTTTAACATTTTGTAGTTCAAGAAAATGAAAATGAACAAGTGAAATAGAATACTAATAGATACATAGATGTTGTCAAATGCATCCATGTTTGAATGTAGTAATGCTGGCAAAAGGAGTAGCTCGAAGCCAATGCAAATTGCTAGGAACATCATAAGCCTTGACTTGGTCACTGATGTCTTATGGAAGAACGGGTATGCAAGTGCCAAAAATCGCTCGAGTGTGAGTATTAACAAAGAAAACATCGAAAAACTTGCAACGAGAATGCAAACGGATGGATATATCTTCAGTCGAATGAATTTGATTTCCCGATACAAATTCGTTGTAAGATTAAGGATTGTTTCCACTACGGTAAGTGGATGAATGATACACACTACAATAAGGTCAAAACAAGACAAAACAAAAGTTGTAAAGTACCAAATGCTTTTTCGAATTTGTGACGATCCTCTCAGACTGATGATGACCACCATATTCAATGACATCCCCGCAATCATAAAAAATACATTTATCACACAAAGAAATACTCCGTTGAATGAAAGACCTGGTTCCATTTTGACAGCCGTTACTGATATATGCGGGAAAATGGTTAAACACGGCGTCGCGTATTCAATTTAGCGGCTCTACAAGCAGTATATGCACCTGTTTCGTTCTCGTGAAAAATATTTATCTTCTCATTTTGACATAACACCTGTCATGGAAATATGAGAGGAAGCTAAACTTTTAATAAAATCTAAATTTATGCATGCATGCATATAAGGCCCGTTTTCACTTGCAATTCTAGGTGCAATTTTATATGTGATTTTCGTCTTTTGGTCCATATGAAGGAGTAGATGCGAATGCTCAGGGGACGGTTGTTTGAAAGCCGGATAGCGCTATGCTATCCACTGGATAGTGGTGACAGTTTTAAAGCAATTTCAATTGCTTTAAAATCGCCTGTTGTTGGGTATAACCTTGATTAAATATCAGTATTCGTAACTGAATCGAGGATCCTCTTTCATAATTGTTGGTTCCAAAGCTGAAGTATTGCTTTTCTTAAAATAATAAACCGAAAATGTTTATTGTAGCCATGCAAAGTTCTCACTATCATGACGCATGATTATATACATCTATTAAAGAAGTGATACAAACTGCATCCCACGAATCGACTGTCAGACGGCGAAGAGAAATATTGACATAATTTTATTAAAACTGCAGTCTTTCTGTCTTAAAATAAGTACCGCGTGTCCATGTACGAGAGCTTGCAGGTGCTGCATGCGGATCTTAACCCATGACATCGATATATCCATTCAACCTCGTTCCCAGGGCATTTTACCTTAATTTTGAGCACAAGATCTTGTAGTCTAATGGCCTCCCGAGTGGTAAATCGATTTTTCGAATCCTACCATAACCATTTTTCATTATGAACTTCGTGAAAAGGTTATTATAAAGTAAATTAAATAACTACAGCCATTCAGCACAAGATCTTCTAGACTAGTGGCGACGAAAATGGTCTCCCAAGTGGTAAATCGATATTTCAAATCCGTGAAAAGGATTAAGTAAATTAAATAACCATAGCCGTTCAGCAAAAGATCTTGCAGTCTAGTGACAAAGACAATGGTCTCCCAAGCGGCAAATCCAAGGTTCGAATCCCACCATAATCGTATTCTATTATGAACTTCGTGAAAAAGATAAAGTAAATTAAATAACCATAGTCGTGCGCAAAAGATCTTGTAGTCAAGTGGCAAGGACAATGGTCTCCCAAGTGGTAAATCGACGGTTCGAATCTTGCCACAACCGTTTTTTATTATATGAACTCATCGTGAAAAGGATACAGTAAATTGAATAACCATAGCCGTTCTACACAAGATCTTGTAGTCTAGTGGCGAGGACATTGTTCTCCTATGCGGTAAATCGAAGGTTCGAATCCTACCATTACCGTTTTCCATTATGAACTTCGTGAAAAGAATAAAGTAAATTAAATAACCATGACAGTTCAGCAGAAGTTTTTGCCGTCTAGTGACGAGGAAAATGGTCTCCCAAGTGGTATATCGAAGGTTCGAATCCTACAATAACCGTTTTTCATTATGAACTTCGTTAAAAGGATTAAGTGAATTGAATAACCATCGCCGTTCAGCACAAGTTCTTGTAGTCTAGTGGTCAAGTTATTGGTCTTATGTGTTGACTGTCGAGGGTTCGAATCTCGTTTTAGATGGAAATTTTCGTTATTGCTATTACATATTAAGGTTATGGAGAATAAGTTAGTGCAGGCTTCCAACAATCACCAGTTAGCCTTGTGGTAAAGTCGTGGG